TTTTATGAATGAAGTTTGTTTACACACAAAATTACTTACTACGCAATAGTACGCTCTATGACTCGCTATTTTGTAAGTGGCATAATAAATCATCGTCGGCGTAGAATCACTTTGCTGTTAGATGGAAAGTGTGTCGTCGGATTGAGAGTACTTTGACAGGGTAGGACAATCTAGATAAATCGTAGCTCAAAGTCAGAGCATTTTTACCTATTTAGTTACTGGTGAGTCCCTAGAAACATGGAACTAGTTTCTGGATTGGACACTGGATAACATGAGGCTATAACAAGTCTTATTATGAAAGAAGCTTTTGCCCGCGGCTTCACGCGCGTGGAATTTAGTGTCATAGATCGGCATAATTTATAGCCTATATGTTAATCTGGGTTACAAACAATAATACTGTAAAGTTTCAATAAAATCCGTTCAGTAGTTTTTGCGTGAAAGAGTAACAAACATCCAGACTTAATAGTAGGATTGAGCTATTAAAAAATAAAGGAACACGTAAATTACTTAATTTGTAGGATAATACATTGCTTCGTGAAATGGTGGAGCCCAATGAAAGGCAACCGTGTATTTCAGAATTACAAGATTTCAGGTAGGTATCATCCGCTATTTCTGTGTCCAGATAAAAACAAACAAAGTTTGTCAGGTCTCAATTTTCGAACCATTGTAGACCACTGAACGGTTTTCGCATCACAATATTTTAACGAAAAATAAAAAGGAAAACTACACTAGTTTCCAAAAGCAAAAACGAGGGCATAAAGTAACGTACTTTTTCGATATTAGGTATCATAAATAAGTGCTGGGCAGAGACGTTATTTCTAGATTTGGTTCCATTTATCATGTCAATGTAGCTTTTAAGGAATATGACGGACATTTGCATCGACCTCGTAGTATTTCGTTTGATGGATCGAGTGTAATATCAAATGTTGCTGAAAGGAAAATCTTTTGAGATAAAACTGTTTGAAGAATATTTATTTCACAAAAAAGCTTGAATTGGGATATTTCTACTGTTTTACTGCATACAGCTTGGATGATAAAGTAGGTATTTGTTGCCAATAAATCTCACATTTAGGCGACTTTAGCAACGCGACAAACGCGCGACAGACGCGCTGCAGATAATTTCATACTAAGTACATAAATGACGCCCTTAAGTAAAAGCTGTCTTAAAGGTTCACATTTGCTGACCTGGTGAAAAGGAAACCCTAAAGATTGAAAACCCTGTCATGTTAAGAAAAGTGTGTCATGTCACGTGTAGTGTCTTGGTGGACCCGTTATTTATTTTTTGCGTTGTCACCGCAAGATGAATGCTTCATAATACCACGTTTCAGCTGTTTTTACCACAAAAGATTCTAGTGTGGTTTCAGTACAGTTGAAGGCACATCAAAATATTTAAGGTACCTACATTTTTGTTGCGAAATTGCTCCTATATTTATTAGCCGTGTGGTGACGGCAGAGTAGAATACATTTGTCACCAACCCCTACTCTTCCCGCGGGTGTCGTAAGAGGCGACTTAGGGACTACACATCAAACAGAGAATGGGCAGCAGCGCTCTCTGAAAAACATCAATCTTTTAAACTGCGATCTCCAACCCGCCCGCCAAGCGTGGAGATTATGGCAAAACCCTCCACTATAGTGGAGGAGGCTCATAGTCCAGCAGTGGACTGTAAAGGGCTGTTGATGATGACAGTATTTAGCTTATGTGCCGTCTGTACATAAGTAACTGTCAACAGCTGTACTGAACTCAATCATTCTTGATCGTTTTCTATGATAAAGTATTATTTCGTCCTATGGACATCACTTCCTAAAACACCAAATTAATACTTACAATGCTATTTAATTCCTTAACGCCTAGATGTTATCCCTAGGTGCTAGGTTATAAAACTGTTACCAAGTTACTGACCATTTTAATATTCCATAGTTAGCCAAAGAAACTTGATAAATATTTAATCTAAGCTCCCGAGCTTATGAGTCTGCGGTTAAACTTCGCCCTCACGCTAGATTAAGCTCAACATCAAAGACTTGCATATCCTGTGTAAGCTTTATGGAGAACTTGTGTATTTTGTTGACGCTACATTGTCATTTTCTCACAAACGCATGTAAACAAAATTATTTTCATTTTGTATATCTGGATTTCAATCACCACCAATTCTTGGTAGGTTTGCAAAATATATTGTGACTTTAATGTGCTAACCCTCATGGAGCTTCATCAATCATTTTACTTGTATATCCTGTATTCCTGTCCTATCACACCTTTTCTAGTTTGTTGTTAATGTTGTTGTTTTAACAACAAATACAACCTGTATTACATGCGTTATCTCTGGTACTATTAAAAGTAACTATTTAGTAGAGTTCAATTTTTTTTGCATGTTCTAAGGAATATAAAATTATTACCCGTGATACTACTAGTGCAACTATGTAGTAGAACCACTGGAAAGGCATGCTCTATATTATTAACTGATGTACCTATAGCTGAAGGACAGTAAAATATGATGACGATCGACGCAATATCTCGTGGCATACAGGGTGTTTATTAACCGCCTGCACTCGGCCCGCGCTGACGTCGCTTGACTTAGATATAGTGAGGTGCTTGCTTTGGCGAGACATACAGCAGGTACGCTCAGCCAAACTAAATATTTGCCAGAGAAAGGTAATTATTTTACGCAGACACTATAGTATTTTCTTTCGTCGTTCGTTTCGGCCAAATGACGTCCACTGCTGGACAAAGGCCTCCCAAGGATTTCCACGACGACCGGTCCTGCGCCGCCCGCATCCAGGTACCTCCCGCGGCCTTCACCACACCAGTTAGATCTGATTCTTTTATCAGAATACAATATCTACATGATATATTTTAAGCACGTAGGTACTTAGCATCGTTAGCTGTCTCATAAAGCAACGTATCTGTTTATAGCGCCCCATGCCATTCGGCGACGAGCCTAGAGTTACCGGTTTTCTCTAACTCATGATAGTGGCGTTCAGAAGGTGGCATAAAAAATCAACTAATGGGTGTGAGCTGATCATGCCTACAGGACTATGGTACTGTTGATTTCTAGATCACAAACGTAACCTTCACTGGTTGAGTAAGCGTCCAAGCGTAGAGTGAGAGATTTCCAACCACTGATCAACTTCTTCCGATTAACTATTACTACTTCGGCCTATTTTCCATTAATTTACTGGCAAATCTACACAACCGTGAGTGACCATTGTTTGCCAACAGTGGCCCGGTCAGGCGACACGACAGCCGAGCACTCTCCACGGCAAACAAAGCGCCACTTTAGACCTGCCGCCAAATTTACACATTTTTGCACCGAGTTTCTCTGACATATTGTTTAGAAACGAAAACTCTCACACGAATTATGGAGTTATAAATCAAAAACCTTTTAAGATTTATTTCGCTCTAAAGACCTATCCTATCTGTCAAGATATTTAAAGCCTTCCTTCGTGCGGTCTACCCTACTCCGCAGGCGATTTATTCTTTAATTTATTATTTACTAAAAGATAAAGCTAGACGCGTAGTTTTGCTATCTCACTACTCACTGCCTGAGCTAAATAAAATAACAATATGATATTACTTGCGTAATTGGCTGTCAGCTTAAGATAAGCTTCCTGCAAGTATTAGCCATGATGAAATATCAACTTAAGGACTAGCTTATGATAATAATTCCACTTTTAATTAATTACTTGTTAAATCGAAAGGTTGGTAACACAACCATTTAGGCGTTCTAGTAATTTAAATAAGAACATGTTTGAATATAAAGCGGCTTAGAGGTGATTTTTTAAAGTATAGTTATCTAGAAATTTCAAAACATAGGACGGCTGGTGCTAGTTTAATAATTAATACCAAATACCTACAAAATACAACTATGCCTGTAGGCTTTAGGCAGGCTTCAACAATCTTAACGTCCCAATGTCAAAGTAAATCTCGCGCAACTCGCTTTTCATCGAACAATGGGTTTACCCGACCAACTTTGAATATACAGCCCTCGGCTCCTCGGCCCCAACTGCGGAGAACTTTTCAACTTGGCTGGCCATTAGGATCTCTCTTTAATATAATGTGACAGGCGCATCAGCGAGAGGTATTTGATAAATGATTTCTTTACAAAAGATCTTTAAAGTCGGATATATTTTGATAGATTGCATTTGTTCGATGGAAACTTGATCTTAGTTTCAATCGTGTTTTATTAGATTTTCACTACGATCTATCACATCATTGATCGTGCTCTATCAATTTACGTAGATAGTAGGTATACATGTGTTGCTTGTTCTCCAAGCTGCATCCAACCACACTGTTACCTACATAAATAAATGATTTAAATCCGTTACAATATAATATTAGTTAACCTAAATTAACAAACAATTTGGCTTTTAGTCTAGATATGTATGTATTATAGGTTTTTGACTTGCAATAGAGTAGGATAGAGTTTCAGTTTCCGGTATAATAACTTCAACAGTTCAACTGCACAAAATGCGTGAATAAAATTTTATAGCGCTAATCTTAGTTGTGAAATACGTAGGTAAGGCACTTACCTACTCGTAACTTGCGAAACTTGTTTTATTTATTTGCTTGTGTACCACCCCTGCGAAGTGTGTTAGATTTGAGGAAAGACAGTGACACCTGAATAAAATTATAAAAGGATTGTAAGGAATAAAAATCTCGATCAGAGAGTAAAAAAATATAGACATTCAATGTTTTTGTTCAATCATAAAAGTATGAGTTATATTTTATAGCTAGAAATAAGATTGGACTACGGTTTCTAATTGACAAAAGTAGGTAACATTGAAATATGAGTGATACCTATTTTAATGCAAAATTATCCACTTCAAATTAATTGTAGATTACGTCATTTAAAATTCCATTTAGCTCAATCTTGTTTAATTTTTCAGTGTTTTCAGGTACAAATAGTTTAAGATTAACCATAGTGGTACTCATTAGTAAAACATTTACTCTAAATGCAAAAGACAACGATCCATTGATTTTCATTGCAAATCCAGTGGAGTCCAACATGCCAAGTCATTGGATGCCTTTAAGCATAGTAAAGGTCATATTGGGGAGCTCCCCAAAAGCGAAAATGTCAGCGGTAGTCATAACACGTCCACAGCAGAAATCACAGATAATTACTACTTTAAAGCCTACATCACCTACACCACCTAAATCAACACCTCAGAGTCCTGAAGACACAACGGTATCAGAAACAACGACAGAAGCGGTTACAGATACTACTACAGTAACGACAGCCGCTGAAGAGATTACGGATTCTAATGACGACTTTATGACAACTGAGGCTACAACGACAGAAACTACCACAGAAGAAACTACAACAGAAACTACAACAGAAGCTACAACAGAAACTACGACTGAAGCAGCTAGTACAGATGCTACTACGGACACAACAACGCAAGAGACGACCACTGAAACTACTACCGCGGAAACTACTACAGAAACTACTACAGAAACTACTACAGAAACTACTACAGAAACTACTACCGAAACTACTACAGAAACTACCACAGATACCCCTGCTGACACTACTGAAGCTACACAAGCAACCAGAGCGAAACCGAAGAAGAGGCCGCAAGACCATCACTTGGATTCCCCAATCTAAAATGACAGGTAGGTATTTACATGTGAAAGAAAGAAAAACAGTTCAAACTTTGTCTAGTTTCACCCTATTATTGTAGTTACTCTAATTTTACGTTGTGCTACAAAACGTACGATAAAATTATGTACCTAATTTATTAGTCTAGAGATGTAGAAGAAGTATTTGCAGTAATAAAATATAAATTTTTCAGAATGATTGTTATGGAACAAAGTTGAAAATAAAACTCAAAAAATTAAATGTTAGCTTTGTATTATTTGAAAGAAAATATTGCCGCAGAAATAAATGGCCTATGTTATTTTGTAGTTTACGTGGATAATCTGCGGGAAAAAGAAGAAATTAATATAATATAATAGAAAATATTGAAATTATTTCAGGATTTTCCTAACTTGATCTATTCTTTTCTATATTTAGGACAAAATCCAGTTCCTAAGCTATGCCTGAATAAAATATCCCATAAAAGTATGGAACCCTTCAAAGCCCATTTTATCCCTTCAGCTCCCGAAGAAACCGGGATCTAAAAAAGTTTGTAAATCTTGCGGGTAGGAGATTTGTGACGTCATTACTCATCCTGCTTGCACTTCCGATCCATTTGTTCTTAGTCGCGAATAATGGTGGGGGCTACGTTGACGGAGGTATTATTTGTCAGCTGTCAAGTAACACTTTATTAATCCTAAGAAACTGTCATTGAAGAAAGTACTTACATTTTTCTATCCCTTTTGTGTGAAAAAAAGGTATTATCAATCAGCGGGACTACAATTACTTACTCTAAAAAAATGATTTTTTTTTTACTTTTGTGTAAATAAAGTAGGTTTAATCAACGGGTACAATTCCATGGTTATATTACTATCGTGGACGAGTTAGAAATCTGTCTAACGCTCGTATTCACAAAAAATACTATGAGATCTCACTGTGCGCCTGGACGCACAGGGTCACACACGAACTAATCACAGAGCTCTATTCAACACTGTAAGATTTGATTTGATTTGCTGTTTCATTTACAAGCAAGCATCGTTTGTGAATACGGTCGTAAATATATATAAAAAATATATAATTAATAATGACTTTGAAAACACTAAAGTTAAGAATCAGCCATAATAAAATATCCAAATGAAAAACTAATCTTTTCTGCGTCATTTTTCTCACGTAATATTTTTAATCAGGCCAACCCAGGTTTAGTAAATGTATAAAATATTTTAAGCCTTTATTTACTGACGGAAAGAATGTCCATTTATCATGCTAAAGAGAGTTTTATATTTCATGTTAAAGTATAGGTAATAAATTCTCGACGAGTTATGTTAAAATTATCTCTAACTTTATAAATCTGTCTAGAGTCTAGTCTAGACGAACTCTATTGCTTCATTTGACTAATTAAAAGCGACATCTCTATAGTTTCCAATTAAATCAAGGTATTAAAGGTTGAAGATATTTTTGATTAGGTAATTCCTGAGAGAATACTTTTAATTAATTTATAAGAAAGCGCTGCGTGACAAAGTAGTAAGTATATGGCTTTCTGATTAGTCTTTTAATGAACAAACGTACGTGACTATCTAAAATAAAACATTTTCTGCCTATTCCTTCGCAGATTCAATCTATTTTCATGCCAAAATTGATTAAAATTAGGTACTTCAGTGATTTAGACGTGCAAATAAAGCAGACTGAATTAATATTATATGCAAGTTCAACATCGATTTAGGACATTGGCATTATGCTGACATGCCTATTAATTAAATTCAATCAGATAATCTTTTATTTCTGAGACCCTATTCTTCCAGACGTTTTTGACTCGACTCTACCTGTCTCCCTTATTCACCATTCTAAGCAAGTCGATGATAAAGGTGCATAGAATCAATCATTGACAGGGTAGACCTCCGCATGAAAACCGATTTACGCACTCATCTGAAAGAAATGTACCAAAGGCGTACATTCTGTGCGTCCTTGCCTCGGTTTTAGTTGAGATAAGAAACATTTTTCGCGCCATAAAGTTCAACGCCGTGAAAAATGGCCGCCTATGGGTCATTTCGCCTTATGAAATTCATGTTCTAGATAATAGTCCAAATACGGTTATTTGAATAGAAAAATGTTATATTATGCCGTTATATTCTTTGTTATTGCTCGGAAGATCACTCTGAATATAACAAAAGTTATGCGATTTTAAGTAACAATGAGAGAGATGTGTAGTTACTAAGAAGTTGTTTTTTTCTTGAAACTAAAATTACGTCACTATTTTCCACGATTAACTTTAATCCCGGCTCAATTAGTACTTAATAATCTCGTTTTATCAAACCAGTTTATTCTTAATTGTTCATGAAAAGGCTGACAACAGAGGCTACCTTAAATAGTAGTGACCTAAATGCATCAGCTAAGTCTAAATCTAGCTGTCTGCGATTGACTAAAATAGATTTCATAAACTTCATGAGCTCTATTGTTTCAAAAGACAAACCTGTTATCTCTGTAGGTAATCCCAATTCCAAGAAAATTATTACAAATCTTAAAATATCTACCTATAGTTAAGCAAAAGGTATTGAAATCAAGGATGGGTCGTATTCAAGGTCTTGCAACTAATCTTTTCTGCCCGCAAACGGATCGTTAGGGACCCAAAGAGTCCTAGGAATGAATAGGGAAAAGAATGATTATCAAGGAGGTCCAACGGGAATAAAGGGAAGTATGTTCCCACGCTATCATTAAAGGCGATTGGGTTGTCAGGGCTGATTCAATGTCCGTAATCAAGTTTTTTTGGTTTCACTTTCAGAGTTTTTGTCTTCAAGAACAGCGCTTATAGATTGGATTAAATTAATGGATGGTTTCGTCTCTTTTCTTCAGGAAAAGGACATGTTGACTTGAATTAGGATCTTGTTCCCAGTGACGCATGGACTTACGCAAAACCAAGCTAGATTTGTTAGGAATAGTTGAAAGTATTGAAATGAAAATATATCACTGTCTCTAAACAGTGGGGCAGTACAGAAAGAACACAAAAATGCCTGCTATAAAAATGTTTCTAAGAAGTGAGAAACATTTTCGCACCCAAACAAAAGAATAAACCAACATCGAGGGACTAGGCAGTAAATTTTCTGGAACTGATAGGTCGAAGGATACTGAGGCATACATCGATCAAAAAATTTTTAAATTGCGTTAGGATTTTGTTTAGAAAAAATGCGTGCTCGATCATGATTTGATCGAGAAGGTGCAGTCTGTGATGGATGATGCTAGCCAGGAAAAGTAGGCACAAGAAACATTATTTTAATTTTTTAATAGTATACCTTCTTAGTAGAGATGAGACGTATTTACTAGAACAGATCCACACACTAGGTATTTTACAGTACTAAGTGGCACCTATTCCAATTTTTAAAATACTTGATCCACCTAGTATTTTTTAAATTACACGATTTCCGACCCTACCATCAAAGTAATAGAGGTTATTATTGCATAATCCGTAGTCGTCCACCTAGTATTTTTTAAATTACACGATTTCCGACCCTACCATCAAAGTAATAGAGGTTATTATTGCATAATCCGTAGTCGTGTATTACGCGCACCGCGTATTTCTCGCTAAGCTTATGTGCGAACGTAGAGATTCACTCCGTCTCTGTCTGACAAACAAATTTGAGCGCAGGCAGGTGTGAGATAGGAATAGCCTGTTGAAGTATGAAGGGAGGATATCAATAAATCAACAGCCAGCAAAAACATTATTATTCAATTTCAAATTGCATTATTAATATTACGGTTGTATCTTTTCAAAGAAAATTGTATTTTAAAGTCATAATACGTGGATTAGTCCGCACTAGTCGCGTCAAGTATGGTAAATTGGGTTTGGTTCAATTTTAATTTCTGTGATGGGTCTGGGTGTTAATATGTATAATAAGTTTGTATTTACAAAAAAAAAATATATTTAAGTATGTTTATATCCGTTTTCTAGTGAGCGGACGCTGTGAATGTACGTCACACGGGGTCACGTGACCGTCGGCGGGACTCAATATTTAAGCGAACTTTGAATGCCTATAAAATCATAACTACTGGGTATTTTTGAATGAAATAAAAACTAATGTATTTGTAAATGTAAAAGCTTAACTGTAACATAGGTTTCAAGTGATTTTGCATACCTAGTAACATTCTCAATTACTACGTACTAGGTGGAATAGGTATTTGGATCAAGTATTAATAAATACTTGGAATAGGTGCACCTAGTATCAAATGTACCTAGTAGGTATAACCCATCTCTACTTCTTAGTAAATAGCAGTGTAGAGAAAAGTAAATTATAATATATTCATTTCATTTTTCAATAATTACACTTAAAGAGTGTTGATTTGTAGTTATACTCATTATTTAAAAAGGTAATATACCTGTTTTAGCATTTTATAACACATTTATTTGATTAGAAATTTATGCAGTTAAAAACATTTACAACAACGCTTTTATGTGCTATACATCCAGTGACTATAATTTTTGAACAAGTTACCCGAACCAGTTATAACTATAAATTTTATTAAAAAAGAGCTGAAACAACAACATAACCAAGGCACTTACAATAATTTTAGTTCAATTTTCTCCTTCAGAAAAGCGTATTTCTCATCAAGTTTTCAATTTTGCGCTCCCCACAGGGTTTCTTTTATCCCGTTGATTCCATGCCAATGGTCGGCGGTCAGCCTTGACACAGTTTGTCTTTTACAGTTTTTTCATCTGGCCATATTAGATTACATTGCAATAATTCTTTTACAATATTTTATAGACCTATTAAATTGTCAGTTAATTCAAAAAGGTTACCTGATCTACGAAAAAGTACATGGCTTTCCTGAAAATGCAGCTTGGTTAAGAGAACTTTTCAAAATATTGTACAGTCAAGTTTTGCAAGAAGTTTACGAGTGGATAGCAATTTTATTACTTGTGCTTGTAGGTAGATAGGAATGCAAGATTTTTCTTTGACCATTTTAATGTTATTAGAAGTCTCTTTCTGATATTCATCTTTCTTCATTTGAATATAACTTTAGTATCTGTGTTACTACTACCAGTAGGTATATCATCAAGCTCCACTGCAGAACGCAGCCTCTATAATTTACCAGAGGTAAATGGAGGATGAGGCTTAACTACACGCTCTACGCTGGACAGACAGTACCTGCCTGCTACCTGAATAATTAGACAAAATTAACTGTTTCAATATTCCATTAAATAATAGATAGTAAATTAACAAAGGCGGATGTAAGTAAGGATGCAAGTATGATATCAGGACGGGATTAAGATTGTAAATTACTTAATTACTTCAGAGATTTTTGTTTTAACTGACTCTCCAAAAAATTTGTACAATCTGCTTTTTAAAAAAGATTCAATAATTCATTTTTTCGCATTCATATTGGCATGCGAGTCCTTATCTTTTCTAGTTGAACCTCGTTTTGGCATCCGTTTCGTTGATGGAGCTTGTGTTGTTGTAGTGGTTGTCGTCGTAGTTGTCGTAGCTTCTGTGGTTGTCGTAGTTGTCGTTGCTTCTGTTGTTGTCGTAGTTGTCGTAGCTTCTGTTGTTGTTGGAGCTTCTGTAGTCGTTGTGGGAGCTTCTGTAGTCGTTGTGGGAGCTTCTGTAGTCGTTGTTGGTGCTTCTGTAGTCGTTGTGGGAGCTTCTGTAGTCGTTGTTGGTGCTTCTGTAGTTGTTGTAGCTTCTGTCGTTGTAGAAGCTTCTGTAGTTGTCGCAGCTTCTGTAATTGTCGCAGCTTCTGTAGTTGTCACAGCTTCTGTAGTCGTTGCAGCTTCTGTAGTCGTTGCAGCTTCTGTAGTCATCGTTGCAGCTTCAGTCGTTGTAGAAGCTTCAGTAGTTGTAGGAGCTTCTGTTGTTGTAGTAGTAGGAGTTGTTGGAGGCATGGTAATTTTAAGTGGTTTCCTCGATGGGAAAGTGACCGGCTTAGGGGTGGTCTTCTCAAGGATGACCTTGACGATGCTCAAAGGCATCCAGTGACCAGGCATGTCGGCTTCAACAGGATTCGCAATGAAAATCAAGGGATCGTTTTTAGGTCCCGACCATTTTCTACCTAGTACACCAGACATTAGAATAATTGCGAATTTTACCACTGTAAATAAAACAGAGTAGCATCAATTAATCATCGCATATAATAAATGTAACACTACGCTTTTTAATTTAGACTTCCAATTTTACAGATTTTTCGACACAATTCGACGCCATATCCCTANAACTGATTGAATTTGAGTGACCGTCATTTACGGTCAAATTGTTCAAAAACTAGTCAATTTGTCATTTTCAGTCAGTTTGATTTAAAATGAAAATTATATTGTATTAAACCAGCTTTTGCCCACGACTTCGCTCGCCCGAAATTAACGTAACAGATCATTATGATTATTAAAGTTTCAAAATTATTTACGTAGTTTTAAATAAATTAAAGGTAAGGCTGGTAAAGGTCGCGGGAAGTACCTGGATGCAAGCGGCGCAGGACCGGTCTTTGTGGAAATCCTTGGGGGAGGCCTTTGTCCAGCAGTGGACGTCTTTCGGCTGAAACGAACGAACGAACGAAATAAATTAAATCTACTAATCACAAAGCAACACACATTTTTAACCTATTCCATTCACAAAGTATTTTGTTTGTCTAACTAAATAAAAAAGTACAATCACAAAACTAGATAGAAATTGTAAGTAGGCAGATGTAATTAAACTGGGTACTGTAGGTGGGCAGCCCTATCGCATGTTGTCATACTGTGACGTACCGCGCGACTGTTGACATTTATTTCAAAAATATGGCNGATACTTTTATATTGCAATTTCTTATTAAATCTCCATTGAAACTATTTAAACTTCCATATAGTAAACAAACCACTTACTATTTTATAAAACTACGTCCACAAAATCCTTAGAACCAAAATAAAAAAGTGCGAAATTAGCAGTCAAAAACAAAAAAACACTTTTACCGGTTAACTTACAGTTAAATATTAAAAATGAGATGTGACGGCTATGCGCATCAGTGCTGGCAATATAAATTGTGATTTATACCATTGTAGCCTAAACCAGTGATTTTTAAATTCATTTGTTCTAAGCTGCCCCTGTCCAAAGCTGCCCCCCTCTCCCCTACATAATTTTTTCGCATTCAAAATATTAATAATCCATTTTTCTTTGTTAATAACTTTAGTCGGTAATTTTTCACCATAAAAATGCGATCGGTGAAAATTTAGAATCCTAATTTAATGATCTACATCACATGTTTTAACGGAATTCATAAACTATAGCTTGGATTATTATTCACTCATAATTCTTCGAAACTTGAAGTAGAAGCGAAATAATATTTTATTGCCAATAGTAAAATAGCTTATTGAACTCGATAATAAATCATATTGAAAATTCTGTGGAAATATTATAAAAAATAAAAGTTTTAAATCCTATTTGGAAAATGGGAACACCTTCTGCATAAGCTCTCCTTACTTTATCTAAGTATAAGATTATTTAATATTATTGTTAGTTAGGTAAGTAATTGATCCCTAAGAAATACTTATACATATCTAATGCTTAATGATGATGATGACACCATCAATCGAGACAATTTCATAGCGGAACCAATGACAGGGGAATAACTTCCTTGACTGGTCCTTTTATTAGTGAAGAAGCAGTTATCCTGGCTTCACAGGTCTTGCAGTGGTGGAAACGAAGCGGTGGGAAATATTAATAATCCCGTACCAAAGCAAAAATTTCTTCTACTTATTACATTCATAATATATTTCTGAACCCTGAAAAGAGCTTATTATTGTAGCAATTAGTACTCTATTTCTAGTTGATAGAAACTAAATTTAGTCCTGTATTTTAATTGGGAACATCTAGAAAGATGAAGCCCGGTTAATCACCAATTTACCTCTACCTCATAGTTCTGCCTCGTAACAAGTTACTTTGTCAACGCGGGCCGATCCGGGAGACAAATTGCCAAAACGGACCTAATCTCTTGAATGAAGAACGATCAAAACCCTTTTACGAGGACCTTTAGAAGGTCCAAATTGAAGAACAGTGACGCAATCCTTCCACCTGCCAGCCACCCGATATCTAATCAGAACTCGAACCTTTGTCCTTAAAATCTCGGCACTATAGTCTACCATCATTACGCAAGAATGGGCCGAATTTGAAACTTATTTGACACAATCACCTTTTGTGTTACCGTGCGGTACCGTGCTCGATAAGTATTTCAATAAACAATCGATGATTTATTGGTGTATACTCGTAATAGTAGGTATAAATAAAAGCATTCATTGATCGTTTCAAAAGATATTTAACGATGAGATAGATTTAAAAACCATTTTATAAGGACTGAAGTCTTTACCTACTTAACTGCCCGTGCTTATGGTTACCTAAGTAGGTACATCAGTCTGTCTTTGAGCTTCCTATAATCCGAAAATAAGACTAGGCTCTTGACAACGGTGTCCTCAGTTTTGTTCTTCTCACAATAAGATACATTGTTGGCATGAGCACCAGTGACCGTGGACCCCAAAATACAGAAACGACGCTAATGGAACACTATTATGATTCAAAATCAAAAAGCAGGCACGGTTGAACTAAGATTAGGCGCAGACCATCGATTTTAAGTTGGCCAATAGTTTATTAAATTATTACTATTGCTATAACTGAAGCCGTTTGCTGTATGGATTTTTTGAATAAAGTAATAAAGTCTTTATTGTGTATGAACAAAGGTTACAAGGGTTCTTATAAATAGGTTACAGGCATCTCTTAGTTCTACCTTTTCAGGTGAATAATACACAATTATTAGTTCGAAAAATTGTATTCAAATATCGATAACGATTTGAACTAAGTATTCAGATACCGACATCCTTAGCCTTCCCAATGTAGGGTTCAGAAAGGTCGACACAACAATACAAATCAGTAACTTAAATAAGTACATATTTGCTACAGGTAATGTAATTCTGTCTTTGTCCCTCTTTGTCCATTGTATTTGAGATTGACATATGTATATTACTTTNTTTTGGGACATTTACCATTAGGAATTGGTAGATCTTAGGTTTTACTGGAATATCTTAGAATTTACTGCAATTCGAGCTTTTACAGTAACATGTATATTACTTTTCAGGCTGCTTTCTATTTATTAGGTGAGGTGACTGATGGAAAACTGAATTTTCTTTTTATTTGTTTTGTCGATCGTTTGATTGCTTGCAACTTTATTGACCGAGAGGAGATAAAATGTGGTTCCATATTGGTCAGAAGGTAAACAGTTCTCGTCCATTATACAAAAATAATAAAATACACGTGCTGTTCACCACTTACCCTTGTGGTGGTTGTCAGTCACGTGCCCTCCCTTTAAATAAAGCCGTCTGCTCACGCACCGAAACTTATTTAGTCGCAATGTAAGTTTATAAATCGGTTTTGACTAGTAAAATGTTTCCTACCTAACCGATAGTTCAGAATCAGATATAGTTAATTAAAATTATAGGTATTCCTTGCAGGAGTCAGGACGTACTTAGGTCCTCTAGCAAGATACGTTCCACCTGATGTTAACATAAAAGCATAAGGATAATTATCTGAAATAAGTAGGTATAGGGTAAGTATGCAATTATTTCCTTACACAGTACGCAAGGACCGTGAATAGGTCGCCTTATTTACCAGGTTCACTCGTGTCATGTCAAAATCAGCTTCCGTTTTATCTGTGTCGGTACCAGTTATGTACTATTTTGGGATTGCATTGACTACGGGAATACCTATCACTTTCAAACAATAGCTATTGTCTCGAAGTATGGAACTACATAGTTCAACAGAAAGGTACCAAACAATCTATTCCTAACGCGAACACATTTATCTTCTCGTAGTAGGTACAGTCGCGGAATGAAAAGGTTCGTCACCTTAGTGTCGGCACGGTAATAATATCATACAGTATTGTAACTTCATATAAACAGACGAAACGAGAACTTTCTTTCGAAATTCAAATCTCGGTATGCGCTCGGTATGCAAAAGTCGGGGGTGTCGCGAATGTGCCGAATGGACGTCGGTGGCCAAGTGTTAAAAATGACAAAACTGATTGAATTTGAGTGACCGTCATTTACGGTCAAATTGTTCAAAAACTAGTCAATTTGTCATTTTCAGTCAGTTTGATTTAAAATGAAAATTATATTGTATTAAACCAGCTTTTGCCCACGACTTCGCTCGCCCGAAATTAACGTAACAGATCATTATGATTATTAAAGTTTCAAAATTATTTACGTAGTTTTAAATAAATTAAAGGTAAGGCTGGTAAAGGTCGCGGGAAGTACCTGGATGCAAGCGGCGCAGGACCGGTCTTTGTGGAAATCCTTGGGGGAGGCCTTTGTCCAGCAGTGGACGTCTTTCGGCTGAAACGAACGAACGAACGAAATAAATTAAATCTACTAATCACAAAACAACACACATTTTTAACCTATTCCATTCAAAAAGTATTTTGTTTGTCTAACTAAATAAAAAAGTACAATCACAAAACTAGATAGAAATTGTAAGTAGGCAGATGTAATTAAACTGGGTACTGTAGGTGGGCAGCCCTATCGCATGTTGTCATACTGTGACGTACCGCGCGACTGTTGACATTTATTTCAAAAATATGGCCGAGTTGGAATACTGTATAGATAGTATTACCGTGGTGTCGGTTTTCGCTTGCACTAGGTACTGTAAGAGTCAAACCTGCCAACATAACCGTGCAAGAAACATTGCTGCTAACATTTAAATAAATATGACGTTTGCTAACGAATAAGGTTTTGCTTGTTTATTTTTCTATCCCATCAGTGCAATGTTACAAAATGTAGTTTTTTTTAATTAATAGATAATGGCAGGTTGAACCAGTGTTGCCAGACGTCCCGATTTTGGCGGGACGTCCCGATTTTTAAATCAAATTTAAATGTCCCGCGCGGGACAGGCTCGGTCCCGCTTTTCGGAGAGAGACACTCACTTCACCAGAGTATTGTTTGAAACGCCATATTATTCTAAAGAATAAATTATTTTTTATTATATTTTTGTGTTTTTCTTCTTTTTTTATTCTAAAGACAAATTTAACGATAGAGTAAATCATTATTTTTTTGTTAAAATACATTTTCTATGGCTATCTATTGTCACGTAAAGTTCCAAAATACTGGACTGTCCTGTCGATGACATTGACAGTGGGGCGCCACCGTCAATACCGGATCGCTGGTTCAGATTTTTGCCATGTTGGAAACCATATAGTTGAACGATGGTAGCGCCCCCCTGTCATTGAGTTTGGTGGGACAGTTCAGCGTGGGTCAACTATAAACGTAATTTTAAGTCAAATAAAAAGATAAATATTTGACAACCTTTGATTAATACGTTTTTTTACTATGTCCCGCTTCTGACGGAAGAATCCGCTATTTTCACTCAAAAAGTACCAAAGTCCCGACTTGGCGAAAAAAAAACTGGCAACGCTGGGTTGAACCAACAAGAAGGTTTTAGTTTATCAATCATAATAATCTTCTTGACAAGTTAAATCGTCAAACAACTTTGATCTGAATAATTTTGAACTTTACTGACGAATAGTTAAAGATTATTTTCTTTAACTCGAGATTATTCTGTAACATAGTTTTAAAAGGTAATATGTGCTCGCGATTCGTTGAAGGAATCAATTTGAAAACTGACGAACCTTTTCATTCCGTGACTGTACAATCATTCGACTTGCTTGTTAAAACCATTTAAATACTACCAGTGCTCGGTGTATCAATTGGCCATGGCATTACCAAAAGACTCAAATCGCGGTGAGAGAAGGCTCTATGGCTAGCTCTGAATTATTATTTCACGCATTCCTCCTCCTTCTTCTTCGTAATTTGTTTATGGCCAAGGTCTAGGCACGGTAATACTATCATACAGTATTGTAACTTCATATAAACGGACGAGACGCGAGCTTTCCTTCGAAATTCAAATCTCGGTATGCGCTCGACATGCAAAAGTCGGGGGTGTCGCGAACGTGCCACAGTAATAAACTGACGATGTGTTGTTTTGTAAACAGTAAGTATTGTTTTTATAAAAAATAATTACAAGTAATTATTTATACAGGGTGTTAGGTAAATGGGCTTCTAAGCCGACACTAGCCCATATTAACATTGTATGTAAATGGTATGGTGTAGTCAGTGATATCATATTTTTTTAATATTCATACAAAATAAAATTTATAAAATCAGATTTGTATGAAAATTAAATTATTAAAATGCTGATATAAAATTTCTGACTTCACCATACCATTTATATGCACACGTTAACATGGGCTAGTGTCAGCTTATAAACCCATTTACCCAACACTCTGTATAATAAATCAAGCTTTTTGTACGCCTCGGTAGAGGAGCATTCATTTTACGGTCGCAAAATAATATTTGTTACTAAATCTTAACACAAATATTTTTTTTTAGTTAAATCTAATAACAAGACAACATGCATTTTTATCCTATTTCATTCACAAAGTATTTTGTTTGTCAAAATAAAATAAAAAATTACAATCACAAAATACACTCAAAACTAGATAAAAATTCTAAATAGGCAGATGTAGTGAAAATAGGGTCTGCAGGTGGGCAACCCTATCGCATGTTGTCATAGGGTGACGTACCGCTCGGCTGTTGACATTTATTTCAAAAATATGGCCGAGTTGGAATACTGTATAGATAGTATTACCGTGGTCTAGGCATTCCTCCTCCGTTTTCGAAAGTTGGCGGCGTGTCATGTTGATTGTCATAAGCTTCTTGGCGGGAAATTATGTTCAGGAGATTTATTTTACTTTCTAAAAGTGTTTAGCTGAAATTAATCTATAATAATGGTGGATTAATATTAACTAATAAGTGTTCGTGAAGGCGCATTATGTAACTATGGATGTAACAGAAAAATGAAATATTTTATGATAATAAATATTTTTCTTTACTGAAACCTAACGAAAAAAGGGAGGTATCACATCATCATTATTAAATCATTAAATAAAACGTCTAATAATAAATTACTTATTTAGGAATAGTTAAAAAAATTAAAACTAAAAATTTGACTGCCTTTGTTGTGTCCTACAAAACTGAAGCAAACAGCAAACAGTGGAAAGCATCCATATTCGTGGCCTCAGCATGTTTGTGGCAAAAGAAAGCAAACACAAAAAAAGCGTAAAAAAAAGGCTGCGTTCAGCCTATCACCAGCAAATCACCAGCCGATAATGAGCATTCCTAGCAAAATGGAGATTACTATGGCAACCACCGAAAACTTTAGCATGTTTTTGACTTATTATTTCGGAACTATAGATGACCCACGCTGAACTGTCCCGCCAAACTCAATGACAGGGGGGCGCTACCATCGTTCAACTATATGGTTTCCAACATGGCAAAAATCTGAACCAGCGATCCGGTATTGACGGTGGCGCCCCACTGTCAATGTCATCGACAGGACAGTCCAGTATTTTGGAACTTACTTTTTCTCTATGCTTACTAGAACATAAAAGGACGCCATTTTACTATAACTTGCTAGCGCTAGTTACCTATATGGCGCTAGTTAGCGCTATTTTCCGCCAAACGCCCCCGTACTCTATGACGCCCCCGCCCCCCAGCCCCCCAGTCAAAATTTAGGTCAACAAACTGTGTGTGGTGTGAATGAAACGCAAAGTAAAATATTTATAAACAGTTGGCTCTTTTCTTTCCAATGGTTTACTGTTTTTATTGCTTCATTTGTCCAAAAACAATACAAAAGAGCCTTTAAAGTAACGACAACTGTGCGAAGTGAACACCATGAGTGAACCAAAGCAAAGTACGCTACGCATAGATTGGTTTGATGGTACTTTGATTGAGGGAACTAGGTCAAGCAATGCTGCAACGGATTCGTTTGCAGACGAAGATGCACCAGAGACGAAACCTCAGCCTGAAAACCCCACACACACTGAGAAAAAGCCTATAGGCTTCAAACGACTGCTAGACATTTCGTTACTACAGCCGCCTTTGTTGACACTGGAAGTAGCACACAGACCAGGATTCTGGAATCTTTTTGATGGCGACCTAAAAGGAGACTTTATTGTGCTGATAGTGAAAGTGTTAGCTCAGATTTACAACACTCTAGAGCCTGGCGAGAAATCCAAAATAGCTACACTGCTGAAGACTAAATTTGAGACGTCTTCGTTTCTTAATTTATTAAAAGAGTACCTGATTAATCTACCTCAAGTTAGAATAAGTGAGAAAAAGATGAACTTCCAGCTGTGGGATGACGTGAATACATTTTACAATAATGTTGTGTCTTTATGTGAGGGTATTGTGAAATATGGTGAGAATACCCCAGAATTTTTAAATCAATTGTGTGAGTTACTGGACGTCACTGAGAGCAGTGCTCTTGGAGTGAAAGAAGAGCATACGGAGACATTCAGTGAAGATTTTTTTGTTAGAATCCATCAGTTGCTATCCAAAATATTGGACTTAACTAGTGAGGTATGTTTTTTATTTTATTGTAATGAAAACAAATAGCATTCTTTAACACACATACATAAGAGTTATCAATAGACTTCACATTTGCCAAAAGAGTTTTCACAAATAGTTCTTACGTAGGTATTGTTTTATTAATTTGAGTAAACAGTACAAAAAAATTAAAATACATACAATGTTATTGGTTTTTGTAGTGTTGTAAAGATTATGCTTATGTATTAGCCATGAAGTATTAAGTAGGTAGTTAGTGTTTTGAGAAGAACCAATAATAAGTAGTATACACAAATAAACAAATTTTTGATTTTGTTTTATCAGTATGAAATTTCTAAATCGCTTTAATTTTAATAACATTTTTATTGAATTACCTACCTACAAGTTTTTTATGTTTATGTACCCACAGATTTTTATTTTATTACAGGAAAAAACAGAAGAGGATCAACCAACAAAGCAAACAATGGAAAATGAAGATAAAGATCCTACAAGCTACAAAAATCTCTCCGTGTTCCCGAGTACAGAGGATTTGTGTGAGAATTCCAAAATTGAAATCAAGCCGAACATTATCAACGGAGCATACCCTAGCGTTAAACATTACCTGGATTTACAGTTCAAATTACTACGAGAAGACTGCTTTGGGCCTTTAAGAGATGGAATATGTTAGTAAAGTGTTTTTTCTTATATTTTTACTGTTTTATTTTATTTTTGACATAATTAAAATGTGCATTTCTGCAGGTAAATACCTGGAAAATCCCACCAAAAGAAGATTTGAAAATATCAGGTAACTTTTTATGGTACTTTATACTTAATGATTGTATAATGTTTTTAGATCTTTATTAGATCTTTATTTTTGTTCAAATATGTAGTTAGTAATGGGAAAGAACTCAGGCATTTTCCACCTAAACAAGATATATCTTAATCTAAGAACAGATAAAACACAATACATTAATAATAGTATTTGTTATCATAATTATATTTTTCTACATTGTAGAGTATACCCTAAAGTCCGATTCCTCCGTACATATGTCAGTAACAACAAAGTGGGCCACCTAGTTGACTTAGCGTGGAAAGAACGTTTGGATAACGGAAACGTTGACAAGAAGAAATATTCATACAATAAGCAATTGATGTTTGGCTCGTTACTCATCTTTACATGTGATAACTTTGAGACAATTATGTGCGCTACTGTACTGGACTCCAGCTTAGAGTTGCTTAAGGATGGATATGTAAGTACACCACAAAAATGTAAATTATTGTAGACTTATAATTATGAACTTCCATGAGATTTTGCTTAAATAACTTAGATTTTTACACTATGTAAGAAGATTGAAGTATGTTTTAGAATAGATTTCTTTTACTATTTTTTACTGAGGTAGTTTTTACGACCCCTCGCGACCCCCCTATAGAGGCTTGGCGACCCCCGGGGGGTCGCGACCCACAGGTTGAAAAACACTGCTTTAGAAGACTGCCAATAAAGACTTAATGTACTGTTATAATGTATCTGAAAAAGGTAATTTTGAATGTTTAAATATATAAATTCATTACAGGTAGCCGCCTCATTTCAAGAGCCACTTTCGAAGAGGGCACTACTTAAACAGTACCTGATGGTGGAGAGTGAAGTATTTTTTGAGCCTTACCATAGAGTGCTGAAGGTGCTACAGAGTTTCGATGATCTGCCCATGAAACGATATATTGTAGATGTTCAGGTAAATAAAACGACACACAGTTGGCGTCCACCCGCCTATTATTGCATGAAAATGAACGTCGTGCCAAGTTGGCCAACCTGCGCATAAGGTTCATAATATTTTTCCATACGGTCTGTATTCCATCCGCGTTAGTTTTAGCGGAGGCCCTAAAAGTGTGATTTTCACACTTTTACATTGAGCATTAGGTGAAAATTATAAACATTAAATGTGTATCTAATTAAAAATAACTTTTTTATTTACAGACTGAAACCAAACCACCAGCTTACTTATCATCTGACACCACATACAGCATTACAGATCCTAAATCAGAAGAACTATCATTCCCAGTCTTAGATACAGACCAATGGCCGCCAAGCAAAGCCTTTGCCCTAGACGACTCGCAAATGGAAGCCTACAAATTTGCCCTAACCAGAGAATTCGCAGTGATTCAAGGGCCCCCAGGTACAGGCAAAACATTCATAGGGGTCAAAATTGCTTCAACGCTTCTCAGAAATATGTCCCTTGAAGGCACGCCGATGCTCATCATATGCTACACCAATCACGCCCTAGATCAATTCCTCGAAGGTATTTTACTGGGTATCACAAACAGCATTGTCAGACTTGGCAGCCAAAGTAAGAATAAGAATCTCGAACCATACAGTCTATACAACTTGAGGGGGAAATTAATATCGAAATATTCGCACCTTTACGGTAGCAAAAGATCTGAATTGGAAAAAATATTTAACAAGATGACAAAGTTGCAAAGTAAGATTGAGTTGTGTGAAAAAAGCATATTGAGTTACAACACTATTAGACGATATCTGTACATTGATGATAAAAGATATAAATTAGAGCTTTTGGATCCGTATGAAGATCCAGTATTGAGTTGGTTATTTGACGATCTCACAGAGGAGGATATGGTAGATGATGGGGAGGATGATGAGCAAGATAAAAAGGTGGAATGTAAAAAGAAAGATGAAGAAGACGATATTGAAGTAGAGGGGTGTTTTTCGGAACAGTGGGCTATAGATGAAATGGATGTATTAGCGGACAATAAAAAATTTGTGCAAGATCTAACAGCCACTATGATAGACAAAAGTGACAGTGCTGAAAGAAAGATACAATCGAACATAAACAGAATGAGGAAAAGGCTGAGTTGTTTCAAAGTAAGTCACTGAAAACTACTCAAACTCTGCATTAATTTTTGTTTTGTATTTGTTCCAAATGACGTCCACTGCTGGATAAAGACCTCTCCCAAGGATTTCCACTACCACTGCTGCCCTCATCCATGTGTTTTGTGCCAGCAGTGGACGTCATTTGGCTGAAGCGAACGAACAAATTGTTCCAAGTCATATTCAACCTATCGTTCAAATAAATACTTATGATATAATCTACTTTGGATTGCCAATATATTTTATAGATCGCTCAACGAAAGTTGAGACGTGTTTGAATACAGAACATAAAGAACACATTAAACATTCAAGTTTAAATATCGAATACACTAGCCACCACACTCTTGTTAAATGCAAGCGAGACAGAAAGCACTTGTCCAAATACAAATGTTTGTTTGTGTTGATGGCCTCAACTCTCGTTGCGCGACCTATAAATTAACTCAACTACTTCCAGAAATACATGAAGACACTGGCAGAAACTGACAAGCTTGAAAACCCCGAAAAAGTTGCAGACCTGAAAGACTTAACACAGGATCAAAGATGGTGCTTTTACTACAAAATAGCGATGTGTATCAAAAATCGCCTATTGAAAAGAATGAATAACTTACTGGTAAGTAGATTTATTATTTATTATTGGACTGAATTCAGTACCTAAGGCGTGGCCCTAGTGATGTGCCGAGTCGGCTATTTTTGGTATTCTAATTTTTTGGTATTCGTTAAAAAAAGAATCCAGTTAGGACTCGAGTCGGAAGACTCGGGCAAGTATTCGAGTACTGGTACGAGTATTCAAATACTTCAGTGGACTAGAGTACCTACTTTTTGAATTGAACTTGTAGTTTGCTTTTGACGACAATTTCTAATATTTCATCACAAATCATGTATAAACGATAGGGAAGTATATGTAAAAGTTGCATACTTCGGTTATTTTTTCTTCGGACCCATCCTATCACAAAGTAAGTGGTTAAAAAAATACTAAAATTTAACACTTATATTCCACAACTAGCGGCCGCCCGCAACTTCGTACGCGAGGATCCCGTTTTACCCCCTTCATCTGTCTTACGCGGTTAAGATTTTTTCATACAAATGTTTTTTCCCGCTAACTCCCGTTCCCGTGGGAATTTTGCAATATCCTGTTGTAACTAAGCTTTAAGTTTACTAAGGTACCTGCATGCCAAATTTCAAGGGTCTAACTTAAGTGGTTTAGATTTTTCATACAAAAGGATTTTCCCGCTAATTCCCGTTTCCGTGGGAATTCCTAAGTATACTATAACCTGCCCAGGAGTATGAAGAATAATTGTACCAAGTTTCGTTAAAATCCGTCGAGTAGTTTTTGTTTCTATAAGGAACATACAGACAGACAGACAGACAAAAATTTTACTGATTGCATTTTTGGCATCAGTATCGATCACTAATCACCCCCTGATAGTTATTTTGAAAATATATTTCATGTACAGAATTGACCTCTCTACAGATTTATTATAAGAAGTATAGATAGATTTAACTGATAACCGACACACACAATGCTCTTTAAAGTGGAATGGGCATACAAAATTCGACTGTAAGCACGGCGTACAGTCGAAGGTTGCTATTAAAGTATACGACTTAGTATTCGAATACCGTGAGTACTCGAAATCTGTACCTCTAGTACGAAAAACTTTCGAGTTCGTTTCGTTGCGTATTCAAAGTGTCATCGAAAAATTTTGTATGAAAAATTAAACAGCGCCCCCTATATTATAGCCGCCCTAGGGGGCGCTGTTTAATTTTTCATACAAAATTTTTCGATGACACTTTGAATACGCGAATTAAACAGCGCCCCCTAGGGCGGCTATAATATAGGGGGCGCTGTTTAATTTTTCATACAAAATTTTTCGATGACACTACTACTACTAGAGGTACAGAATACAGAATTTTACATACTCGAGTACGTGAGTACCTGCCAGGTATTCGAGTCTCGAGTACTCGAGTCAGTCTGACTCGGCACATCTCTATGAGTGGCACAGGAGCGTGTTTTTGTGACGGTCAAACGTCAGCGTGACTTCAGATCTTCGGATTTATATGCTCTGTTACGTCATAATATATCAATGTCACCCTCCAGTGCCGAATTGACAATCTATTCTCTCTTCCCATCTTGTGTATTTGTCGTAATGTCTCGTTCTCCCGCCAAAATATGTCAAAGTTAGAACGGTTTGTTTGTCAACATTCGGACATCCATTTTATAGTATACATAGTTGTTGCACATCACGAGGGCGAATCTGTTACTTGTCGGTTCTTATTTTATTATTCCGATATATTTAAGTATCTATGAAAAAGGGGTAGGCCTGTTGCCATACACCGACCGGGCACATTGTGAGGCAGAAATTTTATTATTATTCTTGTTATTTAATTTCAATGTACATTATACAATAATTCAAATTATAACAAAAACAAAATTCGATATAACATCTATTTTTATGGTTTGACAGATATTTTTTAAAACTATATTGTCTACAAAAATATGTAATCTAACTATTAAAAAGTGATGCACCTCTGCTATTCCAAATGACCATGACATTGGGTTTGTTTACATTTGGTATCGCTTCTCGTTGGCCGTACTTTTAGAGTGTANATACAAAATTTTTCGATGACACTTTGAATACGCAAACGAAACGAACTCGAAAGTTTTTCGTACTAGAGGTACTGTATTCGAGTTTTGTGGATCTGTACCTCTAGTAGGAAAAACTTTCGAGTTCGTTTCGTTGCGTATTCAAAGTGTCATCGAAAAATTTTGTATGAAAAATTAAACAGCGCCCCCTAAGGCGGCTATAATATAGGGGGCGCTGTTTAATTTTTCATACAAAATTTTTCGATGACACTACTACTACTAGAGGTACAGAATACAGAATTTTACATACTCGAGTACGTGAGTACCTGCTAGGTATTCGAGTCTCGAGTACTCGAGTCAGTCTGACTCGGCACATCTCTATGAGTGGCACAGCAGCGTGTTTTTGTGACGGTCAAACGTCAGCGTGACTTCAGATCTTAGGATTTATATGCTGTGTTACGTCATAATATTTCAATGTCACCCTCCAAAGCCGCTTCCATACCTCAGACATGGACTGTTAAGCGCTATACTACCTATAGTCTTTTTCACCTAAGATGATCCGTATGACGTTTCGAGTTTGAAAGATTTAGAGATGTCACATAACTAAACCATAGCGATTTATCTATCGATTTTATTCGAAGAGGTAGTGAAACCTACTTTTAGAGAAATATTTTGTATAGGTGTTATTTAACAAAAAACATGTTTTTTTTAATTACTAATATTATTGTAACAATTTTTTATTGATAATATTCAAATTTCATGGTTCGTGTTCAAAAAAACGATTCCTAAAAAGTACTGGTTCTGTTTCTTTAAATTAAAAACTATAAATTTATTTTCAATGCGTTTATTAAAGTCAATAATCGAAAAATATAGTTGATTTTTGTGATGTTTTTAGTAACTAAGTAAGTATTCACTGCAATCGATTAATGAACCGCGGAAATAATCGATTTTATTAAACAAGAAATACCTCAGCACTAAATCTATTCCGTTTCACACATTGCGTACATTAAATAAAAAATAATTTTACATCGTATTCAATTAAAATATAATCAATAGACTCAGATTTTACTATATATTTCAAGACAAGTAGATAATTTTTTTTTATTATATTGCTAATAAAATACAAACATTTTTTCAAAAATATTCTGCATATGTAGTATGCGTAATATGGATAACCTTGAAGTGTCATACGGATCATCTTACGTGAAAAAGACTATAGAGTGTAATGTCTACGATTTTCTACAGGAACAACACGAGAAATGCAGCTCGGAATTGAATGAAGTGGCAACCCTGATTGACGCCGAGGTCCTTAGAACTGTGCGCGTGGTGGGAGTCACCACCACCACTGCTGCCAGGCGGCACGGCCTCTTGAGATCCTTGAAGTCGCCTATAGGTAACTATAATCTAGATTCTAAATAGGCTATAGTCTGTTCCGGGAGCACGTAGAATTTTGTCCAATGACCCCAAGCTACCCATCCTTATCGCTCGCGCGTAATTATGTTGCTGTCGCGCTCGCACACTCACTGCGGGCGCCCGTCCCACAGTCGCGACAGCAATATAATTACGCGCGAGCAATAAGGATGGGTAGCTTGGGGTCATTGGACAAAATTCTACGTGCTCCCGGAACAGACAATAGATGACAAAATTTCAATTATTTGTCCGTCAGACAGATAATTAGAAAATATTGGACTCATATTTTTATTTTCTTTCACAATTAAATAATAACAGTGCTACATCGAGTTGAAATGGCGCGATACGTCACGCTTGAGTAGAATTTTTACTCAATATAATACTGTATTATTCGATTATGAAAAAAATATGAGTCTAATATTTTCTAATTTATCTGTCTGACGGACTAAATAGAATTTCGATTTCATTACTCAGTCATCTTCCCTATTATCTGGAGCTTTAGTTTATCATAATTAAAGGACTAAACACACTGCACACTTATATGGATTGTAAGTCGTAACCGTGTCTAAGTAGATACGTAGTAAGTAGAGGCGGTCAGTATTCTTTGTATGAAACTCCGTACTGAAACGTACACTTATCTGCACCGTAAAGTAAACGCCTCGCCTCGCTACCAGCTCGCGGCGAAAAATTAATTAAAAACGCTTAAGGAATTACTCCATAAGATGTAAGAATTACTCGGTTTGAGTAAAACTCCTCAAGATATTAATAATAATAAATAATAANGGCGAAAAATTAATTAAAAACGCTTAAGGAATTACTCCATAAGATGTAAGAATTACTCGGTTTGAGTAAAACTCCTCAAGATATTAATAATAATAAATAATAATAAATCTTTGGACAATTTCACACAGCGCCAGCTAGCCCCAAAGTAAGCAACTTAATGCTTGTGTTATGGGTGCTAGCTTAACGGATATACTACTTATATACTTTTTTTTTAAATACATAAATATTATACATAGTCACACCCAGCCCCGCCACAGAAATTAAAATTCATCATTTCAATTTCTGCCCGGCCGGGAATCGAACCCGGGACCTCTCGGCATAGTAGTCCGTTCAGAACCACTACACCAAACGGCTGACAATTGGGAGTATGTTATTAAGTGCGTGGGGTATAAGCAATGATATTTTAAGAAATACTAATAATAAGGTAATAAGTTACCTAATTTAATCCTTTTGAAATCGATCAGCTCGCCCAACTTTTATGGGTCATATAAAAATTAAAAATGAAATGTTTGTTTACAGTAATCGTGGAAGAAGCCGCCGAAGTGTTAGAGGCACATATAGTAGCCTCGTTGACCGATCACTGCGAGCACCTCATACTCATCGGTAAGTAACACAACAGTAAATGAACAAAAATCTACGATAGCCGAACGGTGAAGGGGTCGGACTGGACGACTTGTGATGGACGCCACCATTAGACATGCGCGTAATTATATTGCTGTCGCGACTGCGAGCGCGACAGCAACATAATTACGCGCCAGCGATAAGGATGGGTAGCTTGGGGTCATTGGACGGGATTCTACGTGCTCACGGACCAGGCTTTAGCAGGACTATTGTGGTAAGCTCACTCGTGATACAAGCATAAATTTAGCTTAGTAAGAGGAGCCTAGCTAACGGGATTATTAGTAATTAGTACTTATGTACTAATAATCTTTAAAAAAAGAACTAGGACAAGTTAATGATAGTTAGTATTTGTCTTGAAATAGACACAGTTGGACACTCTTAGTCATTTCACGTTATTTATAAAAATAATGATAATGATTATTTATAATAATAATAGCTCATAAGAGCTGTCTGAACTTGGTTTTACATAGATTTTGTTCGGCAAAGGGGACTATAACGTCATCAGGTCGCAAACTCATTTGACATTCAAAAAAATTTCACTAAAATAACTCCACATAACACAAGTTCCATCCAACTTGTAGTTTCGGCCAATTCTTCAGACGAAGTTGAAAGTTGCTAATAATCGCTGAAATAAAATCGAAGTAATGGCACAGAATAATAATAAGTACTACGTACAGAAGTTTAACTTCGCGAAGGTATTTAAAAAAATGTATGCTCAATGTCATTTATTAACAATATGGTGTAATTTAGCCTGTCTCAAGAGCCAAGCACCATTTTGTTGACAAACGTCAGTGATCGGCACTGCGCCGAAGCTATAGGGCTGACTTCGGTAAAATGATGTGACGTGAGGTGCCAAACTGCGGAAAATGCCGGAGGAAATAAATGATTTAGCATGAATTATCATGAATAATATTAACTACTTATTTACCTCTCAGTGTCTTGAGCAACTTAAAAAAGTACATTTGTGTCAGTGTTTGTTTTTATTATTATTTAGGCAGTTAAATACTGCAAAGTAACAGTATTTAGTACACCATTTTCTTTATTTTCTTCCATCATACACAAGAATACGCGTGCGGTGAGTCAATGTTCGCTCGTATGTGAGGCCTTGTCGAATAGTATCCTGTAGGTGGGCCATCGTGCGTGTTTTGTTTTCGATGTAAACTCGCGGAGATGAACAGGCCTGGTAATGGTTGCAAAGTAAATATTCTTGAATAAAAATATAGCATGTATTATTTTATTGACATTGTCCATCTTCTTCTAGACGCCCGTATTTCGAAACGATGCTTGCTTAGTGAAGCAGCAAATCGAACGCACAGCGTTGAATAGAGCTCTGTGATTGATCCGTGTGTCACCCTGTGCGTGCATCCACCCGCACTGTGATACGGGCGTAATAAACAGTTCAAAATCCAAAACAGGAAGTTCGTTGTCCTTCTTTGACTTTGTTTTTATACTGCAGAGAACTTTGTAATGTTATGTTTTTTACTGTTTATTGTCAAAGATATGAATGACTTCATCCACCGTCATAGAAAGTATCAATATCCTTTGTTGGTTCAAAGTACGAGGACCGTGATGTCAAAAAACTGTGACCGGTATTGACGTAAAACCATCCTTCTAGCGCAGTCGGGTAAAAACAATATGTTTTTGTATAGTACAGCACACCAACTATAACAAAAAAAATGTCTTTGTCAGGTGACTCATACATCCCAACTATCCCAACTAATATTATAAATGCGAAAGTAACTCTGTCTGTCTGTCTGTTACGCTTTCCCGCTTAAACCTCGCAACCGATTTTGATGAAATTTGGCATAGAGATAGTTTGAGTCCCGGGAAAGAACATAGGATAGTTTTTATCCCGGTTTTTGAAACAGGGACGCGCGCGATAAAGTTTTTCTGTGACAGACAAAATTCCACGCGGGCGAAGCCGCGGGCGGAAAGCTAGTATGGACATAAAAGTAAAAATGTATTACAGAAATGCTAATGAGAGCCAGAAGACGTAGCGTGGGCAGGCCTCCGACTAGGTGGACCGACGATCTGGTGAAGGTCGCGGGAAGTGCCTGGATGCGAGCGGCGCAGGACCGGTCTTTGTGGAAATCCTTGGGGGAGGCCTTTGTCCAGCAGTAGACGTCTTTCGGCTGATACGAATGAACGATTACAGAAATGAATAAGGCTGGGTGGAACTCGGTCTCTGACCCGTTCGCCCCGTAAGTTTCACCCCTCATATCATAAATCTATTATATAAAAGAAAGTCGTGTTAGTTACTCCACTTATAACTCAAGAACGGCTGAACTGATTTAGCTGAAAATTGTCAGGGAGGTAGTTTAGAGCCAGGAGAAGGACATAGGATACTTTTTATCCCGTTATTTATTGCCATTAAGGCGGAACAAAGTTCGCCGGGTCAGCTAGTGTAAGATAAAAGGTAAAGGGGCGAAAGGCCCTCCTGATGACTAGACTGTAGGTACATACTATTTATTAATTTAATAAAGTCTTATGTGTCCTAAGTAACTACGGTCTGCGAGTTCGTTAAGACGTCCGTCTAATAAATATTTTGGCCTTTTGACAGACATAATATAAGACTTTAGTACTTTGTGCCCGACTGCGCCAGAAGGAGTGTTATTTTATATTGCTTGTATCCTCAAACCGTCTAGACAGAGCATGTATAGTGGGCCAAAACCTCCATTTGCCTCTGGTGAATAAGAGAGGGTCGTGTTCTTATAGTTGAGATTAAAAAGTTAAATAATGAAGAATGTTCACTAATTTTGTTTTTTAGCTTTCTGTATTCTCTGTTAAAAATAAAAAATACACGTGAAAGAATTATTTCGATACGTCAATTAGTTTCCAAGATATTGAATTTTAAAAGTGCGGGCGGCGGCCGGCCCGCCATTTTATGCGCGTGACGTCATATTACAGTGACTGGCTCATATTTGTATGGGTGGAATCATGCAAGCTGAATTAAGACCCACTTCCAGGCAACCAATTAAGCTGAAATTTCGCAAACACATGCGATTTGGATGACCATGCAATATTATGATGACATGGAGCTGATCTGATGATGGAGCTAGAAGGTGGCCATAGGTACTCTATAATAAAACGACTAAAATGCATCGAGTTTGGGCTCGTTCGTTTTGTATTGATGAGTATTTTAATTCTATATAGTAATCAGGGTCTAATGATGAAGCTGGAAGGTAATTCGCAATAAAACGACACAATCGCATCAAGTTTGGGTTTGGTTCAATTTTAATTTCTGTGATGGGTCTGGGTGTTAATATGTATGATAAGTTTGTATTTACAAAAAAAAAATATTTAAGTATGTTTATATCCGTTTTCTAGTGAGCGGACACTGTGAATGTACGTCACGCGGGGTCACGTGACCGTCGGCGGGACTCAATATTTAAACGAACTTTGAATGCCTATAAAATCATAACTACTGGGTATTTTTGAACGAAATAAAAACTAATGTATTTGTAAATGTAAAAGCTTAACTGTAACATAGGTTTCAAGTGATTTTGCATACCTAGTAACATTCTCAATTCATTCATTCTATTCTATGTTCATATTTCCTGTCCCACACAAACAAACTGAGGAATGAATTGTCGTCTGCGGTATTTCCGGACCTATATGAATACAACCTAAAATCTTTCAAGAAGAGCGTACTTATACCTTAATTGACGGCAACGCACCTGTAACTCCCTCAGGGCTGCGGGTGTCTATGGGCGGTAATCACTTCACTTTCAGGTGATTCGTCTGCTCCTCCTATTTGCCTCCTATCCCAGAACTATTTGGTATCATATTTTATGTAATTTGGCATATTTAGAACATAAAACAAAAATTGATGATATCAGATTTCTGACTTCACCATACCATTTATATGACCATGTTAACATGGGCTAGTGTCGGCTCATATACCCATTTACCTAACACCCTGTATACTAGAAAAAACACATTTTCATACTTATTTTTTCATTCAACAGGTGACCACAAGCAACTGAGACCAAGCGCATCGCACTTCGAACTGGCAAAAGACTTCAACTTGGATATATCTCTCTTCGAACGCATGATACGCAATAGGGTGCACGCACGGGCTCTGTCCGTGCAGCGCAGAATGAGACCTGAATTTGTTGGGCTACTGGTCCCGACAATATACGAAAGCCTGGAAAGTCACCCTAGTGTGGTCCAGTATCCAGATGTTAGAGGCATGGGAAAGAACTTGTTTTTCCTAACGCATGATGTCTTGGAGGATTCTGATGTACGTAAATATTTTTTTTGTCTTCTTTTTTAATTATACTTCGTTCCTGAGACGCGTTTTGTGCAGCTGCACACATAATGCATTTATGCCTTTTTATTAAATTTTGCACAATAAAGATTTATTCTTTACGGCGCGCGCCACGGGTGAGTTTTGTCACCGTGACACCTTATTTCTTTCCATATATAAGAATTAGTACTACGTTCTCTCTTTTTCTCTTTAAGTGTGAAAGCAAAATATATACTGTCACGGTAATAAAAAGTCACCCGTGCGCCCAAAGCCTAATGAGGGCTATCGTTTTTATACTTAACTGTTGGCACCCCTGGCGATTGACAGGACCTCACTCTACAGTGGCGCCATCTTGATGAGTGCAAATGCGATAGTCCTCCTACCACTTTAGCGCTCACAAGTTGGTGCCACATGCCACTGTCTTCGCTACTAGCAAGTAACAGGACCTTACTCTACAGTGGCGCTAACTGGTGAGCGCTAAAACGATAGCCCTCATTATCATGCACTAGATCGGTATGCACTGCACGTCTGATGATAAAGTCTAGCGTGATTTGGTCTTCTAAGACCAACACTTATCTTCTATAATGTATCACCCGTTTTCAGGGCACGGAAGATAGCTGGAGTCACAAGAACACACTAGAAGCTAACTGGAGCCTGGCCCTCGCGGACTATTTGCGTCGAATGAAGTACAAATCTTCTGAAATCACCATACTCTCCACATATAATGGCCAAGTGACTTTGCTCAAAGAGGTAAAACTAGCTAATGCTGTTTATCTCTCTCACTCATAATGTAATCCCAGATGTAGTGAGAGTCAGATAGAGTCGAATACGAAAAACTTGGAGGCTGAAAACTTTATCCAAAATGTTGCTATTTTTCCCTATATCCATCTCTTTTACTCATTCTGTCATAAGTGAGAGAAGAATAGAGCAATAACAGGAATCATCTTTTTAATATTCAAAGCCTCGAAAAATATCTTGCTATGAGCTGGATAAATACTTCGAACCTTCTATGAAAACAATATGTCGTTAATATTTACTGTACACGACTAACTATTTAATATATTATACAGGGTGGAATTTTGTAATGCCACCTGGAGGGAAAGTACTCTCAATACTGTAGATAGAGAATTTTACTCAAAGAAAACATTCCTTTATTTTTGAAAATAAATGGAACTGCATTCAAATATTTTCAAAAATTTGCTTGCATTACACAGGAATCGAACCAACTAACATCTGTTAAAAATTACACCCTGTATTTTTATTGCATCGATCGTTAGGGTTAAGTATAAGGATGAAATCTCTCTAACAAACTTGATAAATGAAATGAAAGGAAAGCCATAAATTCTTACATTATTTTAATTATTTACAGAACATTTTATGGTATGGTAGTGAATTTTCGAAAAAATATCGGAAGTCTTTGAATGCAGTTCTATTTATTTAAAAAAACAAAGGAATGGTTTCTTTGAATAAATTTTTCTATCTACAGTATTAAGAGTACTTTCCCTCCAGGTGGCATTACAAAACTCCACCCTGTATAACGTACACGTGATTCTTATGTCTAAGTCAATCGTGATTAATATTTTTAGCAAGTTCAAATAAGTTTTCTTTTGACTCTTGATTTACACACAAACGGGGCGTGGCCTATCTATCCAACGATTACGTACGGGCACATGCCCTTAACACAGTGACGTCTCATCTATACTTACTGATATTATAAAGCTGAAGAGTTTGTTTGTTTGGTTGAACGCTATTATTTGAAAAAAAGAAAGATACATTTATGACAATGGACATCACAAAAATACAGGCAGTTACATAGACATGACAGTGGCACATAATAATGGAAGAAAAAAATAAAAATAAAAACAAGAGTAAACTGAGCAGTGCCACCCATTCACCAACAAGATGCCCACTGCAACGGGACCCCACTCAGCATATGCCGTGGCCCACGGTGACGAAGGCCACGGCGCTGGTTTTCAGTGTGCCCCATGCCAAGTGCAATCTTCATCATCATCATCATTTCAGCCATAGGACGTCCACTGCTGAACATAGGCCTCCCCCAATGCTTTCCATGTTGATCGATTGGTAGCGGCCTGCGTCCAGCGCTTCCCTGCTACCTTTACGATGTCGTCGGTCCACCTTGTAGGTGGACGTCCCACGCTGCGTTTTCCGGTACGCGGCCTCCATTCCAGAACCTTTCTGCCCCATCGGCCGTCAGTTCTGCGTACAATGTGCCCTGTCCATTGCCACTTCAGCTTGCTAATCCGTCGGGCTATGTCAGCGACTTTGGTTCGTTTACGGATCTCCTCATTTCTGATTCGATCTCGCAAGGAAACACCAAGCATAGCCCTCTCCATAGCACGCTGTGCAACTTTGAGCTTCTGTATAAGGCCCATAGTGAGAGGCCACGTTTCCGAACCATAAGTTATCGCTAGTGCAATCTTAATTTTTCATAAAATTTAACCAATCATATCATATTATTTTCAGCTCAGCAAAAAATACAGCAAACTGCGCGATGTCAAAATAACCGCAGTGGACAACTACCAAGGTGAAGAGAACAGGATAGTCATATTGTCGCTCGTGAGAAGCAACAAAGAAGGCAAGATTGGCTTTCTGGCAGCACCCAACAGAATTTGCGTCGCGTTGTCACGAGCTAAAGAAGGTAGATAATTTTGGACGTGCCCTGTCATGCAAAAACGCATGGCTAACACCTTTTCAAAACAATAATGTATAGGCTAACGCTTAACTCAGTGTCTGAGCCCTGAGGTATAGGATGGAAAGAAAGAAAGAAAAAATATTTATTTGACAACTAAAAAGTACAAAAACAATGAGGCGGAGAAAAAAAATGTTGCCAAAGAGGTCACCCACTCAGTATTATCTTGACAGTTGACAGTTGGATGGGAAATCAGTTTGATCGTTTTCTGGAATTAGATAGAAAGAATGTTCCGTGACCTTTTGATTCTTGTATAAAATGGAATTCTTGTATAAAATTAATTACCATTTTACTTCTCACGTGTCGTGTATACACACATGATAAAAATGTGGCTTAAGCTTATCTCGTTTAACCACTATGTATTTTATGGATTTATTGGTATTTAATGTTATCTTTACTAGCTGTAAAAACCTAAAATCTTTTACTGCGAAACAAAGTATTTAATTTCGTTGCAAAATATCAAATTACTCAATGTATACCACAGAAAAAATACTTGAGGTTTATGAATAAACTAGCGGCCACCCGCGACTTCGTACGCGTGGATCCTTTTTTACCCACAGGGGTGGAGTTTCATAAAATTCTTTCTTATCGGATGCCTACGTCATTACATCTACCTGCATAGCTCACTTTGTCACTTTCTGTGTAAATGATTCGCTGTGATCTAGAGACAAAAACGGCGTTTATTTCAATGAGGGCTATCGTTTTAGCGCTCACCAGTTGGCGTCACTGTAGAGTAAGGTCCTGTCACTTGCTAGTAGCGAAGACAGTGGCACCAACTGGTGAGCGCTAAAGTGGTAGGAGGACTATCGCATTTGCACTCATCAAGATGGCGCCACTGTAGAGTAAGGTCCTGTCAATCGCCAGGGGTGCCAACTGTTAAGTATAAAAACGATAGCCCTCATTGCAATCCGATCCAGTGGTTTGGGCTGTGCGTTGATAGATCACTATGTCAGTCAGTCAGTCACCTTTGAGTTGCATATACATATATTTAGATAACATATTGCTAAGCTTTGCTAGGAAGTCCTTTAATTTATTTTTGTTTTGTTAATTTTACTTCTGAACTTTTGTTATCTTTGTCAGGTTTTTATATCTTCGGCAACATGGACGTCCTAAAGTCGGCCAGTAACATCTGGAGGTCCATAGACAGCAAGCTAACAGCTCAAAATGCTATTGGAAAACAACTGCTACTGAAATGTGTGAAACATAATGGGATTATAAGGAAGGTAAGCAAAATGTTGTATATTCTTAGGCTGGGTTGCACCATCTTACTTTAACTTTAATTAACGTCAAAAAATACCGGTTGTCGTTAAAGTTAGGTGGTGCAACTTAGCCGTTGTGTTCTTTTGGTAAGTTAGGTCGCGCAGCGAAAGTTGAGGCGAACACGATACTCTTAGTACGAGAGCCCACGACCAAAATTTTTGTCTCATAGCAATACGGACAAAACCGCATCAAATCGATAGATACGATTATCCTGAACTTGAAAATACCAATATCAGACATTTTCCGCGTAGCGTTTGATCTGACCGAATTTTCAAAATTGTCAAAGAATTTTACCGAACTGCATCATAGCAATATGTCTGATTTGCAGACTGTAGTTGAAAGATAGTTCTGAGATACCGGAAACATTATTTTCAGACGTTAGTGGTGTAGCGCAAACCCGTAAAATCGCTTAAAAAAATTAAAAATGAGACAAAAAATATGTCTCATAGCAATACGTCTGAAAATCTTTTTTATTAGTAAATTTTGGTTATTTGATGCGAACAAAACAATTTTCAGACGGAAATGTGAACGCATTAAATTTTGAGACCGTTTTGAAAATGTTAACAAATTTTACCGATCGGTATCATAGCAATATGTCTGAAAATTGTTAGACATGATAAAATAAGTTGTCCACATGTGCAAAAAATTTATATCAGACAAATTAAGTGTAGCACCTTCTCTATCATACAACTTTTTGATACACTTAAAGTGTCTGAAAACAGGTTTTTGGTAATCATGGCAGCAATACGAAAAGTTGAAAAAAAAATTTATCCGTATTGCTATGATACAGGTCGGCTAAATTTGTTGACATTTTCAAAAATGCGCTCAGGCTATATGCTACGCGCAAAATGTCTGAAAACAAACTTTTTCGTAATACAATTATAAAATCTATGTACATTTTCACTATCAGACGTATTGCTATAATACCGACTGTCTTTTTTTTTTGACACAGCAGAAATGGCCTCCCACGCAGTTGCTACACTTTCGACCGTTACTACACACCTAGTCGGGTTCAGAATCATACAATCTAACGATTTTATAGGGTTTTTGCCGTATTGCTATGAGACATGGTTTTGGTCGTGGGCTCTCGTACTATCTGATACTGACCTAATATTTTCAATTATTCATGTACAGGAACATACTTTAAACATTCAAATATGAAATACACTAGCTATCTCGCTCTTGCCAAATGTGTGCAAGCGAGACAGAAAGCGCTTGTTAGACTACGCACGTCAGCGCGGCCAAACAAAACAAATCTTTGTTTATTTATATCGCCTAAACTCGCTGCGCGAACTATTTTATTAGACTAATGCCCATTTTCGAATTTTGTTTTCATAGAGGTCACTTAAAAATTAGGGATTGATGTTGAAAACGGGCATAATTATTAATTTACTCGGAGTCGAAAAGAAATTCCCGCTTTCCCTGAGAAATGACGCAATCGTGGAAGTTTTTACACTGAAAAATATGAGGATACATTAAAACCAGCCAGTGAAGTTCAAAAACGGTCGTCGTTATTTATTGGCTTATAAGTCTGGTTGCCGAGCACGTAGAATTTCGCCTGCCCATCCTTATCGCTCGCGTGTATGATTATAATTTTATTGCTGTCGCGACTGTACGACGGGCGGCCGCAGTGAGTGTGCGAGCGCGATAGCAACATAATTACGCGCGAGCGATAAGGATGGGTAGCTTGGGGTCATTGGACGCAATTCTACGTGCTCGGTGACCGGGCTTTAGTAGTAGTACCTAAATTCCCCATACTATAGCGCTTAACTCATCAATGCCAGAGGTATGGGAGAAGCACGGGAGTGTTTCGTGACGTAACAAATAATTTAAATAAATTTAAATAATTTATTTCATAATATAAAAAGGTTTACAATAATTAAAATATTGACCAAACTTTCTTTTAGGTAAAAAATATACCTGTACCAGGAAGTGAGGCTCTTCTATGTCTAGGTATTTTGTTACTTATCTAAACCAGGGTTTCCCAATTTTTTTTTTCCAAGGAACCCTAATTGATTATACTTTTCCTAGCGGAACCCCCGTACTACTCCGCCCGCACGCCCTGCCTCTCCCTTGTGCGTAAACAAGTCGGTGCGAGCGAACAACGCCGGTCACGAAACGTGGGATAATATTTTTTACGGAACCCTTGCGGCCTTTCCACGGAACCCCAGGGTACCGCGGACCACCATTCGGGAACCGCTGATCTAAACAATTGTTTTGGAATAAATAAAACAAAAACTAAGTAACGTTACATAAAATACACTTTTTTCAATTCAAAAACACCATCCCGTTCCGCTCCCATACCTCTGGTACAGAACTGACCGAGTTATTGCGCTAAACCTATACCACAGAATAAGTAATAGTACAGGTACAGAAGGATTACTCCGCAAGACGATTTAAATAAATGCGAGTCTTGCTGCGACGCGATACAGTGGAATTCAGCTCGCACAGCACTACGTACCTACAATTTTATTCACCTACAAGTTTTGTCTCTTTCTATCGCGTGCCTCTGAACTCTTCTTACGCTGTTAGGGTTGCTGTCTAGTGAAAAAAATAATTAATCTACTTATATGTCATGAGGTACGTACCTCATGACACGTATGTATGTAAGTACGCATTCATTATGGAAAACCTTGGGAGAGGCCTTTGTCCAGCAGTGGACGTCATTTGGCTGAAACGAACGAACGCATTCTGAGCAGTAGTCATGGTAGGTTAGGTTCCTATACTATCCTAAGAATTATTGATTACCTACATGGCCAAATACCTTTCAGCATCTTAGGGAAGCGAAAAAAAAGATAAATCCGGTAGTTCTCTTTATGTCCATTTTTAAATAATACTTCGATCATAGAATTAGGCACTACAACGCACGCCACAGCGTCCTGACGGGCGCGCGCGTGAGTCCGCGTGACACTCGACTGATATAATACCCGCCGGCGGGGCGCTTCGCTGTAGGTAATTATCGGATGTACCGCGCGGAGTGAGCCAGGCCTGCCTATACATAAATCAGTATTTTCTTCTATCACAAATGTGCTTTCTGTTTCAGGTCGCATTTCCAGAAGATTTATCTTCTTCTTCTTTAAAAAATATTTGTTTAAGCACGTGTGAAATAAAATAATTTGTAATCAATTTAAATTCTTTATTTGCTGCATGTCGTGAAATTTTTAACATTTAATATTAAATTGTATTGGATTTAGAATTTTAGATCAATAAATAGTAGTGCTTTCAAGCAGTTTGTTTGTTCATTTATAACCTAGTTTAAAACATTGTGATGGTCACATTACTTCTTTAATTAGTATTACCCTTATAAATAGTCTTAAGTCATTAAGCACGTGTGAAATAAAATAATCTGTAATCAATTTAAATTCTTTATTTGCTGCATGTCGTGAAATTTTTAACATTCTATAATTGTATTGGATTTAGAATTTTAGATCAATAAATAGTAGTGCTTTCAAGCAGTTTGTTTGTTCATTTATAACCTAGTTTAAAACATTCTGATGGTCACATTACTTCTCTAATTAGTATTACCCTTATAAATAGTCTTAAGTCATTAACATAAATTACACTTTTGTGACGATACATTTTATTTAACCCGGCGAGGATGTGGAGGGGTCAATTTGACCCCGCACTTCATATTTTTGTGTACAGTCATTTATCCCGTAGCCGTGTGCTGTTGAACGTCTCAGTAGCTGGAGTAATTGAACTATGCTCCCCTTTGCACGCCAATATTCAATCGACAGCAGCCGGTGAAAGAAAATAGACGTGTGCAAACGTAAAAATGAAGAAATTTTGCCAAAACCACATTGCTCTATTTTGTTAACAATGACCTAATTTGTACCTTAGAAGACAAATTATGAATATTTAAATAATAAGATATTGATTACCAGAAAATACTAATTAATATTATGAAGTATGATGAAATTGCTTTTTTGTTACCAGATAACGCAAATTTCACTATTTTTTAGACTTTTAGAATAGCTGTATTTATCTAAACATGTTAATGGCTATTGGTGAATGTTTAAATTTAAATGCTTTAATTACTAACTATTTCTTAAGTTTCTTGATAAATATAATTTAAATTACCGCTTAGTAGGCAAAAATCTACAAATCAAATACAGGGTCATGAAGACCCTCCACATCCCCGACTTATACTATTTGTACCACATCCTCGCCGGGTTAAAGGCGCCTTCAAGTATGCACTGCAGTGGCACCACTGTGGCACAACTGCTGTATTAATATCAGTTTAAATGTGTATTATGTAGTATACTAAAGTCCTTCAGACTCGTGTCAATTGAGTCACAATCGCGCCACTGCAACGCGACGTCACTATCGGCGACTAATTTGAAAGCTTATAATTAGAGATGAAACGGATAGTTGTTTGGCCGGATACCGGATACCGGATATCCGGCCAGCTGCTAGGCCGGATAGCCGGATATCCGGCGGCCGGATAGTTGGCCCATTGTCTCGTTGCATGTCGTGACGAGTATAGCGCCGCACAGGTGCTTCGAACGCGATCAGTGGGTCTATTAGTAGAATAGACTAGTCACACTTTTGAAAAATCGAATCCGTCCGAATAGAATGTCAGATTTTGCCACTTGTTTAGGGGGCAGATCAATTCAATTTCGGCTGCAATCGTGAGTTAAAATGAAATGAAAATGAAAATGAAAAAGTGTGTGATTGAATAGCGAAAATTTAACTATACTGGTCATCACAAAAATCGGCCCACCTACGTTTTACAGGAAAACTCGTTTCTACTGACACAGTCATGGTGCCCCAACAATATTGGTGTTATTTGAAAGCCCAATAAATATCCTTAAAGAAAAACACATTTAATTTCTTAATAAACGATTAACATAAACGCGATAGTTATACAATAAATGTGACTTGAAAAAAGACCTCACTTTGGGCTCACCTCTGGGATCAATTAGACCAATTTTTATGGTTATAAAACCAAATAATGATCTCACGTGTCCTCTTTAACAGATGGATAGCGATTAATCCCAACTGAACAGTTTTATAGCCATAAAAGTCGGCTCAAGCGTAACTACCTATTTTTTGAAGAAGTGACTCTGGATTCTTCTACAGACACATTTTTGGGGTAATCCTTTCCTTTAATGAAATGAAGTTTAGAACTAGGCTTTTAAATGGTGCCAATATTGGTGGGAAGTGGGGATGCATACGTTTGAAAGTGCTTGTCGCGGGAGGGTCGATCTTTGTGATGACCAGTGTAGTTGCATCATGTCATCAGACCATCAGTGAAAAAAAATCGCCTTTTTTATTTGGCAATATTTCGATATTAACAGATATTTACTATTTATCTATGTATTCGTCATTAGAGTGAATAGCCCAGAAAAATAAATTAGTTTTGAAAGGCCTTAATATGGCTTTTTTGTAACTTTTTGGACTTTAAATAAAAGCCGTCATTATTGTAAGCCATTTTATTGATATTTACCTCAAAGATTAATGTATTTCATTTTATTAATAGGAAATTGTCGTTTTTTTTAAATATCCGGTATCCGGCCGGATAGTGAGTTACTATCCGGTATCCGGCCGGATAGTAAATTAAGGCCGGATATCCGGCCTACCGGATAGTTGCCGGATATCCGTTTCATCTCTACTTATAATATCGTATTTAACATCTCATTTTTCAGCGACACTTCTCCTATGAATAATATACAAATAAACCGGGTAAAAATACCATGAAAAGCTTACACGCGCTACTGAAACGACCGACCAAAAATATCAACACCGATTGCTTTTACACTAGGTATGGAAAAAATTAATACCTTTTGCATGTATTTCCTGAGTAGGTATTCCTAATATTGTTCGTGTCTTGTGAAAAATTTTACAGCTTAAAATTATCTCTGAAAGACATAAAATGCTAATTCACGTATCCGACTCGAGCAGTCACGTTTGGACTCTGATCTCAAGTTCAGTCTCAAGTGGGAGTCACGCCACATGAGATCACCCTCAAAACAAAAATGACTTGCAATACTTTCCTTCGCTACACAAACATTAAATAAATTGCGACAAATCACTGGCTTACAATAGACGCTCGTCAATAAATAAAAATGAATATTCAATATAAAGGCTAATTTTATTGTAACTATCACAAAAGATATTTTATCGCTTTCGATCGATAAATTGATCTCAAAAATACAAAATTGTTGTGTAACTCGCACGGAAAAATAATTAAGTGTAAATTGAACTAAATCCTACCTCTTTGCCTACTCTTTTGTATGCAAATGAGTACCTTTCTTACCAACGTAATGTGCGGGTACGTCATTAAAGATAATTTTCAATATTTTGTGAATATAATGTACAGGTAGATAATGTATAAGGTACAGGCCACATACATAGCGAAGCAAATGGCTTTTATTCTAAAATCATAAAAATCGGAATATTCGTAATACAGGCCTAAAGGACTTGTCCCATCGCTGACAAGCGAGTAAAGTTAGAAACTAGACACGAATCGGAGAGCAGCGAAAGAGGAAGAGAGAAAAAAGTTCCGATACTTTTTTAAAGGACTTTAAAGAAGAGTCCTCGCCGGTTAAATAGCTAGCGATCATTACTATAGGTGCGTAATTTATTGGCACGTTTAGTGAGTTAGAAATGGTTGATACAGGCTTTTTCGTCGGCGATGAGACAATTCGTGGTAAAACCTGAAAGATTTACGCGGTTATTAGCCTGCAGTGTACGCGCGACCTTATACATGTATTGCCAGGGTGACGTACATACATAATTAATATGCATCGCAGGAGCGGAAACAATTGACAGTAGACACTACCATTGTATGCTATTTTCCAATATTTTTTGTGTCTAGGTAGGTACAGTCAGCGTCAAATAGTTCGTACCCAAAGTAGCCAAAAAGGTTGCAACACGTTTGTGTTACAAATTGGAATAAGGTTGTGTTGTCAACTTTTTGGCCACTTTAGGTGTTACGAACTATTTGTCGCAGACTGTATTTTTTTATGCTAACAAGAACTCAAAAGCCTTAGCTTCACATGACTGTGTGCTGTGTTTCAGTACAGACTACAGCTCAAGCTAAACACTGTGGAATCTTATTCAGCCGTAATAGGGGCGAATTCGCAATAAAAATGTATAGTCTAATGAGCTGTTGTCTGTACATGAAATTTCAAAACACTATTTTTTTACATTTTCATTAAAATCAACACGCGTGTATCTATAGACATACGTAGTACCTACTGTTTAAACAACAATTTTATATATATATTTTTTTCAAATATACTCAACATCAAATAAGCCGCACCTTCCGCGACGCGAACTTTAACGATTTTCTTCTGACACAATCATGGCGCCCCAACAATATTGGTGTTATTTGAAAGCCCAATAAATATCCTTAAAGAAAAACACATTTAATTTCTTAATAAATGATTAACATGTAGGTACCATAAATGTGAGTGGAAAAAATACCTCATTTTGGGCCCACCTATGGGATCAATTAGACCAATTTTTATGGTTATAAAACCAAATAATGATTTCACGTGTCCTCTTTAACAGATGGATAGCAATTAAACCCAACTTAACAGTTTTATAGCCATAAAAGTTGGCTCTAGCGTAACTACCTATTTCTTGAAGAAGTGACTCTGGATCCTTCTAAAGACACATTTTTGGGGTAAAAACCTTTCCTTTAATGAAATGAAGGTTAGAACTAGGCTTTTAAATGGTACCAATATTGGTGGGAAGTGGGGATGCATACGTTTGAAAATGCTTTTCGCGGGAGGTGCGATTTATTTGACGTCGAGTGTATTTCAAAAACATTGAAGTAGGCATATTCTACCTACGCCAATACAAAATGTTCTCCGTCATTTAAATAAATATAAAACAAGTCAAAACTTAGACAAGGCTATCATAGTATTTCTCTGAGCACAATTGTTTAAGTTCAATATAATAAATTGTACTGTGCTAAAAACTTATTTTCTGAAGAATTCGTACAATCGTGAGTACTGCAATGAAACTTTTACAGAATAAAAATAGGCATTGCTTAACTATTCATTCGATTTGCATGTTCAATAGGAAGTGGTTTTGACTATTTGGATGACTTTCAAAAATAGTAATACCTCATTAGGTAGGTTTCAGTTAAGTAGGAATAATGTTGACACTACTGAATAAATTACACTTCAACTATCTACTTTAGAAACTGCATAGATAGCTGATATCGTTAAGGTCAAAGATGGGTAGTTTTAATCTTTATAATCATGACACATTGGATATCTCAGTAATAATTAGAGAAATCTATGTGCAAGTAAATGACCTTAATTTTATCAATGTCACGTGACGTTGTTGTAACTTGTCCAAAACATAAGCACAAAGTCATGTTCATGTATCTTTATACATAATATACTGAAGGAATAATATTATAAGTCTATAAAATTAATAATATTATCTACTTATCTCTATACTCATTCATTCAACATTGTCTAATGATAAACTAAGTATAAACGTTTAGTACTGGTTCACATTATGTCGGGCCGATAATTTTCCCGTCCTCGTCTATATTTTAGTACTATGTTGTTCGAAACTTTAATACATACACACTGCTACTGCTACTACTGAGCTCATAGCAGTCACGGATCGGATTATTTCTAACCGGTGCAAAGAAGCGCCCTCTCCCAGTGTTTGAGTAGGTACCCTAAAAAAGGTCGACGCGCTCATGACTCGGTTTGAGAGTAGGTACTACTCTGGTAGGTAGATGATTTTGTTCAAACGTGTCTGAGTAAATGATTTTGTTCAAAAATACTGGATCGTCCCGACGAAGCAATTGACCCCCGACTGTTATCATGGTCGGGCGACCGATAATATGTCGTTGCAGACAGTTTTGTCGTGCCGCTGTCTGGGAACAATGCTACAGATACCTAATTAGGTATAAATTATACAAATGCAACATTCATTGTATCGATAAAATTGTCGATCCGACATAGTGTAAACCAGCTTTTACAATGCGTAGTTAAATGTAAATAATTAGGACCATGGGAATTCATGGGATATATACCCATTACCTAGTAAAACGCGACTTGATAGCGACGACATGACAATAATAACTATCCACGTTGCCAAACAGTAAACAACTGTTTTTCTTGTACGACAATGTCATTAACGTATAGTATAGATACCTATAAAACTATAATGCTAAAGCCATAACATAAGTGTTTACTCATAAAACGGTCCAAAGGGCGACTACATTGTTTGTGTTCTAACGCATAATTTTATTTATTTATTTATTTATTTATTTATTATTCATTATTGAGCAATTACATATTTGATCCAAATAGCGTCCTAAATCCTTTTTAGGTTTGTCATAAGAAAAAGTCAATGCATTTTGATCGTCTTAAAACTGTAAAAACCACAAAAACTGTGAAACTAATATAGCCATGATTGATTATGTTCAGTAATTTAACAGTGTTTTGTTCAACAATTACGTGAAATTTGATTTCACAAAAACCTAGTGTCCTAGTAAGCTTACAAACAATTATTTGTTATTGCAATTGCAAACTACTCTTAAAAAGAAAGTACCGACCGTACTTCAATCACATTACATATCACATTTGCAAATTAGCACTAAATAATGCAGTTAATATTCTTCTAAGAAGTCTTCTACAAGTTGAAGTATATTTTCTGGAGCTTCTAAATGCACGTGATGGGTGCCTTCCACTTCCACAAACTGGACATCAGCAGTTTGCTTCATCTTTTCAATAACATCTAAGTAATAGTCCAGTCTCTCCCATTTCTGTCCTGGAAGAGCTCTTATATTCAGGACTTTACATTTCACATGGCTGGCGTACTCCAAAGCGGTCTCAATCGACATCATGGCCAGTCCAGAAACTTTTAGTCGTGGGTCCCTCTTGAAATAGTACCCTTTCTTCTTGATATGAGCGGGAGTAGGAGCCATGCCTCTCTTCATCAAAACTTTGCAGTTCTCCTTCGAAACGGAACCTCGGTAAGCGTCGCATACAATATCAATCATTTCATCGTAATCATACGACGGTATCTTATCCTCTGTTAAGTGTTCATACTCCAACAGCTTATCCATACTCCATCCAGTCTTCTCCACCATATTGGCGGGATCCCTGACAGCAGGGCTTGCTATATCGATGCATATTATCCTGTCCACTTCGTCCGGATACGATGCCGCGTACATAAAACTCAAGGCACCTCCCAGGGAATGTCCCATCAGGGTAACATTTTCAGTCCATTTGAAATGTTTGATGATTCTTCTGAGGAGCACAACGCCGTCCCAGAATATGTAATAGAGCATACCCGTTGGGTAGTGTGAGGAGAGGCCATGTCCAGGGAGATCTATGCAGAGAACTGAGGTGGTGACTGGCAGTTGGGGTATGAGGTTGTCCCAGGTGCCTGCGTTGTCTTGCCAGCCGTGTATGGCGATGATGGGCTGCTTGTCCCGAGGCCCCCACCATCGGCCGGCCACGTGGCCCCATGGTACCGGGATCTCTACTTCTTCCACGACGATGCCAGCTGGTAAGCCTGTAAAGGACAATAATACAAATTACAGATATTCCATTCGAACAGATAAATCGATGGGAAGATGATTTCTTGAACGGAGGCCGCGTCTAGGCTAGCGTCGGTCAAGGTCGACCACAAGTGATGGCAGCATCAGCGGCTACGTAAGAAATGCGTAATGATTGACGAAATATCGCAAACAGCATTGTAGGTAGGTAGATACTAAGGCGATTATCACACTGCACTGCGACATTATAACGAATCCCGCGCGCAAATGCGTTTTCAGTGTGTTGTGCCGCGCGTGTTTTCTATACAAACTAAGGTAGGTACTTGCATACAATTATTAAATCTGTCGTCCCGCGTACCGCGGCGAGCGCTGTGCAGTGTGATAATCGCCTAAATGATGATGAGATATTATGATGTTGGTATATTCAGGTAAATTACCTACGTATCTAATCTATTACTTTTAATTTAATAAAAAGGTATCACAGAATATTTTTATAAATTTTTAAAATAGGTACTTTATTTATGACATTGCTTCATCATTATGTATCGAGCTAACTAAGTCCTTGCTTAATTAATAGTAATAAGTAGTCTAATCTCTAAAAAAAACATCTAAAACAGCAGTTGATGATCATCTATATATATAAAAATGAAACCCGTTTCGCGTTGTCACGGCATCACGTGTGAACGGCTGAACCGATTTCGACAATTCTTTTTTTTAAATGTTTGTGGAAGTCCAAGGATGGTTCTTACGGAAAAAAATATTAAGAAAATCTCTACGCTAAGGCGGTACGAAGTTCGCCGGGTCAGCTAGTTTTAAATAAAATAGGATAGCTAACAATGTAGTTCAAACAATCGAAATAGTTTGGGTACAAATGACACAATAGGTAAATAATGCCAGTAGGTAGCAGGTACACATGATAGAAACAATTGATTTGCTATTGTTAGTTTACATTACAGTGGATGTTAATTTACATAAATGGCCAGGTAGACAATGTTTGAGAAATATCTACAATGACAAGGTATTTTTAACATGTCCAAGATTGTTTTAGTAAACATTCTTAATTAAATGGTAGAAGCATAAAAATACCTTTAGTGATTAAATAGAAGAAGTTAATTTTGCATTAAGTAGGCAGTTCTTTGATGTGAATTAAAAGAGAAATAGGTACTAAAACTGAAATATTTTATGTCAATTTTAACACTTAAATCACATTAACAAATGAAATATTGATCTTTGTGTGTCCCTGCTATTAAAGGTTATTATTTTAATGCTGAACTACATGGATTGAAGCCAAATTAAGGTATCCGGTCAAGGTCTTTTAAATGTGATTGGTTGCAGCATGGAAACTTTTGGGTTATTAGTACAGCTCCATGGAATCTAGCCAATGTGTGGTATCAGGCACAAGGTCAATATCGAACTATACTAAAAAGGCGAAAGTGTGTGTGTGTATGTTTGTTACTTCTTCACATCTGGAGCGATTTTAATAAAATTCGGTATGGAGTTAGCTGACACCCTGGATTAACACATAAGCTACATTTTACCACTGGTAACACCCCACAGTGTTACAGCACAGCTAGTAATTCATATAACAAAATGCCAAATATAACTAAATGAATGTTGCTAATGTTTTTCTGTTCAAAATCACGAACACAGAATCAAGTCTGTCAGATATATAATATAGAGGTTTAAGGTTAGATATGTTTTAATAAAACCAAAATATTCAAACAGTAATTTAGCTGTGTAGTTGTTTTGAAAATTATTAATTCTAAACTATTGCTAAAATTGGAATTGGAATAATATGGGAATGGGAAATAATAAAATAACATTTTTAACCCTACAAATGTTCAGTAAGTACCTACTTATAATATTATTTTATTAGGAAAGATTACAAATAATGTGGTACCTAATCAGTTTATTTATAGGTTTTGATCAAAGTTCAATATTATTATGACTTTTAAAGCATGAAGAAGTAGATAAAAATAATCTATGCTGATAAGTTTGATTTATAATCACTGATTACAACAACAGCTGTTCTTAGATTAATTAATATCAGATATTATTACAGTCTTATTAATTTTAGTTAGGTTAAATTAATATAATTAAAGGTTGGAAGCTGAAAATGTGATCATAAATTATAATAAATACTTACCTACAACACAAATGATAGTAAGTAATACTTAAGTGAACTTAATTACCTCCACAAACCTTGATTGATAATAATAGTTTGATCAATACTTAAATTAGAAACGGATGTAAAATCATATTTTTTATTAGGAATAAAACTATATGAACACATGTTATAGAAATTATAGAATAACTAAGTTTAAGTGAAAACTAAAAAAGCATTGCCTTTATTCTGCCTTAAAATACTTTGCGGTTAATCCTTGCCTTTTTAACTAGACAAGAAAATGAAATAAAAAACTTACTTTCTTCTTTCTGATGACCATTGGTGAGTGGTTCTCCCATGCTTATTTCAGCACCAGGCAACTATTTAAATCACAAAGTGGTGAGTCAAGAATTCCAGCTAAAACACGACGTAATTCTCCACTTATCAAATGAGGAAATACACAAAAATCGTTTGATCACCCAACTTGGGAGTTTCAACACGCAAAGGTGACCGCAAAGTTCACTGTACGTAACTGAAACACGCGACTGTAGCGTGAAATTCACCTGAGAAGCACTAACACATTTAAACGTTCAGTCGGTACGATACAAGATTTTACAATGAAAAATTCTTGTGGCCTTTGATTTCGTTCGATCGATTTTGCGGAATTTTTTTTTTGACGTCAAAAACCTGCCATGTAACTGTCAATGTCAGCTGTTTGACGTTTTTACTTTTTCAACCAACCGTGACTGTGCAGAGCAAACACCTTTATACATCTTTGACGAGTTACGAGCATGCACATTACGTATTGCATTATGTTTTAGCTGAAGCCTGCCTGAAGCACCCGAAGAGTATTTCGCCAAAAATGGTCGATTTTGCCTAATTTCCTTGGCACCAATTTTTTTTTTGTTTTCAACTATTTTTATTTTTCCATTGCATTAAGAAGCAAAAACTAAGCCAATGTATCTAAAAGGGGTGTCTTAATTATGAAAATCTTCATAAAATTTTGGTAGCCAAGGAAATTATTATAAATATTGTTTTCTCTAAGTTTTCTTCTGTGGTTTGCTTTTTTTTAATTCGACCCATTTTAGTGTACCTTCGTAAGCAAACACACAAATGAATATTATATCATTATAACGTTTTTACACAACTAAGGATGATAAATGCAGTAGATTGAGTTAAGAGTTAAAAACAAGTTGTGCTATATTTATTCTGATACCCATTTCTTAAAATGTAAATTTTAAACTTATTCCAATAAAAAAATACTAAAAATTTGACTTTGCGCCGAATTAAAAATGGTCTTTTATAATTTCCTAGGCCATTTTAAGCCACGGAAAACAAGGAAATTAGGGCCAAAGAAATTAGATTTATGCCTAAAAGACACCACAAACAAAAACCTATTTACCCTATCCATTTACTATTTAAATCATGGGTTAACCCCTACAGACACTACATTTGTGTAAATAAACATTAAATTAATCCATTGTTTAGCTGCAAAAAACCGCCCAAAGAAATTGACTTTTTAGTAAACAAAAACCCAAGGAGGGACCTACTTTACGCGATTTGTCGCGAAACTGATCAACGATGTACCTACTATCCTGCCTTGATGGCCTCTTGGGACGTAATAGCCGAGTGTAACGGTGCAGTGCGTTACATTCTAAGTTTTTTCGTTTCGTTACTACAATGGTCGAAAAGAAGACACAGGGAAATTATACTTTTGACCTGGACAAGAACTTAACTTCACTTTATTTTCTTCCTATAAGTATTTGACATTGAAAGTTTTTATTTTCCGATAGCCAAACGTTTCTCAAATGTAAAGAGAGTGCTATTAGAATTAAATTACGCTTCATTTTTTTATAATGTGCCTTCATTTTGGCAAACAACTAATGGACATAACAAGGAAATTAGAAAAACGACTTTTGATTAAGTTTTTCTACGGTATTATTTGTAGTTTCTACTATTGTAATAGCAAAAACAAATAGAACTTTTGATGAACTTTCCCATAAAAATAGTTTTATACAGATAGATATAAAAAACAACGCAGGAGAACCAAAGTAACCGACATAGCTCGCAGAATTGCTAAAATCAAGTGGCAGTGGGCGGGGCACATAGCTCGTAGAGACGATGGCCGTTGGGGCAGGAAAGTTCTCGAGTGGCGACCACGGGCTGGAAGACGTAGCGTGGGCAGGCCTCCTACTAGGTGGACCGACGATCTGGTAAAGGTCGCGGGAAGAGCCTGGATGCGGGCAGCGCAGGACCGTTCATTGTGGAAAACCTTGGGGGAGGCCTTTGTCCAGCAGTGGACGTCATTTGGCTGAAAAGAAAGAAAAGAAGATAAAAAACATGTGTTCGCCTGCCTGGACACAGAAAATTTACTGTTTCGGCGAAATACCCCGAAGCACCTAAAAGAGTGCAACCTCCAGCGTTGCCAGTTTTTTTTTTTCGCCAAGTCGGGACTTTGGTCAGAAGCGGGACATAGTAAAAAAACGTGTACAATCAAAGGTTTTCAAATATTTATCTTTATATTTGACTTAAAATTACGTTTACGTGACAATAGATAGCAAAAGTAGTCATAGAAAATGTATTTTAACAAAAAAATAATATTTTAAATCAGATTTACTCTATCGTTAAATTCGTCTTTAGAATAAAAAAAGAAAAAAACAAAAATCGAAATAAAAAAAAATCTTTAGAATAATATGGCGTTTCAAACAATAGTCTGGTGAAGTGAGTGTCTCTCTCCGAAAAGCGGGACCGAGCCTGTCCCGCGCGGGACATATAAATTTGATTTAAAACCGGGACGTCCCGCCAAAATCGGGACGTCTGGCATGGCAACGCTGGCAACATCACACCATCCCTCTAATCTAAAGGAAAAATATAAACCACCACCCCAGCTGGACCCCAGCCCAGCCTACCCAGCCCTCCTTGACAAGTTAGAGGTGAGCGAAATGAATTCGTTCCGGAGTTTATTTATTTAAACTTTTTGCACTTAATCACTGTACAGTGTCGGACTTATTGACGGGTGGCATTATCTACCAGTCCACCACAAGACACTAGACTAACCGCGAAAAACACTTGCGCGAAATATTATTTGCGCGCACGGACACTTGCACGAAAATACATCTCAATACTCAATACTCAATACTTTATTGCATCCATAATAGAACGAATATGTTTGCGTAAATAAACACTTGCATGAAAGAAAGACACAAATGTCAACGCTCGCTCAAGTAAGTAGCTTGATACGGGGCGGGACGCACGAAAGAAAGACACAAGTGTCTGAACTTCAGACCTCTGAAGTCTTTCGCTCAAGTAAGTAGCTTGATGATACTGGGCGGGACTCAGAACCTATACCTACACTCTACTATACTATGATCTGAGGGGTGGGACTAGCTTCTGGAACTGATGGCCCCTGGGGCAGAAAAGTTCCGAGTGGCAAACAAGGGCTAGAAGATGTAGTGTGGTTAGGCCTCCTGCCTGACCGATCATTTGGTGAGGGTTGCAGGAAGCACCGGGCAACGCATTATCAGGAATAGCAGGACCGGTATAAGCGACGTGAACGCCATCTATTGCAATTATTGTGCAATCAATTTGTTTTGGAATGATTAATGCTTGAAACGGAACATGTTTTTTTTTCATTCATTCGATTTTCGGAGATGCTGATTGGCCAATCTCGAAGTTGATGATCTGTCATTATAAGTGTCATCGTCAGTCAGACAAGAAACAGAAAAGTGGAAACTGGAAATTGTTCATTCATTTCAGGCAAGAAATATCCGCAACGTTGACAAATTTTATTTACAATGGCAGACAAAAGGAAAACTAAAAAGCGTAAAGAGGTGAGTGCATAATTAAACATAAATGTGGCATCTGAAAATGTGGTGTGTGTTGTTTTTGTCTACGTTTCTGTAATTCCGTATTGCGGTTTTTCCCTCAAGGAATACGTGCGTCTTTATTTTCCCTGAATCATATGGTGGAAATGAATTCTGTCTATGTATAGCCTAATTCAACGTAGTCGCACAAAGGCGTCCTTCCTGTGACGCGCATTGTTTGTTGGGACTCAAATATATCATTGTATGTTGTGCGTAGTTTTACGTGCTTGCATTTAGTGATTCGGCTATTTTGGTTATTCATCCAACATGTCATGAGCATGCTTCATCCGCCGAGTAAACAATAAACATACTGCACTTTTCAGGAACAAAGTATTCACAAAGAAAGTAGTGAAATATTTTATACTGAAAGTGCCTACCGCGTCATTTTTTATCGTGGAACTTACTATCGTAATGTATTATAAATTATTACCAGTTGTGGCCTAGGTAACAATTTGATTAATATTCTAATTAAACTGGTTTTTGTGTTAATTTGTTGTCAATTACAAGCACATTAATCAACATCAAATTTCTTAAATAATTTTGTGATGTGATTTCCATTAAATCGTGATTCCTAAAATACATCATTGATTGACACATTGCTTGCTTTATTAAAGTTTGATTGTTGTTATTTTTGCAGCGAAAAAAGGTTTGTCCATATCATATTAAATTTTCACATTTTCAAGTGTTATGTTTGCTTCATTGACACCAAAGTATGTTTATCGTGAGTCACATTTGAATCGCACTCTGCTTTTTTTATGTTTTCTACAATTGACATTAATTATCTTGAAATTATTATAATAAATATTACTATCTTGAAATTGGGGTAATTTTTTATTTGTCTCTTTTACATTGCAACACGTGCTACCAACTTTTGTACAAAATAAAAATATTTCTTTACTTGCACATATACTTCAAGAGTAATATACCTAGAAAGGTTGTTGACACCATTAAAAATAATTCCAATATCCAAATCCTTTAAAAAAATACTTCAATAAATCATTTAGGTAAGCGTATAGTAGATAGATTAATGGAAATTCATGCGCAGCTTACAAAACTTAAGTTAAAATCATCATTTGTCCTGAAAGCAATAATGTCTTTCAGACGATAACCATTAAATAATAAGATCATTAAATAAATATAATATCTGTCTTAAATTACTGATTAAGTTAGGCTTTGTCGGAGCTAATCATTTGTAGCGGCGATATTTGTAAAATAACATGTAACGCCTAACTACATAGTCCATTGTTTTCGTCCGCATTTTCCAGGCATTTGATAGACGTAAAACCTTTAAATATTAATTTCATTACATATAATATCTGTCTTAAATTTTATAATATAAGCTTAGTTGGAGTTAATCGTTTGTAGTGGCGATACTTTCAAAATAGTAGCGACTAACTACATAGTCCATTGTTTTCGTCCGCGTTTCTAGGCGTTTGATAGACGTAAATCCCGTGCATAATAAGCGTACTGCGAAAACGTGGCTCGTGTAACAAAATTAAATATTAAACCATTGAAAATATTCAGGTTAAGTATGAGGAAAAGTCTGTCTTGTATTGCATCATACAAAATATACAATAATTGATTACTCCTAAGTAATCCTAATTTTTCATTTGAACAAGAATAGTATCGAAAGTAATAAACTTCATTATGCACGCTACGATTTGTGGTGTTCGTTCAACATACATGCTCGACAAATGCGCGCGCTCGAAAAACGCGCAAGCTCAAAATACGAGCACGCTCGAAAAACACTTTCGAAAATCGCTAGGATGGGACTTGACGAATGTGGGATAACCCGTGGGAAGAAACGTAAACGAAACGACAATAGGTAAAGGATGCGCCAACGTCGCAGTAGCAGGAATCAAAGGAGTTTTTATTGAATAATTTTGAGCATCGTATAGCGTCATTATTTTGCTTCATCGCCTCAGGTGTAACGACATAACTGTTTACAGTTGTTTTATAACCGTGCTGCAATTTATTAAAAAAAATTACAGGGTTTAACCTAACGAAAAACTGGTCATTAATACGCTTAGGCTTGAGTTGCACCACTTTAACAGTAACTATGACGATAACCGGTGTTTTTTGTATGGAGTTTGACAGATTTTTTATGTTTGTTAAAGTAAGATGGTGCAAGCCAGCCTTTAACTTCTTTCTCATAACTCTGCTATAATTACCACACAGTAGGTATGGACATGAAACAGACCTATTTACAGTTAAAAATACTGAAATTGAAAGTTTGTGTAAAATGCTCATTATCAAGCTTAACTTATTGCTTATTAATCTTTATTTTAAATTCGTATTCTCATTAGGATTAAACATACTTTGAGATTTTTATTCAAATATCATGCTCTAATTAAAAATATCTCGCACAATAGTATCGTAGTGATGGTAGGCTTACTTCTTCCACCATGCCCAATCCATCGAAAGAAGTTTGTTATACATGTAATTCGTTCTGCGACCTACTTTCACCGGTCGGTGGACGCACAACTCGCATAACTGTCCTAGTGATAGGTAGTGCCAATATAACTCTAACTGTGCTTTTTAACTGTGCTATGGCTAGGGAGTTTGTGAGTATTTTTCCAGAAGGATTTTGTTTTTGTGTGTTTTAAGTTTGGAAACTGTGACTGTGTTTGTGTTCTTTTTGTTATCTAAAAAAACGTTCTGCCTTCTCTGTGTGATATTCTTATTACTTTCTTTCTTTACTGTCTTCCTATTCACGTTTTTTTTTTATTTATTTAGTTGCCGATAATATACGATTATCGGTAGTAACTCTCCTTTATTACTTTTCTATCTTTAAGTGGTATTTCCTGAATAGTCTGACAAAGAGCGACCTATATTTTAGGTTGGTGTAAGGTAAGAATTTGAACTTCTCTCGAGAGTCCACAACCTTCTTAGGTCAGGTATATTAGATCTATAGAGGGATTTAAGTGGTGGGAACAACGAGAAGAAGATCCGTCCCGTAAATCACTTTCATTTGTTTAAACGTGGATATCATTTTTGTGAGTTACGATGTTAATTGCATTGGCAATAACAACTGGTGGCCTAACTTATCTAAAATAAATGGGACTTCGTAAGCGTGAAAATAGTTTGAATAATATTTCCGTTTTTGCGACATTTCTCTTTACTGCTCCGCCCCTATTCTCTGTAAGGTGGTGTTATACATATAGCCCAAATAAAGCCTTCCTCGATAAATGGGCTATCCAACACAAAAAGAATTCTTCAAATCGGACCAATACCTAGTTTCTGAGAACTCTAGTTCAAACAAACAAACTCTTCAGCTTTATAATATAAAAATATAGATTAAATAACTTTGTCTTAATCTTCGCGTATCACTGTCAAGCTATTAGCTACTTACCATAGTTAGGTAATGCATGTTAATCACCAGCAGTTCAAAGTCATGGTCATCTTCATTCAACGTCTTACGTAACGCCGGCATTCTACTAGGTCGCATACTGTAGAACTGCTTTAGTTCGCTTTGCCAAAAGTTTTTAGAGCATGGAATTTTCATGAAAATCTGCAATTCTTTATGTAATGGCCTTAAGAAAACAGTATATCCCAATGTCTAGTTAGACTTATATTTATTTAGGAGAACGTCTTTTTAAACTATAGACTATTCAAACGACACAGCATATCAATTGAAACAATTGTTGTACTCAAAAGTAGCTCTTTTTGCACGGAAACAAGGTTTTCAAGATCAACCTTTTACATTTGTTAAAGTGGACGATGTTACATGGACGTAGGTTTTTTTTTGATAAATTCATATCCTACTGAAATGTTCGTGAATCTTCTTTACGTAGTTTTTGTCATTTATACACAGCTGTGTAAAGCCCGTAAATATGTTTTACAAAGGTTTATCAATTTACAAGCTTTTGTTTACTTTATTAATAAAATAGTACATTCAAATCGGGAACTAATATCAGACGTTAAAACATTTTGACGGCCACAAGTGGTCTAGCTAGTTGGTCTTCCGAGTCAGATTACTAATGTGTAAATGAGAAATATTTATATTGCGAATGTAACTATGAGTATCTCTGTTTGTTTGTTCTGTTACTTTTTCGCGCTGAGCCGATTTAGATACAATTTGGTAAAGAGATTTATTAGGATCCAGGAAAACATAGAATATTCCGGTTTAGGAAAGTAGACACTCTCGGCTAGACTTATTCGTACGTGTTCCACAGTAAGACACTTCGTGTTTCAAACTTCAAAACTCTTTTGACTCGGGTGCAATACCGACAATAATGATCTGAAGTCAGGCGAGGCGAGGCGAGGCTGCACGAAACGAACTGAAGTTCGTGTCCACACTACTACTTCGACTAACTTCTGCCAACTTCGCAAGTTGTATAGCTGAGTTATAACAATTATTATTTATATCCACAGGAGTTTGGCGAACCAACTGAATCTGAGAAGCCGACAAGCCAGGAGTTATCGGTGGCGAAATGGCTGAAGGCCAACGTGCCTACAAAGAAGACCAAGTTCTTGAACCATCATGTCGAGTATTTCACAGGTCAGTTAAAGTTTTTAATAAGTTAACCGTAGAGCTTTGTGAAATAAACTTAGGGGACGTATTTTTACATATGAGAAAGAATTTAAATTCACATATGAAACTTATGAATCGCTTAATTTTAATATTTTGGGTATTTTTCAGAGGAGAACCACTGATGAATGTAGGTGTTGTTATTATAATAAATTCTTTATAACACCTACAGTTTTCGTTTACAAAAACGGAACATGGTGACTCAAAAATGTAGAGCAAATACCGTTACAAATTCTTATAGAAATTAGAATTCGATGCTTACAAAATTACGCCTCTTAACCAAACGGTTAATATCTACAACGGTAGATAATAATAAAAACAATATAAAAAGGTTAAGGACTTTATTACTAGGAGTTCAATTTAGAACTCTGACACGTTCTCGGAATTTAAACGAATGACGTAAATTGACCAATGGTAACATCATGGCGTGACTGGCGTGACTCTACTGTGTCAGTATGTCGTAGTAGAGTCGCATTCTCGTCACGTCTTCACAAATTAATTTCACTCTTATGTCCGTATTAGTACAGACGCTCAAAAGTAGATTCAATTTCAAGTATAGATTTAGGCTTTCAATTGGTTGGAGTTCAATTTTCGATTAACACTTAAGGACTCGCTAATGGGTCTAACGGACCGATCTGACCGGACAGTTCTTCAATTTTTGTGTAATAACTTTTAAAGTTTGACGTTTGCGTTGCGATGTTTTCGCTCTTAGTACCTTTCCCCGACATTGTAGCACAGCCAATAGCGGTCATAATCATCAAATAGCCCACTGCATGTGATTGCTACAGACGAAAAATGTGTTTTTGAGTCCACTGAACCCGGTAAACAAGGTGTTTTTTTTAATGTTTTGTACTAATTTATCATTAATTGTTAATTGGTATAAGTAAGCAAATCATAGTAGTTTACGAAAATAAACAAGGTATTTTTTTAAATAATGAATTACAGAAATTTTCAAAAATAACCTTTATTTTGCCAAAAAACCTTAAATTTTTTAAATAAGTTGTTATTTTAGAAAAAGGCAATAAATATGACTATTTGGTTTATTATTTTGTCTTTGTTTATATCATATTATCCTTCTAATAAAGTAGATTTCACTTTTATTAAGAGTTTTTGAAAAATACATAAGATTTTATATACTGGGTCCAGCGCACCCGGTGGCGAGTATGACTGTTACAAATTAAGGCGCGAGTCCTCAAGTGTTATAATCACAGGACCGAATATTTTTTTTTGTTTTTCTGACGCTAGGTTTTTATTGTTCTATGGAAATAATCTAAATACTCATGCAACCTCGTCCATGTCCAAATTAGTCCACACTATGCCACTGAACACTGATGTTACGAGTAAGTATATCATTGCAATGGTATTCATTGTTAATAGATGTAAATCAAAACATTACCATAATGACAATTGCTAATGACTGTGCATTAGATAAAATAAGTAAAATCAAGCTAAAGTAGAACCTGATGATCGTCTGTATTTTTATAAAATTAAATGATGGCGAAATCAATATAAATAAGGGTTCTTTGCCTTGTCTTGACTACGGAACCTTAAAAGCCATGAAAAATCTTTTTCAACTCGCGTCATTTTGACCTACGCCATGTGTAGTCGAGGAACAAATCAATTCAATGCAGCTACACATTCTTCACAATGAAAACAACTTAATTGGGGAAAACTACTAAACGAGTAACGACACATCGCTGTTAAAGAGTTTCAACAAATAAATCAATCATTATAACTACCGAATTCTTTACTTATTTCAATATTTACACGTAAACATTGTTGTGAACATTGTTATTTATTGGTATTTAATATTTCGTCGTCGTCGTCAAACAACGTCGCATGTCTTCATACGTCTAATCTGTTTTAGGCATAAAACTACTCTTAAGTTGCTCCTTTAAATGATTTTACTATTTAATATTTTAAACTATTATGTTGCATTTTTTACTATAATAATATATAAAATAGATATTGTTGCAATAAATCCCGTGAAGTGATGATTTTACTATTATTTTTCAAAATTCATAAAAATATCGAAGATACAGAATCAATCACCGGGGGATGTGATTATTCTAAAGCATTTTACAGACGTGTTCTTTTTGATCAACTGATATTAGATCCTTCTTTGTTTACGACGACGTCGATTTATTCCCTAGTTTGTTTGTATGTAGTTGCAGAATTTTGCATATTTTGGCTATAGGTACGCATTACTCTAGAAATTTCAGCCGGCAGCAAAGTTGTTAATATCCGTCATGTTGCGCTCTGAGAAAAGATCACCATCACACTATATGTACACTATCTATCGTGTACCGTTACTGACTACCGTCATGGGGTTCATGGTGCAAAACACGGACAATGACAAACGTCACTATAGCGACACGTTATCTTTGTAGACAGCATAATTACGTTTTTTCTGTAACATAAATCCTCGCAGACACTAGGCAGATTAAAGACAAGACAAATTAAAGTCTACTTAACGTTATTATTTATTAAAACCCTTGTAAAAACAGACAATAAGAACAATTGCCAAGCATTATACTGATTAAATTACTTAGCGGCAATTTACATAAAACGACAATGAAGAAACAACTATTGTGCAATTAGAGCAATCATGATCTTTTGATTAGCCATGCAACTATGTAATGAGTTACTGACCTACAGCATGATGACGTTAAAACGGAGGGAAATAAACACTTCAGTAAATCATCATCATCTGATCATTTCTTAGAGTTTTGGTCTACACTCCCCACGCTGCAACGTTATACCAGGCCTGTTCATCTCCGCGAGTTTACATCGCAAACAAAACACGCAAGATGGCCCACCTACAGGATACTATTCGACAAGGCCTCACATACGAGCGAACATTGACTCACGCACGCGTATTCTTGTGTACCTATGATGGAAGAAAATAAAGAAAATGGTGTACTAAATACTGTGCAGTATTTAACTGCCTAAATAATAATAAAAACACAGAATGTACTTTTTTAAGTTGCCTCAAGACACTGAGAGGTAAATAAGTAGTTAATATTATTCGTGATAATTCATGCTAAATCATGTATTTCCTCCGCCATTTTCCGCAGTTTGGCACCTCACGTCACTTCATTTTACAGAAGTCAGCCCTATAGCTTCGGCGCAATGCCGATCACTGACGTTTGTCAACAAAATGGTGCTTGACTCTTGCAGGCTAAATTACACCATATTGTTAATGGAGCATACATTTTTTTTAAATTTTACCTTCGCGAAGTAAAACTTCTGTACGTAGTAATTATTATTATTCTGTGGTTAAACATATTAGATGAATGTGACATATGATGTGCCCTGGGCGCCCAACAACTGCCGCAGGAAGATTTAATGCTACTGACAACGCCACTCTTGTATCAGAGTTTTGGGCTGACACTGTGTAGGTTTGTTGTCGACACGACAAGAACAGCAGTTCTAGCTAAACTAAATGGGGAGAAAATCAGTAAATAAAATGTACTTGGATATTTTGTAGAGTCTAAAGTCCTAATCTATACAAAGTTGTACATGCTATGGGTATAAGACAACGCTGCAACGGATATAAACATACGTAAATATATTTTTTTGTAAATACGTAAGTAGTAACCAGTGACAGGAATAAGCAGTAGCATAGTAATTGACAAAATAATATGTTTATTTTTGTTGCAAAACCGCGAAAATTTTCGTGTCCCCATAAATATCTAACCTAGATCCAATGCATCTTGAAGGCTTGGAATCATGTCACTTGAATCCTCAATTACTTGAGTAATGACGACGTAAGATATGATTCAATGAAGCAAAGAGCCACTTTTAGTTTTTATGGGCCGCTAATAAAAACCATAGCTTTGTAAACGGGTTATCGAGCTGTTTTAACTGCGTAGAGCGTTAACATGGAACTAATCGTAGCGATAAAAATGACCTATTTATGTAAATTATACAAACTTTGTTATCGGAGGACGAATAAAACATCAAAGATTTTTCGTTATTGTAACCTATGTATGAATGTTAGGTTAACGTTCTATACTTCTTTATTTTCAACCGACTTCAAAAAAGGAGGAGGTTCTCAATTCGACCCGTATGTTTTTTTTTCTATGTTTGTTACGCGATAACTCCGCCAATTATGAACCGATTTGAACAAATCTTTTTTCGGCGTATAGGTAATACCTCAAGGGTGGTCCCATTTAAATTTAATAATAGAAAAAACAACCCCCAAGGGTGGAAAATTGGGGATGAACTTTTTTATACGCAATATCTCCGCCGATTATAAATCAATTTGAACGATTATTTTTTTGTTGAATAGGTATTATCAAAAGGGTGGTTTCATGCGAATTTGAAGAAAATATTTCACCCCTAAGGGTGGAAAATTGGGGATGAACTTTTTTATTCGCAATATTTTTAATTTTTAGTTTTTTTAGTGTTCACGCATTTGAAGTCGGTTTTATTTTTTTAAAAAGGTAATTATTTCAATTAATGTCTTTCGCACTCTCTATAATCCTGTCTTGTGGTCAGCATAGTTGAACACCGTTATTCAAATAATTTGCTTCCTTTATCGATAGTCCATTAATGTTAACTTCGTTAATTAATATAAAGTAAATGCCTCAGTGGTACCAAACATTAGGCTATACATTAGCACCTATCACAACGACGGTCGCACCTGGTGTTAAGTGAGATGCAGTCTAGGATGGTACATATCTGCCCTGTAACTGCCTTTTCACATCCCACAGTTTAACTTCATTCGCCGTTGTCTGTAATAACTTTTTTCTGATGTAAACTAATTCAAAATATGTTTTTTCTAGGCGCAAAAGCAGTTGACGCGCTACTAACGTCCAAATGGGCTACGGGGAAGAACCCGGTCTTCACCACGCGCCATGACGTCACGGACTACCTGCATCAGATGCTCTTGCACAAACTATTCCACAGGGCTAAAAAGGTAAGTTGTTTATTTCATGATCAGATTATTTAGTTTTCCTGTAGGAGTACTACCCTCTAATTTACCAGTGGCAAGCAGGGTTCGAAGTTATCAAGATAATTACGCTTCGTGATAATTATCAGATAATTATCGGATAATTATCAACAGTGTAAGATACATATTTGTCATATTGTTTCATAAGAAATTCTGATGTTACGTTGAGATTGTTGCTTTATGTTTTTGGTTACTGATTGTTGTCAAGTTATCCATTGCTAGTCGCATAAAGCGTTGTGGAAAATAGATATATATTTTGACGCTAGTTAACGAGTAATCGTTATGGAGCTAAATAGATAGGTTTTAGAATTATCTATGTTAAAAAACGTCCACCACAGTCCACACGAGTTTGAAAACTTCGAATACAGTTCACTTTTACGAGCGCATTTTTTTGTTATTATCAACTGATAATTATCCATCTGTTATTATCAAGATAATTATCATGATAATTATCATTTCGAACCCTGGTGGCAAGTAGAATTATCATCATCATCAAGCCATGTAGTTTCCAAAACTATTCTGACGTTTGATTCTCATATGACATTGACATTACGTCAATGTCACTATGACAGCAGCTCATTGGCTATAACGATACCGCTATTTTAACGTTTTATATTTTTCACAATTAACAGTAGTAAATTAAGCCGTGTGATTCCGGCAGAGTACCACCTCCACTCTTCGTAAAAGGCAACTAAGAGATGATTTGCTATCATTTTCTGGGGGCACGGCAGTGCCCCCACCAAGTCGAGCATAAAGGTTTTTTTGATGCCTAGGAGTGGTTGAAGAAGTCTTCTATGAAGACAATCCAGGAGATACTCATACGAACTAATAATTCAACGTTATTGTATTGAAACCTTACCTATTTTTAGGTGCCGGTCACTGAACAAGAGTTAAAGGGAAAATCCAAAAAGAAAGATGCAGATAAGACCAGCAAGAGTGGCGACGAGAAAGACGGAGAGAAAAGCCAGGCCAGTGCCTGTGAGGGCAAGGTAAATGCAGTGTTATTTAATGGATTATTGAGTAAATAGAGTTGTATTGAATATCTGTAAAATTTTAAACTTAATATGCAATAAAAAATTTGAATTTGAAAAAAAAAATTAAGTCCTCAACTGAATGAATAGGATATTTATAACGTCACTTGTTCTCTAACATGGCTAAAAAAAGCCAGATGGCTTTTTCATGTTTATCTTATTTTGAAAACGAATTGGGATTTCATTGGAAGTCGTGCTTTAGAATATTTTTTGCACGTGCTTGGCTGTCGTTCGTAAAAACAATCATATCGATCAATCGGTTTGTATTATTAAAATATTATTCGAATGAATGATTTTATATTTCCAGGACAAAGACAGCAAAGACAAAGAGAAAGAGAAAAAGAAACGCAAGATCCGTCTCGAGATGCATCTGGACCAGGTGTTCCTGGATACAGCGGATGCTTACGTGTGGATCTACGACCCGATGCCGTGGTACTACTGGGTGTGCGGCGCACTGGTCGTCTTGGGCACCATCGGAGTTTGTATGTTCCCGCTGTGGCCCGCTACTGTCAGGTAAGATATTTATGGAGAAACGCAAGATCAGTCTCGAGATGCATCTGGACCAAGTGTTCTTAGACAGTGGAAGCGTACGTGTGGATCTACGACCCGATGCCGTGGTACTACTGGGTGTGCGGCGCACTGGTCGTCTTAGGAACCATCGGAGTCTGTATGTTCCCCCTATGGCCGGCTACTGTCAGGTAAGATATTTATGGAGAAACGCAAGATCCGTCTCGAGATGCATCTGGACCAGGTCTTCCTGGACACAGCGGACGTGTGCGGCGCACTGGTCGTCTTGGGCACCATCAGTTTGTATGTTCCCGCTGTGGCCCGCCACTGTCAGGTGAGAATATTGATGGAGAAACGCAATATCCGTCTCAAGATACACCTGGACCAGGTCTTCTTAGACACAGTGGAAGCGTACGTGTGGATCTACGACCCGATGCCGTGGTACTACTGGGTGTGCGGCGCACTGGTCGTCTTGGGAACCATCGGAGTTTGTATGTTCCCCCTATGGCCGGCTACTGTCAGGTAAGATATTTATGGAGAAACGCAAGATCCGTCTCGAGATGCATCTGGACCAGGTCTTCCTGGACACAGCGGTCTTGGGCACCATCAGAGTTTGTATGTTCCCGCTGTGGCCTGCCACTGTCAGATGAGATATTGTTGGAAAAACGCAAGATCAGTCTCGAGATTCATTTGGACCAAGTGTTCTTAGACAGTGGAAGCGTACGTGTGGATCTACGACCCGATGCCGTGGTACTACTGGGTGTGCGGCGCACTGGTCGTCTTGGGAACCATCGGAGTTTGCATGTTCCCCCTATGGCCGGCTACTGTCAGGTGAGATATTGATGGAGAAACGCAAGATCCGTCTCGAGATGCATCTGGACCAGGTCTTCCTAGATACAGCGGATGCGTACGTGTGGATCTACGACCCGATGCCGTGGTACTACTGGGTGTGCGGCGCACTGGTCGTCTTGGGAACCATCGGCGTTTGTATGTTCCCCCTATGGCCGGCTACTGTCAGGTAAGATATTTATGGAGAAACGCAAGATCCGTCTCGAGATTCATCTGGATCAAGTGTTCCTAGACACAGCAGACGGAACCATCGGAGTTTGTATGTTCCCCCTATGGCCGGCTACTGTCAGGTAAGAAACGTTCGTTTCAGCTAAATGACGTACACTGCTGGACAAAGGCCTCCCCCAAGGATTTCCATAACGAACGGTCCTGCACTACCGCATCCAGGCTCTTCCCGCAACCTTCAGATCGTCGGTCCACCTAGTGAGAGGCCTGCCCGCGCTACGTCTACCCGTGGTCGCCATTCGAGAACTTTACTGCACCAACGGCCATCGTCTCTACGAGCTATGTGCCCCGCCCACGTGAGAATGTTGTTTTAGAAACACAGAATTCTTACATACATTCGTACATACAAGCAGTCACAACTGCTCGAGCAGTTGTGACTGCTTCGTGCAGTTGGAATTTCACCGTGCAGTCAAGCACTGACTGCTCGAGCTGTCGATTGCTCTGGCGCAGTTACCAACTCCCACTATCTTTATTACACGTCGCTCTTGTCACTTGTTGAGCAGTTATTACAACTGCCCCAGCAGTTATCAATTGCAGCTTCAAGCTATGACTATGACTGCAAGAGCGTCGTCATTGGTGCGAGTGAGTTGAGATAGTCGCCTCTCCAAACAAAATCCTTCCTAAATTGAGACCATAGCCTCTCCGCTTTTACTTAAAATTTGAATTTGATTAAAATCTTATTTTATTTGTCCACAGAAAAGGCGTGTACTACCTAAGTATCGCAGCGGCCGCATTCCTGGTCATGATAATCGCTCTTGCCGTGCTACGTGTGGTCGTGTTCTGTCTCGTATGGGTGCTGACGCTGGCTCGTCACCACTTGTGGCTGCTGCCCAATCTTACTGAGGATGTTGGATTCTTTGCTTCCTTCTGGCCGCTTTACAAGGTAAATGTAGCGTAGTGTAGCGCGTTGTCGCGTTTTGTAGCATACTGTCGCGTTGTGTAGCGTACTGCCGCGTTGTGTAGCGCGTTGTCGCGTTGTGTAGCGTGATATCGTGTTATGTAGCGTGTTGTCCCGTTGTGTAGCGTACTATCGCCTTGTGTAGCGTGCTGTCGCGTTGTGTAGCATACTCTCGCGTTGTGTAGCGTCCTGTCGCGTACTTTCGCGTGTGTAGCGTATTGTAGTGTAGCGAGACAAAGCTGACATGATGGACACATTCAAACAATTATATTTCACGTAATTATGTAACTAAAACAGTACGGTTTCTCAATAAAATATGAAATCCGTGGCGTTTTAAGTTTTCACAATACCCACTTGATGCCCAAACTTCCCTATTGACTCAATAACTCACCAAATAACATCAATTTCAGTACGAATACCGCGGGCCGGGTTCGGACAGCGATAAAGCTGCCAAAAACAAGAAGAAGCGGAAGAAAGACAAGCAGTCGGACGACGAGGCCGAGAAGCCTCTTCTGCCGGAGCCGCGGCCGGAGCCCGAGGCTAAGGAAAATGTGGAAACGGAAGCTAAGTAAGTGTCCATCCTCGTTTCAGCCAAATGACGTCCACTGCTGGACAAAGGCCTCCTCCAAGGTTTTCCACAATGCACGGTCCTGCGCTGCCCGCATCCAGGCTCTTCCCGCGACTTTTACCAGATCGTCGGTCCACCTAGTAGGAGGCCTGCCCACGCTACGTCTTCCAGCCCGTGGTCGCCACTCGAGAACTTTTCTGCCCGTTGGGGCAGAAAAGTTCTCGATCGTCGCCATCGTCTCTACGAGCTATGTACCCCGCCCACTGCCACTTGGTTTTAGCTCGCTTACTATGGGCCTCATAAGAAAGCTCAAGGTCACCCAAAGGGCGATGGAGCGGGCCATGCTTGGAGTTTCCCTGCGTGATCGAATCAGAAATGAGGAGATCCGCAGGAGAACCAAAGTGACCGACATAGCTCGCAGAATTGCTAAGTGTCCATCCTACTTCCTACTTAACATTATAAAGGCGAAAGTTTGGATGGCGGAAGAAAGAAAAGCAGTCGGACGACGAGGCGGAGAAGCCTCTTCTGCCGGAGCCCGCGGCTAAGGAAGATGTGGAAACGGAAGCTAAGTAAGTTTCGCTTATAAATCTGTAAAGAAATAGCGTAGGGAGTGTAGGCCAAATCCTCAATTTGGCTCTGATCAATGAGGGCTATCGTTTTTATACTTAACAGTTGGCACCCCTGGCGATTGACAGGACCTTACTCTACAGTGGCGCCATCTTGATGATTGCAAACGCGATAGTCCTCCTACCACTTTAGCGCTCACCAGTTGGCGCCACTGTCTTCGCTACTAGCAAGTGACAGGACCTTACTCTACAGTGGCGCTAACTGATGAGCGCTAAAACGATAGCCCTCATTGGAATTTTGGCAAATTAACTTGTCCTCCTCAAGTCCACTGCACTAAAATCAAGTTAATTTAATTCTTTTTAAAATGTTAATTTATTGTTCTTACCATTTTTCCCCAAACTGGCCAAAGTGAATTTTCATGTCATCTTCCTCTAATAGGAGAATACCCCGGATTTTTTAAATATTTCTAAGTTAATTGTATACTTACAAAAATATCTTATTGGGACCCGTGGGCTGAGTTTTACATAGTCCTCAGCTAGACAGAAATACCTCCTTATTATGCGTGCACCACAAAAAATTAAAAACCCTTACCCTCAAAAGACCGAAATATTCTGCCTATTGCAATTTAAAAGTTATATTAAGGTCGTAGCACACAAACTTATTATCTTGCAAAAGGATGAACAGTTCAACATCGTATCGCCTTTTGCTGCAAGGCGTGGCGTTTACGTTAAGGCGCGAATAAGTGTGCGTTGCAGTATAACCGTTTCCGAGTGTGCTTCGTCTTTAAGTTTATTTACGGTTATACATTTAATTTGTCGCATATTTACCAACCCTATTTCTTATTTCCCCAGAGAGGACGCTCCGACCCAAGACAAATCGGAATCCGAATCCGAGAACAGCCAGCGCTCGTCCACCGACCGAGACTTCGAGATGGTCGACCCGGCTGACCTGGAGCCCGACCCGAATAACACATAAGTGCTTATCCAACGCGGGCTGGGACAGGGTATACTTTGTAGGTTGGTACTGTTTGTAGTGAGAGGCACTTGTCCCGACGGAAAAGCGAGTAATTGCTATAGTCTGGTCCGTGAGCACGTAGAATTTTGTCCAATGACCCCAAGCTACCCATCCTTATCACTTGCGCGTAATTATGTTGCTATCGCGCTTGCACACTCAGTGCGGGTGCCAGTCGCACAGTCGCGACAGCAATATAATTACGCGCGAGCGATATGGATGGGTAGCTAGGGGTCATTGGACAAAATTCTACGTGCTCATGGACCGGGCTTTAACTATTATATTTGTTCGCTCAAGAAACATACATTAAAGTCTGTGCTTACCATTAAGCGACAGCCCACATTGAGTGACAAAACGCGGCCATATAACGTATGCGCACGTCATTCATTTCATATATTAGCTGTCGTTGCGACTCCGCGACATGTCGCGACGACAGGCTAATAATATGAAATGACGCGCGCATGCGTTTTGTGGCCGCGTCTGTCGCCGCGTTTTGTCGCCAATGTGCGCTGTCGCTAAACATACTCGCTAGCGACTGACGACCGATAAAAATACTTGAATGTATTATAGCACCCCTGGAGGGTTACTTTCAAGAACTAAAATAGTCGTAGATTTTTAGGGTTTTACAACGAACCTTTTTACGCATTCGTTAGCGAGTACGTTCAATGTAAACTCATGGTAGAGCTACTGAACGTCAAGTTGTGTCACTGTGCTTTAAGCCTTATCTTAATAGGTAAAACTTGCCCAATCTGATCATTGAATGGTGACCAAATCGGCCAAATATTACCTACCAGCACAATGACACAACTTGACATTGACGTTTCTTTAAATAGTTATTAGATAGGCTGGGTTGCGCCATCTTATTTTAACTTTGACAAATGTCAAAAAACTGTCAAACTCCATACAAAAACACCGATTAACGTTATAGTTACCTTCAAAGATAGGTGGTGCAACTCAGTTAACAGTTAGTCGTTTTCTCTTTGGCGGAGGGATAAGTGCCATAGACATTGAAAATACGCAATCTATTGTCGATACACATGTGACAAATATTGCATGAGTAAGTTGCATATTTTATAATAATATGTAGTAGTTTGATGTTGTGTATCGTCAGTATATTACATATTTTTATGTTATATATGTATGTGTGAAGGTATAGCAACTAGTGTTGATATCATATCTTCATTATATGCAGATGTAATAAATAAATATTGAAGCGAAATTCTTGCATAGCCAGCCATGATGTAATTTTGGTAATATAGAATTATAAAAATGTCAATGTAAAATTTTATTAGTAGTTTTTATAATAATTTGTTTTCTTTTTATAAATAAATTACTGGCATTGTATTAAATGCATTTGTAAAAAGGTAATCATTTTAGCTATTTTAAGATGTGTATTATGTAGGAATGACATTAATAAAATTGGCGATGATATAAAATTTAAAGTATCGACAACTAAACCAAATGAAAACTTTATGTTTTGCATTTATTTATTGCGTATTTATTATTTTGTAATGCCACCTGGAGGGAAAGTACTCTCTTAATATTGTAGATAGACATTTTTTCTCAATGAAAACATTCCTTTATTTTTGAAAAGAAATAGAACTGCATTCAAAGATTTCCAAAAAATTACTTGCCACACCCGGAATTCGAACCAAGTAAAATCTGGTAAAAATTACAACCTGTATTTTTATTGCATCGATCGTTAGGGTTTAGTATAAGGATGAAATCTCTCTAACAAACTTGATAAATTAAATGAAAGGAAAACCATGAAATCTTAAATTATTTTAATTAAGTATGTACTTACAGGAAATTGTATGGTATGGTAGTGAATTTTCGAAAAAAAAATCGAAATTCTTTGAATGCAGTTCTCTTTCTTTTCAAAAATAAAGGAATGTTTGAAAATTATAAATAACTTGAAAAAATCGAACTGCCTAAGTTTTTCAAGTTATTTATAATTTTCAAATTAGTTTGAGATGCGACTCTTAACGCTAAAAATTAAATAACTATGTAAAGGAATGTTTTCTTTCAGAAAAAAATTCTATCTACAGTATTAAGAGTACTTTCCCTCCAGGTGGCATTACAAAATTCCACCCTGTATGTATAGGTGTTTTGTATAGGTTTGGACTGTAATAGATAAAAAGTATACCCTTTCCTAGCATGGACTGACAGACTAGGTAACATTTAGGCTACAATAAATTCGAAGTATTTGAATATCGTGGGTATTGAAGTTTTTCTAGTATTGAATTCCGCCATTCTTATGCAGGTACTGTGACGCACAAACGCGTTTGATGAAGATTCTATGTGTACGTTTCCGTGTAACATTGTGATACTAAGGCATACCACACTCTGGTCTGTATAAATTAAAAAAATGTTGATTTTACTGCTCAAATACAAAAGTTTTCTACGGGATTAATGTCCAAACTAATTAATGTTTCTATACAAATAACCAATCTGCTGCTATCATTGGTTTATTTGTATGGGAAGATTAGTTTATTTTTAAGATTTTGACATTGGTCCTGATGTGCAGTAAAAGCAAAAGGTAATCATTTTAGTTAGTGTTCTTTATACAGGACTATTACGTAGGGATGTTGGATCTATGAATTCACAATCATATTTAGTACAAATACTATTTGTACTAAATGTCCTTGCTATATACAACTTTTACTCTTACGCGTTTGTGAGTTGCATAATCTATAGTAAATATACATAGATAATAAATACGGTTAGTGATGCACGGTTCATCTCGATAATCTCATAAAATATAAAGCCTGAATTTTGAAGCTTTGTAGTGGCTTTTACATATTTGCGTATTTATCGTGCGCGCCAGTTTTACGAATATGTTTGGCCTCACGACTAAATCGCAAATGTGTATAAGATGTTTATAATGACAACGCACACGATACATTTATTTACAAGATACTTGTGAGTGTATTTTACGAGAAATCCTCACAGAATTGTAACGTCTTTTTGTAAAATGTTGTATCGTGTGCGCCAGTTTTTACATTCAACCTAGACGCATACCTAACGATACTTATAGACGATTTTAGACAAATTATATTCGTTTGTTATGTCCAGCGGTTTTGTGATTATTTTGGTGCTTGTGAATCTGTGGTAACAGCGACATTGGCAAAGGAATCTAGGTTTTACAGCCAACGTGGATTTATTTTTAAATGTTGGCTAAATCTGATTAGCGCTGTCTTTTATAAAGTGATTTGTAGAAAAAATTGAAGGTTTTTACGTATCCCTTTATAAATTGGTGTAAAGAAGGTTTGTTCACTTTATTTAAAGTGTTGGAGATAAAGTGATAATCTTCTTTAGACCTGCAGATTCACATAAAGTTTATTTTGGAATTATGTGCATTTTTTCACATACATACATATCTGTGTGTTGTAAATACGTACTCGTATCAAGATCTAATTGGTGTTAAATATGACGAAACGTATTGATGTTAATCAACGGTAATCCAATAAAACGACAATCTTGTAATAAGTTTTTTTATTTAACCTTTTTATTACAACTTTAACAGCGGGTCGATACACTTGTAATTCTAGGTAGTACAACTCGGTCATGTTAACTGCGCATCTAGCTAGAATGCGTCTCTCCCTTGCACTCAACCGCGTGCCTCCCCGCATTGGCCCCCCTTACCAGGGTCTCGATGTGACGTCACGGCCGCCTGGTGCGCAGTTAACTCGACCGGGTTGCATGTATAAGGGAAATTTTGTATGCTTCTTAGGAATATGAAATATACGAAATCGAAACAGTTGTAACAAGATAACTGAAGATTTAAATGTTTGGTCATTGTTTCATTACAATTTCTTATCTTACATCATTAACTAGGTATGTATTACTTATTCTATAAGTACATTTATAAGTTTCCACGTTTTTCTTGCTCCAATTCTATTGATTCGAAGAGTGTTTTGAAGTTTCCAGCTCCGAAACCCTGAAAAGAAAACGAAGTAAGTACACATCAATTTTTAATATGTGCTATCTCAAACCTATGTTTGAAATTTTTCATAATTATATCGGACTAATACTGACTATTAGAGTAGGCGCACACCGTTGATTTTTCGTCGGCCGATAGTTTAGTCGGGCAGTTGACCAGTATGGGCATGTATGGGAGTGCGCACACTACGCCGATTTGATTTGGCCGATTCTTCATACAATTTAAAATCGGGCACAACTATCGGCCAACTAAAAATCAATGGTGTGCGCCTACTCTTACTGACGGCCTGGTGTACATTATGGGACCTGACCTATTTGCATGGTAAAAGACTGGATCTACCTTACCTGAACGTTCTGGGTATTTTAGTGGTGATGCTACTTCAGATTCAGGTGAGATTTATATGAGCAAAATCGCAAAAACTACTGGAAAAGTGAAGTTACCAGAAGAAGCTACTTACATTATGGTTTCTTCTCTGGATGACTTCTAGGAAAAGAGTGGGGCGGTCCTGAGTATTCTTAGTAAATATCTGAAGCAAGTAGCCATCGTCATCGTAGTCAATCAGGATGTTCAGTCGCTCTAGCGTGTCTATGCTCTCGGCAACGCGGACCTTGCTGTGCTTCAAGCGTTCCCTGATGATGGTGTAGTACTCAGATGGGATGGAGAGGAATTCGACACCGCGGGCACGAAGATTCACGATCTGCAAGATTTGAAACAAATGCGGTTAGGTGTGTGGAAAAGCAATGGAGTGTTCCTTGGAATCTGTGGTAGGTAAGTTGGTTATTTTATTTTGCAGCATTTATATTTTTCTCGTGTCTACGATGTGTATCCGTTATAGGAAACATTAACAGTTTTTTATTGCGTCTTAATTCGATAGTTTGTACTCGATTCTACAGGAGCATGATGCCGAAAGCTAACTCTTTGCACATATAAACTCTACCAGGGGGTCTAGACAAAGTGCAAATTATAATCGCAAACCAGTCGAAAAGTGGTCGAAAAGCCCCTTTTTTGTATGGAGTTTTGACGGATTCGATTTTCGATTCGATCAAAAAGTGCGTTTTGTCTAGGGGGGCAGTTCAACTTGTTACTTATTCAGCATTTGCTTTCTGCTGATGTGCTTATGAGCGAAATGATTGATGAAACTATCACTACTACTACTATTTTGACTACACTACTCTACAATTAGAGCTATCTTGAGACGTGGTTGAGGATTCCGGGTGAAGCTCGCTTCCACCTTCGGCCTGATCATCACTTACCATCAGGTGAGACACAGACCAAGAACTTCCTTTTTGTGGATAAAAAAAATCTTCTACAATGTTCGGTAAGTAGAAATATTTTTTTCTGGAATAATTCGCCACTATCATAAGGAGTTGGGACGTAGGTAACAAAAAACTTACAGCAGTAATAATGTCCTCAGTATTTATAGCAATGTGCTGCACCCCAGCTCCTCCATGGTACTCCACGTACTCCTGGATTTGACTCTTCTTCTTGCCAGGAGCGGGCTCGTTGATGGGCACCTTCACATTTTCCTCCCAGTTGGCCATGACCACCGACCGGAGGGCTGAGTACTCCGTGCATACTTGCTTGTCGTCTACTGACCAGAATCTGGGGACCATTAAGGAATGTTACTAAGTCAGTCTTGACTGTTTGGGTTATTTGTCTGTTAAGTAGATCCTGGCTCAACAGATGTCGAAGTAGTGAGAACGAGTGATGGAAATTGTTGCGTTAATTATTAAGAAACTAGCTTTCCGCCCGCAGCTTCGCCCGCGTGGACTACATTATATAGCCTATAAACCTCACGGAGCCCGAGACCTTTCCAACGAATGCAAAACCGTGGAAATCGGTTTCTGCGTTCTGGAGTTATAGCAGAGTAAATACAAATGAGTAGGTCATCTTCATAGAAACGCACCGAGCACGGTTTGTATGTGAGCGCGCGTCAATACGTATGAAATTCAGCGCACCTCACCGCTAATCCACGCTAAATTTTGTCAGTGTGTGCGTGCGCGCCGCATACGTATTGGCGCGCTCACATACAAACCGCGCTCGGGCGTTTCTATGAAGATGACATACTCATTTGTATTTACTCTGGTTATAGCGTCAGGAAGGAAAACCCGACTTATTTTTATACAGTAGAGATATTTAGGTGAGAGACAGACGAAAGGATTTGTCACAATAAATGCGGTCTACGGTCAAGTCAAAGTGTAGGTACGCAGCGCGCAGCAGGTATGAACAACAATGTAGTAGGGATGAAAGATATTGAGGCAGAATAAGATGGTGAGTAAAGTCCATCAAATTCTCACAGAATAGATGTTCCCAGTTTGATCTTAAACTTTTTGGCTGTTATGTTACTTATTAATTTGTAGTAGAGAAACAGGATAGTAGCTTACCTATGGAACTGGAGGCATTTTTCGTACCACGTTGCGGCGGGCTCCATCTCACCATCAGGCTGGTTCCCCACCACATGGTCGATGAAGTTGATTTCGATCTTTGGCCTGCGAAAATGTTTTAATTCATCATACCACACACAAAAGTTCCAAACAAAACAGTTTGTCTACTTATGTCGTAGATATGTAATTATGTATTTTGATAGTAGGTACTTACAAGAATTTGTTAATCGGGTCGAGGTTGAGTGGAGCATATCCAGGTAGGAAAGATCCAGTATAGTTTGATCTGTCGACCAATGTATGTGTGTTGTCTCCATACTGTGAAAAATAATCAGATTAAAGATACCTAGTTTATTATCAGAAGAAATGAAAATAGGTCCCCAAAAATTTTTACTGGACTTAATAACGCACCCTGGGGAGTGCTTAAGTAGGTACCTACTTCTGATTCTGGATTGGCTTTTCCCGTCCGATAGCCAGACAATATGTTAACCGTTACCAGTTGCTTAATTTTCTACCATATGTAGATCTTTATTCATTACTATTTTTAAACGTAAGATTTGAAACTAGTGAGAAGTTTTCTTAAACATAATTAGGACTGTTACCGTCTTCAAAACCGCCATCCGGACCACTCCATGCTCGTCTTTCTCCTCCCAAATGTCCTTGACTACTTTCGCTCCCTGCTTCCTTGCGTACTCCACAATGTAGTCCAAGTTCTCAACTTGGAAGGCTACATCCTTCACGAAGTCTCCATGGTAGGCCACCTCCTTGTTGAAGGTCGTCTCTTCAGGTTCATATTGCGCTTGGAATACGAAGATGATCTGAAATAAGATGAATATTTACATAATATTATGTAGTCATCTATCGCCCGTATTCACAAACATTGCTATGAGGTCTCACAGTGCACAGTGACAATCGGGCATATGACTCCAGATATCTATGGTCTCTATCACGAATTTTTGCAGATCGATGGAGTCGAACTTGCTATCATGATCGGAGGTAGGTACTTACTACGGAGGTATTCCGTTACTGTAGGTAATAGGTAGATTTTGGCTTTGGGAACTATAAAATTCGCTAATATAATCGGTTGTAGAGCATGCTGACATGGTCATTTTTGCCGAATGTTAGTTATTTCTATTTACTTGATTTGCTGAATGATTTTGTGACGTAAATCAAGTTATCAGATCTCAAAATCACTGGATCTAGCTCTATTACTCTACTTCGTAGGTTCATATCCATCATTAACTATAATTCCATCGTAATATTGAAACGTGTCTATGTCTATCTATGCAAACTTATATTCAAATCACGTCTCGGTAACAAAACAATAACAAATAACTCGTATTATTCTAATAACCATACCGGCTTACCTTATTCAACCTGACTGCGTATGAAGCGGTCTTGCGCACTCCAGTCTCCAGTCCTGCAAAGGCCAGTGGTTCGAAGCCGAAACGCGTCACATAGTAACTCGCTGCCTAGAACAAGTTTTATAAAAATAGAATCAAAAACCTATGCGGACATTTTGATAGGTTAATATGGATATTGGCTGTGATAAAAAATGAAAAAAAATATGGGCATAATATTTTTTGGAGGATTTTGGAAGTTACTTAAAATTTTACATGTATAAGTAGCTCTATTACGTAACTTTATTGCCACAGGATTCATCACTACTTAGTGTCCATTTTCAAATTTTTCAATATTCTATCACTCTATTTTAGCTATGTGGTGCTAGGATAACCTTAAGATAGGTGCCATTTAGGACTACCGTGCCATGACAACTTGTGCAGACGTCCGTTCGCCACAATGATAATTTCCATTTAGGATTCACGATTTTCTTTATAAACTCATTTTTCATTCTTTAAGTGTCGAAGTCTAAAGTATTCACACTTAATTCTCTATTAGCAATATTGATCTGTTGGATATTTTATTAAGTTATCTTACCTGTTTCGCGTTTGAAACCCAATACGTGAGGTGGTCAAATGCAAGGAATCTTCCTGCTTCTGGTTTTTTTCCTTTGTCCGTGTATGAAGTCTGAAAAACATCACTTATTAAAGTACCTACTTACTAGGTATGCTAAGTGCTAACACTGCTACTTTTCAGTCCGATAAAAAACCATAGCTCTAGATGTAGTCCAGTAGAATTAGCTTTTAAATCGGAAATAATTCCTACAAAAGATTTTATTGCTTTAATGGCTTCATTGGTTGCCCTTTAAGACTCTCCTAGGTTTTCGACTTCGACGGAGTTGTGCTTAAGTGGTGGGGGCCCCCGAAAGGGGCGCTTTTTCGGTTTTCCGATTATATCGCGTAAAGGACTTACCCTATCGAAAAGTGGTCTTCCTGACGGTTGAAGGGCATTTAATCCTGCACTAAATAAGACCAAATTCATATTTTTTGGACAAACCGTTCTCGTGCAAATGTTCGGCAAAGTAGAAAATATGTGTATAATTAATGACCCTCTCCACGTCCAATAGCTCGTCACCCGTATGCTCCCAAGCCTTGTAAAGGGTCGCCTTAACCAGCGTATCCCTGTCTAGGCTCACGAGTTGGATTCGCTTATCCTTGTTCGTTCCAGCCGTTCCTTAACTGCGGTTGCTGCACCTCTTCCTGGCACTCTCCTGAACGACTCTGTGTTACCTACTGTGGCTGCCTCTCTTCCTTGTACCCTCCTGTACGATTGCATTGCTTAGCCATATGCTTGGTCTAAGGTTCGACGCCACAAAATCAACTTCGTACGCGTGAAAATAGTTTAAATACTATTTTCCGTGCTTGCAACATTTTTCTTTACTGCTTCGCCTATATTAGTCGTAGAGTGATTGTATATATCCTATAGCCTTCTTCAATTTATGAGCTATTCAACACAAAAATAATTATTTCAATCAAACTAGTAATTCTTGAGATTAGCGCGTTCAAACAAACAAACAAAAAACTCTTCAGCGTTTTAATATGAACTTGTTGTTGTTGATTTTTGGCGTCGAACCTTAGACCAGGCATACGGCTAGGCAACGTAGTCGTGCAGGAGGATACAAAGAAGAGGAGCAGCCACAGTAGGTAACACAGAGTCGTTCAGGTGAGTGCCAGGAAGAGGTGCAGCAACCGCAGTTAAGGAACGGCTGGGACGAATAAGGATAGGCGCATCCAGCTCGTAAGCCTTGATAGGGTTACACTGGTTGAGGCGCTCCTTTTCAATACTTGGAAGCCTGTGTGTAACGAGCCATTGGACGTGGAGAGGGTAATTAATTATACACATATTTTCTACTTTGCCGAACATTTGCACGAGAACGGTTTGTTCAAAACATATGAATTTGGTCTTATTTAATGCAGGATTAAATGCCCTTCAACCGTCAGGAAGACCACTTTTCGATAGGGTAAGTCCTTTACGCGGTATAACCGGAAAACCGAAAAAGCGCCCCTTTCCGGGCCCCCCACCACTTAAGCACAACTCCGTCGAAGTCGAAAACCTAGGAGAGTCTTAATGGGCAACCAATGAAGCCGTTAAGGCAAGTAAATCTTTTGTTTGAATTATTTCCGATTTAATCAATTTTTGTGTTTAATTCTACTGGCCTAATGTATTTCATAAAAAGTTTAAATCGTATAAAACTCAGTGACAGTGTTGACTGTTCCTAATTATTTTGTTTTATTCTTAAAATTGTGACCTGAGTAGGGTAGGTACTAATGGGTAGTTTCTTTAGGTAGGTATTTTTGAAAATTTCAAGGAACTTCTAATCTACGCTAATAAAATAAACTTCAACGTCATAGCAGTTTATCACAGCTTAATTGTAATTTAATTTTCAGTAAAAAAACATTTCAAGTGCGGTTCAGACACGAATCCACCATGTATTGAAACCTTCATATTATGTTAGTTTCAGCCAAATGACGTCCATAGCTGGACATTTGTTTGGCTGAAACGAAAAATTACGTAGAATAAAATATTATTTATGAAGGAATTACACATTCAGTGAATTGGTGCTAAAATAGAATGGAAAGGGGTAACAATCCCAGAAATTAGTTAGAATAAAACCTAACTTCGCGCAAGTCTAAAAAACACCACGTAGGTAATTGAAGTAAAAAGTTTAAAGTAGGTATATTACTTACCATTACCACAAAACCAGCACTTTCAACGAATTTGATTACAGCACGATCCGTATGATATCTGACGTAGAACTAAACGGAACGCGTGCGCGACCTGTTTTATATTTCAACTAGAATCAAGGAATTTATAACGACAATCCACCTTTAAGAAAACAAGATGGGGTTAGGCGGATTCCACACTGACAGGGAAATGAAGTGTTAGAGAATGCCACAGGGTATTAAGTTCGCCTTTTGTAAAATAAATGTGCAAGACACGATGAAGGAGCTGGATCGGGAAGAATGGTATAGAACTATAGAAGATATTTTTAGAAAGAAAGTCGTCTGTACCTGTACTTTCCATCAGGTGAGATGCATGCCAGGAGCTTCCCCATTGTGGATTAACCGATTGAGTCCCAGACGGCATTACGAGTACTTAATTAATGTCATAAGAATTGATTATCTATTGTGTCTAAATTCGCGGAGCTTGAAGGATTAAAAAAAGACAATTATTTTATTTGCGAAATGGTAGTCAATCTAGCTATTAGAACATAAGAACACTGTTAAGTTTGATGTGTCATGATCCTCAATGTGAGGTCCTACCATAATGTTGAGGGAAGCTAAGTGATATGCCATCGTCCTTGCTTTGGGTTGAGGGAGCTAGAGCCATGAAGTTCAGTTATTGCCCAGTGAAGCTGCAAAGCACGGCTGATTCATTCAACTTCCTGAAGACTTGCCTTTCCCAGCGCTTAAACTAGGCCATTTTAGATTTAGTTAAAGGCACAACTTAACGCACAATCCTTCCTATCTTGTCCTATGTTTGTGAGAATGGAAAGATAAATGAATGTTTGTTTCTTTCACGACTGAAATGAAATTTGGTATAGAAAGTTTGATTCTTGTAAGAGGGACACGCGTGTGTCATACCTAAAGACTTTCTGTGAGAAACGCGCAAAAACTAGTAAAATCTGGCATAATGTTGTGAGTTTCTAATTAAAAAAATATCTTAATTGTGATTCGGTCTTTATGTTCGGTCCACTCGGGGGCCGTTGATAGAACGCAGGAGCCGAGCCCCCTTGCACAGTGGTACAGTCGGAGGACCAACATGGATAAAGCCTAGAAAATCCTATATTATAAAATATTTTCATAAAGTTTATTCAATGATTTGCTGCCTAGAAGATCTTGGTTAGTATTTCCGCAGTTTAGTTTATTTAATAACAAGATCTTTCTTATTAGAACATTCATTTTAAGAGTTATAAGGCTGTGATCTACCATCTTTCTCTAGGAATAATTTTTTTAGTAAGTAGTACCTACTTACCTGCCTTACAATCTAATTAACATATAAATTACATATAATAAGACGTCATAAAACACTAATTACAAAATTATGTAAAACTTTGCAAAAACCGTTAAGGAAATTCAGTCAGTTTTATCAAAAAAGCGTTGTCTAAATTTCTATTACAGTTAATCTATATACTTACATAGACTTACATATTGTATAGTGAAAAGAAAACGACCAACCGTCAATGTTCAATTTGAATTTCGTGAGATATAGGTAATAATATTCGCAAACACGTGTATAAGCACAAAAGATTATATTCGTAATAAATACTCGCTTTATACCGTCATGCCTTCAAGCCGTGTGGTAACGGCAGAGTAGAGTACATTTGTCACGAACCCCTACTCTTCCCGCGGGTGTCATGAGAGGCGACTTAGGGACTACACATCAAACAGAGAACAGGCAGCAGCGCTCTCTGAAAAACATCAATCTTTTAAGCTGCGATCATCAACCCGCCTGCCAAGCGTGGCGATCATGGCAAAACCCTCCACTATAGTGGAGGAGACTCATAGTCATAGACTCCAGCAGTGGACTGTAAAGGGCTGTTGACGACTCGTTTATGCAGGTTTTCTTTACTTATTATTTTGTAGGTACAATCAGTATTTCTTTACTTGATTCGCAGTGAGAAACTAATCCCCATTGGTTTAGCAATGTTCTCAATTATTTAAGTAGATAATAAATACCACATAGCTACCAAAATCGTAACGCGTTTTTGTCCCAACCAACTACCCGTCAAACCACTGTGTCTTGGTAGCGATAAACAAAATGCAAATGTACCAAACTGGAATCGAACGCGTCGAGCACAGAGGCGGGGTGGCGTGGCGTCACGCAATGGACTACTGACCCACAACTTTCCGTAGTATGAGCCTATAGTATTTTTGTGGAATAGGTACTTAGATACAATATGAATGAATGAGTTAACTTGAGAATTCAATTAATTTTGTCAAATACCTCTTATGATATTTTTTCACTTGTCGGAAAATTTAAGAATAAGTTTGGCACATTGACAGTTTCAGTGTGGGAAATAACTAAAATCGCAATGTAAAATCAGTTAATAGATATTAATGGTTGAAAAATCAGCCCTAATTTAGACTTTTATTTGATTTTTATTACTTTTGTTTTAGAGGTAGAGTCTAGCCGTTTAGGAAAAAGTTTCAGAATAAATAAAATATATAGTTTACAAAACTAACTATATATTTTATTACTAAAGAAGAAATTATAAATCGTTTCAGAGTCTGATTTTATTAGACACAGTAGGATTAAGATTGAAAACACAGTGACCGCACTCTATTATTGAATTTTTACATAACTTCAGGATATTTTCCGAAATATTTTCTTATCGTCAAGTTCCTTTCTTTGTACGCTATTCCTGACTATAGTTTCTTACTGAATTGAATCTCATATATGTTAGAGACTATACTACAATCTCTACAGTTGTGACGGAATAAATTTAGTTTAAAACAGCGGTAAGCTCTACCCCACGTTAGTTTGCCGCCGAGTCCGGCAGAGGCCGGTTGGTTCAGTCACTGCTTAGCATATTATAGGTATTTCAAAACATTGCGCAATATGTATGATTTCCAGAATTTTCCATTGGTATTTAGTTTTGTTTTTGTTCTGTCTACGCATTTCGTTTAGGTCAAGTCAGAAATGTAACTGGAAACAATAGGCTAGTTTCCTAAAAAAATTTTTTTAGTCCGTCATGTTTAATATCAAAAAATTTTGGACACATATATTTTTATTTGTCAATCTAACAAATAATTACATAGTTATGGTGCGTTGAAGTTCCGCAAGACGTCACAACGTGCGGCATTTTTATGCAAGCATTGACGTCACGGGCCTCTTCTTATGAACTTTGGCGCGCTTTATCTCTTTAAATTTTCATTAGTTTGAAAAAGTGAAAAATACGTGTAGAGTATTTTTTGATAAGTTAACTGACGGACTAATTAAAACTCTTGCTTTTTGACCCAGGAAACATCCCTATTACACAGACTGATTTTGTAGTTTGTATTTCCTACTTAGACATCGCATCTAGGTAAATTAATGTAAAGCTAAATAATTTTAAGTATTGGTAATTTTAGACACCTCTTTTTTATTTATTTAGGAAAACAAACAACTGAACAATACATATTTTTTCTTAAGATAGTTAAAAAAATATGTATAAAGACTAAGTACCTAATTGGAAAGTCAACACCGTTATCCTAGATTAATAAAATGAACATGCAATGTACGTACCCTACAGATACTTAACTTAATAAATTACCACTACTAATAACATAAATGCGAAAGTGTCAACAAAACGCAAAGGCCACTCAATGGACCTTCATGATACATTACAGAACCAACTGTAAACGATCTGCGGCAAACAAGAGAGTACCAACACTGAATCGGATAACAACAATGAAACCCCACGTATTGAAGTGTCTAATCTGTTTCTCTAGTTTTCAAATTCTCTAACCTTGAAACGATGGTAGAGCCACGTAATTTTTTGGATAACCTAAAGGCGTCAAACCGAATGATTTTCAGTAAAAGTAAAAAAGTTTTTCTGTGACAGACCGAAATTCACGCTAGTGAATTGAATTGAATTAACATGGTCACGGCCATAAGCTAGCAAATAATAATAAAATACACGTATTAAGTTGTAAGTTACCTACTTAATTACATAATAAGTGTAAATCAGCCTTAACAGCTGCTACGACCTTTGCATGTAGAGAGTGCAGGCCAGGTACCTACATTAAGTCTCGAATGTAATTAGATTTCAATGATTTAAGTATTGAAAGGGTTTTTGTGGGCTGATCCCGGCGGCACTGCAATGCCAGGCCGACCCTTGAGTGGAGCGAGCCCCGAACATCCTCTCGTCATACAAAAATCAGTTTAATATACTGGTCCCTCGGTGAGAGAACTTTCAGATATTAAGCTGAAAAGAACAGATACTACACTTTGATCTTAGCCAAAAGGCCGAGAAGCGATATTGAGAACTAAACTTCACAGGGAGGTCAAAAAAGGAAAAAATACTCACACACTGCGTTGTAGGAAATGAGCGCTACATAGGGTAGCGCCATCTATGACAGTATTTGTGAGACTAAAAGTAACAATAGGGCTCCATACATTTTCAAATGCGACCCTATTTTTATTATCCTTGCATGTTCTATTGTTAAAGACAGGCACAACTTCGCAACAACGGTCCCCAGGGACCCCAGGGTATTTCGTTAGTTTAAAAGAGTGACATGAATTTATTATTTAACTATATATTTTTTATCCAGATGTTACTCAAAGCCAGTTCAAAGTAAAGTCACACAGATTATTTAAACTCTTTTTGAATTCGACTTAGTGTAATTTAACAAACGAAAAATTAACGTATGGAAAACCTACGTCCGTTTCCCTACACCGTTCAAAACATTTTGCTCCACATCTTAAACAGTATTTTTGTTTTGCTCAACATTGACAAATTACTTACCTTGTATCACATACAGATTTTTTATTTTACACATATTTTAGATTCTTAGGTCAATCTATTTCTCATCCGCAATTAAAACAGATATGATCGATTGATCCTTATCAAATCATCTACGGATTTACTTGAATTTTGTTTTTCAAGACTAGCGTTTAGTACCGGCTTTGCTTGTTCATTACTACCGTTTGTAAATTATTAAATCTTTAGTGAAACTTTTTTTCTGAAAAATACTAAGATACAGTACCGTTCGATAACGAAAAGCCTGTCCATTAAGCAATCTATTTAAGATATTTTATTGTTAAAATAAGTTTTTTAACAGAAAAATAATTTTCAGACTCGTTTTTTCTCAGAACTTAGAAATTGAGACATTTTACACCGTCAATGCTACATCTAAATCGTAAATAAGTAACGTATTTAACATATTTAAAAAAAATGAGTTAAGAAGTGTAGGAAAAATAAGAAAAATGTAGGTAGATAAGGTAAATAACAGTATTCTGTTGTTGTACCTGAAATAAATAAAATAATTATAAAAATAAAATAGAACAAAATAACGATTGTACGGACAAAATAACGTTTATATAGTAAACATATTGGATATGTAAATAAATAAGTAAAACGGCTTAACGGCTTTCGGTTATGATTTGGTAATGACATTAATTTTTTATTTATAGTCTTAGATTTGGTGAAAAGATATTGCTTCTATATAAATGAGGCGACACTAACAAAATGCTAATTATTTAATTGAAACTAGTGAGTGGTGCAAGAACATAGTAAAAAGGATCCTAAATAAGGTAGGGGGTTTTTAGCTAAGTACGAGTACTTTAGGAACTTCGGTAGCACATTAAACTATGAAGTTTTATTGCAAAGTAGCACTTTAGAAATGCATTAAGATGTCATAGTGATTAAATTGATGTGCTGTCATTGGCCATTAAAATGAAACTCAAGATAATACCAATATTTTCTAGCTACAGGAGTTAACAGTCCAGAAATAGTCCCGTTCCTCAATGTTAATAATATATTTTTAAGTTGCTCTAGTAATTTGGAAGGCAATAGCTAACAAGCAAAGGTAATTCTGTAAATTAAAGTACTAGTTCACATTTAGTATTTCTGTCACGTACGATACGAAGGTATAAAATCAATGGAGTAGTTAACGATCAATGGAGATCTATTTACATGCCTTATTATTAAGTAATCAACAGATGTAATAACTAATTTAACTTTGTAGAGACAAACAGCAAATATAAATGGGTTTCAACCGCAATATAAGTCATATAAATACTTGAAATGATTCGATTTACTACTTTAAAGTAGACTATAATTTAAATTATTATTATTTACAGTAAAAAATGACAAAAGGCAAATCAAATAAATCGCCACAGGCATCTGATGGTAAAGTCCTTAATTTTGACCATCTGATATTCTGGGTGGCTAATGCGAAAACGGTAAGTCGATCAAAATAAAATATTTCACTTATAATATTGAGAAAATACTTTTTAACAACACCTCTTTGGTTGAGTTGCACCATCTTACTTTAACATTGAAAAACGTCAAAAATCTGTCAAACTCCATACAAAAAGCACCGGTTAGTGATAGGGTTATGGTTAAAATAAGGTGGTGCAACACAGAATGATGTTAAGTAAAAATAAATTTTCATTTGTTTTAACGTAGTTGTTCTTTTTCTTTTTTCTCTGAACTTTTATGTGCAGCCAGTGTGTTGTATTTTTCTTCAATTTTCTATTAATTTTCCTGAAAGAAAAAAGTACGAATTACATTGATATAATGTTTTTTTTCAGGCTGCCAGTTATTTTGTTACGCGTTTTGGTTTTAAGCTTATAGCTACCAAAGATCCTTCAGAGGCCAAGCCTGTGGTTTCTTATGTTGTGAGACAGAATAAGGTAAGAAGTTCTGCATAAATTATTAACATTTTCTTAACAGTTTTCATTAATTTTCATCTTAGATATAATATGTCAATCATAATTGCTGGAAAATGTTCCATGAAAATGCAATGGCATTATGGGGGAAAACTACTTTTCCAGTAACCCACTTATTTTTGTAAAATTTTCACTATGGTATGTGCCACAGTTTCAGTTACCCATTTCCGTTTTTTCTTTCGTTCTTATCAAAATAATGTTATACCTAACAAGTCGACGTAAATGGATAGCTGGAACTGTGGGCATACCTGGTACATTATCTTGGGGCAAATGAAATAGCTCAACATATCATAAATACTAATTTAATAAACCCAAAATGTTATTATTATTATTTTTCGCAAAACAGATAACCATAGTATTCGAGTCGCCCACATCTCCTGGTGGAGACATCAACAAGGATCTGTCAGCGCACGGTGACTTCGTGAAGGACGTCGCGTTGGAGGTGCAAGCGCTGGATGACTTGGTAGCGTGCGCGCGCGCAAGAGGCGCTGACGTCAGGCGTGACGTCACTACGGAGAGCGACGAGGATGGCACTGTCAGATATGCGGTGTTGAGGACCGTAAGTACAGCATCTCTGCCAACTATAAGTATTTACAGTTTCACAGCTGAATTTAGGCTCAAGAAGTCAATAAGCCGGTGACCTGCACGCGAGTGGGGCTCTGGACCTGTTCCATGACGTCACTATGGAGAGCGATGAAGGGGGCAAAAACACCGGTTATCGTCATAGTTACGGTCAAAGTTAGGTGGTGCAACCCAGCCTAACTAACCTACTTGTACCTAATTTTATCAATTTTATGACACTTTTGTTACCCTATCTATGGTCATTAATTTTCGTTTTGTTCCATCTTGTTCCAGTATGGTGACAATACCCACACCCTCATTGACCGGTCTCAGTACAAAGGAGTTTTCTTGCCGGGATACACGCCTGTTCAAGATGATGACCCAATCAATACCTTACTGTAAGTCTACTCGTATCTACACTTTACGACTGCCAAAGTTTAATATCCAGAGTCAATTTACCCACAAATTAATTACTATTTCAACAAATTCATTAACTCACTTTCAGACCTGACACGCAACTTTTGTATATCGACCACGTGGAAGGAAATATGGCAGATGGAACTTTAGAAGACTCTACGTCCTGGTATGAGAAGAACCTCAACATGCACAGGTGACGAACTAGTAACTAATTAAACAAAATACAAATTAGTGAAAAATATATCTAATTCTTATCTTTTTACTTAGATTTTGGTGCGTCGATTATAAGCACGATATTACGCCATATTCGTGCATAAAATCTACTTCAGTGATCAACCAGGAAGAAACTGTACTTGTAAGTATGATTTATTTACTTGTAAGTTAATTTCTAGTTACTTTTTTTACTAAAATAACTTAAATTCATCTTCAGTAATGGTAAGCGTTTGTAACTTGCCTGCTCTACCAATCAATATTTCAGTTTATTATCTGTGGTTTCAGAGTTTTTCAGTATAGATGGCGCTGTTCTAAGTAGCGCACATATTTACATCGCGGTATGAAAGTTTTCAGTAGCAGCTTTTGTAAGTTGTTGTTTTGTTTTTTTTTTACAGCTATCAATGAACGAAGCAGCAAAAGGTCTGCGACCGACGAGTAAAGCGACGGAATTCGTGAAGGCGCTCGGTACTTCGGGCGTCGAACACATTGCTTTGTACACTGACGACATCGTTGCTACGGTAAAATATAGCTTCCAAATATGTTTTAGATAGGCTTATCTAATACATAGTTGCTATACATAAAAGCTATGTTATTAACTACTAGCTGACCCGGCGAACTTTGTTCCGCCTTAATGGCAATAAATAAGCAGACTTTTTTTTATTTCGAACGGGATAAAAAGTATCCTATGTCCTTCTCCTGGCTCTAAACTACCTCCCTGACAATTTTCAGCTAAATCGGTTCAGCCGTTCTTGAGTTATAAGCGAAGTAACTAACACGACTTTCTTTTATATATATAGATGTAAACTTAGTTTACACTATACAAATTGGTGGATTTAGATGGTGCAACTAAGTTTCTTGGCTGATTTTTCTCGGCACTAGCCTATTTACTGTCCCAAAATAGTGGTAGAGTTGTAGTACATAATTACTGGGACGTGTAAATGGTTACAAACCTTTTAAAAGTGTGTAAACTTTTAAAAGCTTTTTTAGGGACTTTGGATTTGATGTTTCTTTTTCGACTTAATGTCATTAATTTGATTACAGATGCGAGATCTGAAGGCTCGTGGCGCGGACATTCTTGTTTTTCCTCCTACATACTACGATGTGATCAAGGAGAAACTAAGCGAGAGTTCTCTCAAGGTAAATACTGAATATTGTATTAAATATCAGTAAATAAGCTGCTTATGCTGATAGCTGGCTAGCTATAACGTCCAGCTAGTTAGGTACTAGGTTGGTAGAGACCCATACGTTATATTTTTTTTATAACGACCGACGCGCGTAAGACTAAGTATAACTACGTAAAACGTACGGTGTGAGAAATTGCTTCATCAATTGTGCAGGCGCATAGTTTAATAAACGTACCTAAATCACAGAATCCTAAATCTTAGTAAGTAATCCTCTTAAATAAAATTCTTATTTTAGATTGTTCTCAATGTTGTTACAATTTTTTTTCTTTTTTCGCAGGTCCACGAGACGATCGACGAACTAAAGGAAAACCACATTCTGATCGACTTCGACGAGCGAGGATACATGCTCCAAGCCTTCACCAAGCACGTGCAAGTCAGGCCCACGGTCTTTGTCGAGGTTATACAGCGGAGGAACCATAGAGTGAGTTTCTACGGTATACAGTGTACAGTGACTTACGCCCGTATTTACAAACGATACTTGCTCAAGTGAAGCAGCAAATCGAACGAATAGCGTTGATTATAGCTCTATGATTTCGTGTATCACCCTGTGCGTCCACGCGCACTGTGAGACCTCATAGTATTGTTTGTGAATACGGGAGTTAGTTTCTTGCGCTGCTTCTTCTCAGCACTGGCCCATTTATTGTCCCGAAGCAGTGGTAGGGATAATACTGGGACGTGTAAAAGTGCTTTTTAAAAGCCTATTTGCAAAAATAAATGAGTTTTTTTTACAAGACAATACTATGTATTACGAAAGAGTAGGTAGTGTATTCAAACATACCAGAAAGTACAACTAAACTGCACCTGTATCCTCACCTGATGGAAAGTTAAATGATGGAAGCGAGCTTCACCGGGAATCCTCAATCACAAAGAGACTACCTTATTTCCAACAATTAATTGCCCAATAACTTGGAACATTAGCAATTAAAAATGATTTCAATTATTCCATCAACTTTATGGGTTTCATAAAGTGGTCTAATAATGTTTTTTATCCCCAAACAATTATTGTTATTCAACTATTTTTAGGGATTTGGTGCAATGAACTACAAGTGGGTGTTCGAAGCCATTGAGCGATTGGACGCTTCTGGTGACAAAAAGAAGGAAATCCCCGCAAAAACTGAACCCGAATCAGAAATTTAATTGAATATTCTAACATTTAATTATTGTATATTAATATTTGTGATTAATTTGGCTGAAGGGATTATGATAAGTGAAATGTATAGTTAATATTAGGAACTCGTAATAATTGTACCTACGCCTAACTTTGTCATATTATTTGATTGTTATTCTCTTTCATAATAAAGATGGTTATTTAGAATCATGGTGTCAACCAGGGTTTTGTTTCAAAGAAAACAACGAAGTCCATTAATAAAATAATTTCTTTTATTCACATTATATTTACATAAGATCGCAGATATAAGTATCATTACAATACGGAGTATTTCCTTCATTTGCACCTATGTTTATTAAATTCTATTCGTCAAGGTAAGGCACCTTAATGGAAGCTTTATTTGAGACAATTTCTGGCTAATGGTCGTATAAGGTCTGTACGGCTAGCACGAAAAACTTTCGAGTTCGAATCGTTTGCGTATTCGAATCGCCATCAAAACATTTAGTACAAAAACTACAACAGCGCCCTTGTGAACGTGTCGTAAAGTGAACTTGGTATGAGAAATGGTTGCACGAAACTTATTTTGAGCATCAAAATTGTCACATTATCGTTTCATTCAAAGTTTGAGTATCGAATTTTGTCGAATTCGCAAACGATTCGAAGACAAAAGTATTTCATGCTAGAGATACTGTTTCCGAGCCACTATACAGCTACACAACGACACTATGTAAAAAAGGACTTATATTTGTACCACAGTGACTGTTATGTCGCTATTTCGGCTTACTGGTATCACTGGCCGGAACCGTACCTTAAAACTATTCTAAAACATGATACAAAATATGATAGCATACAGGCCAATATACCCTAATATTATATACAAAACTATAGGTAACAATTCAATAAAAATACTACGCAATAATTTAATTCATTTTCCATAATTTTCACTGCTGACCACAAGTAAAATCCAAGTGAGAGTTTTTCGTAAAGTTCATTTACATATGCTAAAAAATCAGATAAAAAGGACTAGGTATATCTCCCATTGGATTCCACTTTCAGAAATCGTCTGCCGTCTCCCTACAGTATTATTATAAACAGATAACAACTTTTAACTTAAACTATATTTACAAACGACATAAAATAGTAATTTACACAAGGAATAAGATTATAGGAAATGCATGCACGAGTGACAGTGGTGCCAGTATACAAAACTAATAATTAATTTGGTATAACTATTTATACACTGTAATATAACACGAAAATTATATATTTTTCATTAAAATAAAGATAGTATAAGCGATATAATTGTTTAATGGGATACTTGACTAACATTGGAATATAAAATAACGATATTGTGATTAAAGTAGTTATACGAGTACATTAAATTGTGTAGAAATCATTACGAAAGCTTTATATTTATACAAAAAAATGTAACTAAAAGATCTATTGAAATAGTTATACCATTTTTGTAGTGTCTCTATTATTATGCTTTTAAAAGTAATTAAAATATGTTTTGTGATTGGCTATTTCAATTGGTAACTTACTAATGCGTTACACTTCGTTTTAACTAAACTTAATTGCAATAAAATTAACGAAATTGGGGTACATTTACAAAGATTTATAATAGAGGAACACAAAGCGCTTATAAATATAATAAAAATTAAATATACAATGTGGTAATTTGGTATACCGCGGGCTGCTGCGTGAAAGTAGGTATGTTAAAAATGTATAAAATTTGAGATCAATACAAGAAGATTCACAAATGGACCTACACCTCGCACATAATATTTATTTATGTGTTAGTTATTCGTTTACTATGATTTTAGATCGACGTGGGGTCCTCAGTCATTGATGTGTTCTAAAAATCTATCTATTATTTGCAAGTTTCGGGCTACTACACGTGTTGACAGGTTACCACAGTCATAGCTTAGTGACCAACCAAGCCAACCAACCAACACTTTGACACTAACCAAGACATTTGACACGACCGAGCCCTTTACTACACCAGCATCCAGACTCACTGGCAAATAATGTTTTCAAAATGATTAGTAAAATGTTAGTAGAATTTTAAAAATTACTGATGACTATAAATGAAAAAAAAAAAAAAAAATGAAAAAACATTTATTCAGTATCTTTTAAGTTAACATAATTGTTGCAAGTGGCTGGGGTCTCCTTTTAAGTATAATACCTGTGTTAGGAGGCCCCGCTCTTTCTTAAAGTTACAAAGATACATAATTATGTTAAACAAGCCACAAAAACTCACAAGTACGTATTACTAGAACTAGAACAACGCTTGATATCTTTATAGTTTTGGTTACACTCAATAGTTTTGGTTACATTCACTAGTTTTTCGCAGTAAACTGTCTTTTTGCATAAGCCGTTTTTACATGAGCCATAGGTGCTACACTCAGGATTCTTCTTTTATTTTGAGTATTTGGGTTAAAGGGTAAGTTTCTGTGAAGTTTTAAAATAGCTTGTAAGACGTAAAGCTTTCTTACAGATAAGAGGCCGCTTTGGGAGTATAGTTCGTCTGTTGGAAACCTGTATCGTTTAAAAAAGATAACTTTTAGCAAGGATCTATGCGCCCGTTCAAGTTCTAAAAATTTGATTTTAGTGGTTCCACCCCAGACTGGAATGCAGTAGTTTAGGACCGATTGAGCCAGTGATTTATATACTTGTTTCAATAAGACTGAGTCGGCAACGTGTCTCAGAGTTTTAAACACCCATAAAAGCTTACGGGTTCTGCCTATTAATAAGTCTACATGTGCATGCCACGTAAGGCGTTGATCGACCATTACTCCAAGGTACTTAATTTTATCTACTTTATCTATGGCTTTACAAGAGCAAGTTAGGCTGGCGATGTCATTACATGAGTGAATTTTTATTTGGTACTTCAAATCAGGTTGAGTGCTATTGATCTTTGTAAAGCAGATATATTTCGTTTTAGATGCATTTAGAGTCAATAGATTATTATCCAACCAGTGAGCTACATCTGCGAGACCCTTTTTAGCAACTGTGTGTACTTCATCCCATGTTGAACCAGAGAAAACTATAGCGGTATCATCTGCATATGAGAAGATTTTCCCGTTGTAGATATCCAGGTTGCAGAGGTTATTAATGTAAATTAGGAAGAGTGTTGGTCCCAACACGCTTCCCTGGGGCACTCCATATGTAATTTCCTCCAGCTCACTAACATGGTCACCAACTCTAACACACTGTTTACGATAAATATCCAAACCTAGTAATACAAGCATCACTGGGTCATTTAGGAATACCTTTGCTAAAACTGTTAGAAGAAAAACGATTACCTCACTTCTTAGAAAGACTATATTTTCAAGAACTACCCTTTCCTATTATGTCAGTGTGACCACATTTATAATAACAATCTAATCAGTCGCTCAGTCACACTGCTCCAGATCATTTCGTTGGATCGTTTCATAAAAGAGTTCTTAACACAATGTAGTAAAACCTTTTTTAAGAAATTGCAAGACCAAACTTTAGGTTGGCTGTCTACCCGACCGATATGGTGCACCTGCTGCCAATATTGCAGTCAATGTTGCCAATAATGCAGTCAATGTTGCCAAAATTGAAGTAAATGTTGCCAAAATTGAAGTAAATGTTGCCAATATTGAAGCCAATGTTGCCAATATTGCAATCAATGTTGCCAATATTGAAGCCAATGTTGCCAATATTGCAATCAATGTTGCCAATATTGACGTAAATGCTTCCAATATTGCAGTCAGAACTCTTTCGTGAAGCGTCCGTCTGAGGTACTACTTCACGTTACAGCCCGCAAATTAAAAGAAATTCATATGCCCTGTGCCCTGTCCAAAACTTAGGGATAGTGTACCAAACTATTGAGACAACCACTTCTCGTCGAGACAAGTTACAAATTCGTATATAGATTTCAAAATTGACTCAGTAAAACATATAACAGATTTTACATTCAATGTTTATGTACAATGACTTGTAATAAAAGCATGCCTAAGTAATATAGTTTATTGATATGTTGTATATTACAAATTACAATGAATTTGCTAAGCAAAATCCGACCTTATTTAACAGTGACAACAGTCACTTTATATTACCGTGGCAACATCATGTTCTTGAAACCTCACTAACATAAATAAGTGGATACGTACAAAATTGATTCTTCAAGGCTTCATGTTTTATAGTAGATGTAAACCTTAATCTAGACTAGCAATGCGGAGACTGTTAGGTCTACTATAAAAGTACTATTGTAAAGTTCATTCACGACACTTCATAATCTAGCATCGTAATTCAGTCAACTTGGGACACTCATAAATGTTCCTATCATATTAAAAGACATATTAAAACATCAGCTACCACATCCTTCCATCTCAACTCGTGGCGTCTCGCCCTAACCAGAAACCCTAAGGTACACCCACCATTTTGGCACGGAGCACCAGGCCTACCGCTGGATATCACAGAACTGCTGGCTGGGTCCATCCACCAGCTGGGCCCGTTCGACCGCCACCAGGCAGCCACCAGGGGTCACCAGGAGTGGGGCAGACGGCGCGCCCACCCAGATCTTCTTTACGTCTTCGGAATTGTGCTGTGCTAGTGGCGACATGTAGCCACCTCTGGAAATAGAAAAGAGAAAGGTTGAGTCAAATGGTCTTTAACAATTAATAGTGGGAGTAATAGGTACTTATGATAGTAAAGAAACAGAGTTGTCTCTAAGGAAAATAATAATTGAATTGAAAGAAAAAAATACACAAGCAGCTGAAATATCAGGCAATCTTTGTCCAATTGCAGAGTTACAAAACTTTGTGATATGGATCACAGAGCAGATTTTCTGTTGTGTTTGCAGTGAATATGCTACAAAAGACATAATCTTGGCTATAAGCAAGGAAATCTTCAGCAGAAGCATTCCTCACAACATCACAGGTTCAGTTACCACTTTGTGTCGGACCTCGCTGGCAACGATGGGACTATTCCCACCTCTCGTTCCCACCGCTGCAACTCCTGTGTACCCAGGATCTATCGCTGGCTACCAGTTTACTATAGAAGACAGTTGTAGGTCTAACCTTAGCTTCCTGTCAGCGTGGAGCAGCGCGTCTGCCTTCAGCAGCCTCACAGCGACTGCCACCAGCAGGAACAGTATGAGCGCGCCGCACACCGGCACTGCTATGGTGGCCGCTTTGAACCACACTTCGCCGTTGTAGCTGGCTCCTCGCTCGCTGGCTACGGCGTTACCATCTGGAAGAAGAGAGAGAGAATTTAAGTTTGTTTTTAGGACAATAGCAAAGTATGAGATTTTAGGGTTCCGTACCAAAGGGAAAAAACGGAACCCTTAAATTTTTGTTGAGCGGCTATTCTAGTTCAATGGATTGGAGGAGCTATCGATCTACTATAATGATCGTAACTATTTTTTACAGTTCGCCTCCGAGTCCTGCATTTATTACGAGTATGTCGTGCAGTTCGGGTTAAAACACAGTTAGATAAATCAGTTAAAAACTAATGATTCTGACGATGATGTGCATAATTTTTATGCAAAAAATCCTGACTGCAGTGAAAAAGGGAATTAAACGTATGGTTGACCAATCATAACTCTCAATAAGTCCATTATTGTGAAATGATTGGTGGTAAAAAAATAAATATATTTGATCGCGTGAAGCACGATAAAGACTTTTTATGATCGAAATTCGCGCGATCGAAGCTACAGACGCAGCTTAAATCTCCTTGGGAGGTCTTCCCATATCTTGACGCACCAGGAATGCTATAGCACAGCACCCTCCCACTGGATTCGGTATACCGTGACGCCGGGCGAACTTATCAGCGAATGATTGCGTTCGAGGAAGGGATGCGCGGGCGACCGTACCGGGAACGCATGAAACAGTAGCTAATTGCTGTTAGCTATATGCTATGCATTTTGCAGCGATAGGCGATTGAGTTAGTTTCGTGAGGTTAGGGTGGTTGTGCATTTTACGGTGCGCCGGCGCAGACATGCGCGTGAGCGAGAGAGTTCTCGCGTTCGATTCTAAGTAGAGCTAATATTTTATTGATGTGGGTATATCTTGAGCTACATGTGCAATGAAGTTTTGAGTTCGATTCCTGTTCAGGTCATGTTGGCGCCGTATCTTGGGGTCTAGATTATGGGAAAACAATCCGACAGTCTTCAGTTCTACTGATAAATTATTTAAATGACCTAGTTCTTTCCAATTCTCTCCGATCTTGGTTACTCCGTTCTTGGTTACCAAAACTTATTAGTTATGTATTCAAGATAAGTGTATAGTCACCTTTACGATAACTTTTATGCTCAAATTGCACTGATAATAGCATTCTTTCTGATTCTGACAATTAATATCGAGCTTCATGTACAAACTATAGCTTATACCCGCGACTCTGCTTACATGGCTTTCTTGCTACTGAAAGGTTTATCTTTCAAAATGTTGTAATGTACTGATAAAGAATCATCACGAAAATATAACATAATCGTCTTCATGATTTAGTGAAACTGCAAAATGTAAAAATGTTAAAAGATTAAATGAGCTTTAAAAGAAGCTTTTATAAAAATATTTAAAAGCCTCCGTCGGAATTTCAACAACGGTTACGACAGCGAAAAATTAATTACATACAAAAAGGCACAACATCACTACTCGCAAGAAGAATGTTCATACAAAGATGCATTTTTGTTGCAAGAAAACACTCCCAGCATTTCCATTTAATCTTTAAACCTCTCATAATAAGGTCTCGCTAAACAAATGCATAAATAACTTCGCAGTAGGGGTGGCCCTCGAATCGATAGTGAAATATCGAGTATCAATTATTAAATACAAATTAATAATTATTATTGAAAAATGTTGATAGTATTTTGTATAACATTTGCTTTGTACGCAAGTTGTTTGGTCTTATTCAGTTTGCTTACAGGGCTATAACAGCATGAAATTGAGGATTCAAATTTCGTTGACGACAAAATAATGCTAGTAAAATAAGCACATGTACGAAAGTAGTAATAAAAGGAAAGAAAAGCTTTTGCGTTATTAAATAAATGTTTTTTTTTTATCGAAATAGAGTTAGATTTTATACAACGATAACGAAGGCCATGTAAACAAGTCTGTCTCAGTCGTTTTTCATGACGCCTTTCCATAATACATGCTTCTGTATCCGGTCATACTAGAAATATCGATAATAATCTAAAACGCAGATAATGTTATTAAAATTAGATTCAGCCTCAAGATATCCTTATTTGGCTAGGTATTTATAACGAAACTAAATTACAGATAGTATTATCGATATCCCAGCAGATCTGTGCAATCGATAACGATATTGCAGACGTTTCGACACCACTACATCTCAAGAGGAACAGCTATGAACAGGTTCCCCGCTATTTATACTGGTTGATTAAGAGGGAGTATTCAGGGCTCGGTAAAATATATCTTAAACTTTCGCTGGTAAGGTTGAAATTTATTATTTCGAGGGCCTTGTTAATTTCAACAAAGGAGCAAGATGGAATAACGTTAAAACAATTGCGCATCGCGAGTGCAGTGCCGGCGGATACTCTTCGGAGTTATTAAGAAAATGCATCTGATATTTCTGGTTTCCTGGTACACTTGCAATAGATTTCGAGTATAACTAATTCGCTATAATTGAATTCTAATGGCCACGTTTAATAATCGGTTCTTATAAAACAAGGAATTGAGACTTGTGCGAATGTTGAATATTGTTCACTTGCAATCATAGCAATAAATTGTGCAATGAATAAGTAGTCAACAAACGATAAGCTACCTACTTTGACTATGTAATTATAAACACAGATAACAGCTAAGGACATTTCTCCCCCGTATGACTAATAATATTCCACCAGTAGGTACCTACTTAATTTTCTTACTTAAAATGTTATGGGTACATTATTATCTCTAAATAACATTTCTAAATCAGCACTTGCGTCTAAAATTGGATAGAACTCCATAGAATTACAACTCCAAGTAATATAAAAAGTAAAATCACTAATTAATAAAACCGCTGCGTCAACGAAGAAACGGACAAGCATGCTTTTTGCTTAAATAAAGGGCCTTAGCTCGATTAACTCGCGAAGGATCTTAAAAGCTTTGCTCAGTTTGCTCATTAAGGCTCGGAGATATTGTCGCCAATTTAATTTATTGTATGGTTTTCTATTTAACCCTTAAGCGATTGGTCGAGGATCGAGTAATTTATATTTGTAGTTAACGTATTTGGCCGGCGGGTTAAGTTAGCATTTTAAGCAATGATTAAGTCACATTTTTTAACTATAAAAAGACAATTATTGTTCAAAAAGCTCTTAAGGTCCCTGAAAAAAGCTCGTTAATCTTTCAGAAGATTAATAAGTTGTTGTTTCTAAATGAAAAGTTTTTGAGATAAAAATATAGGTACTTTACTGAAATAAAACATAGTTCTGTCATAAAACATCTCAAATCAATAAAATGATAAAAAGTCAAAAGACCTTCCAAAAAAATTGATGTAAGTTATGTTACGGAGATGCTATGGAAGTCAGAGTAAAAATATTTGAGAAAATCGAGAAATGTAGGTACTTAAACAACGAAATTGATATTCCTTTATCATTTCCATCAGAATTATGTAGATAATTGTAAATTTCAAAGCGTACAGCAGCGGTGTAAGTAGGTGAGTCAGCATGCTAAAGTGTGTTTACATTTGATACGGTATGTGGTACAACATCTTTGTCCGTGGAAACTGCGATTCAATAGAATTCCATCAATAACAGTTCAATATCGATAAAAGGTGTGAATGGTTCTCATACAGGGTGTTGCAGGAAGCTTTTAGACTTACTGTAAAGGGATCTTGGTAGTAAATGTAATTTATCTGTAACGTTTCGTAAAATAAGCTATCAATTTTAGTTTAATATTATGCACTTTACACGATTTCATTTTTTCATGAAGCTATTAGCTGCATAGGTAAATTTTTGATAGTTGATATCGTCGTGTAGTAAAAGGTATTGAATTAAAATCGCCTTTATTAATGTCAACTTATACTACCTCTCTCTTTTTTCATCTCGTAATAATAATATATCACGTAAGTCTTATTTGGCGTAATTTTGAAATGATTATTGAATGATCAAACGAACTTACCAAGTGAAGTTNTTAAAACCAACCTTGTGTTGGGTCTAATTCTCGTCACTACACTGCACAACTTAAAATAATTACGTTTTTTGTCGGTAAAAACGTCCTGGTGACGTCACTTAAGCATTTTTCTTATACTGCGTGCGGTCGTTGCGCGTGCGCACAAAGGAATGAGACCGCTCGGACACCGAGCCCACAGCGTGGTAGGGGTGGGGTTGCCCGCTCTTTTGTTTTTTACTACTACTGCGCTGAATATTGTGTGCGGATTGACTTGTCGTACAGGGGTACTACATGGTAAAATAAATCTCGGAGGCGAAAGCAGGATAATTAGGTATTAAGAGGTCTAAAACTTCTCAAAGTTTGTCGCACAATTACAAATACACCCTGTATATGCGTGAGGTAATCTTGGAAATTGTTATTCATATATTTTGATGAGGTAATCTAGATTCTGGAGCTGGCATCCATTCTTGGATAATAATATGTTTGGTTATATTCTGGCGTAGACTCAACCCATTGCAGAATTTAGCCTAAAGCTCTACAAAGCCCGTTGTAGAGTTAAGGAAGTGATTTAAGGATATTAACCTGTCGAGAACCAGGAAAACGATACGATAGTAAACAATTTGTAAGACGTGATCGTTTGAGTTTATATTTTGTTTTTGTTTCTAAATAAAAAGCGCATAGGCATTTGTACCGCAAAAAATAGGTAGGTATTAATATTTTGGCTAGCGTGGGGACTGTAGGAAAATTCTCCACTTGCCTCTGGTAAATTAGAGAGAGTCGTGCTCCTGTAGTAGAGACATAATGATCTGTACCTCTAGTAGGAAAAACTTTCGAGTTCGTTTCGTTGCGTATTCAAAGTGTCATCGAAAAATTTTGTATGAAAAATTAAACAGCGCCCCCTAGGGCGGCTATAATATAGGGGGCGCTGTTTAATTTTTCATACAAAATTTTTCGATGACACTCACAACGACAACGAAACGAACTCGAAAGTTTTTCCTACTAGAGGTATAGAGGTACTGATGATTATGATGGTTAATATTCCTTTTAACATCATCATCATCGTCATCTCAGTCATAGGACGTCCACTGCTGAACATAGGCCTCCCCCAATGCTTTCCCTGTTGCCCGGTTGGTAGCGGCCTGCGTCCAGCGCCTTCCTGCTATTTTTATGATGTCGTCGATCCACCTTGTGGGTGGACGTTAACCCTTCTAGCTATGATAAACATACTTTTGTGTTAAGAGTGGATTTTAGCCCAGTGGTGGATGGGGATGAACTACTGACAATCGACTTGACTGACTTACTAAAATTGTATGTTAGTAAATGAATGAATAAAAACGTTTTGACGTATTTACCTACTACGATATAATATATATCGTAGTAGCAGGAAAGCTAAGGACTATTATACTTAAATCTAGTACATAATGTTAATTATGTTATCAACCAGTTACGTAGAAATGGACGCTTTGATTGTAGTTAGCATTTAATTAACGTGATTAGTTTGTTTGTTTATATGATGCGATTTATTGATGATTATGTATGAGTTACCGTCTTAGTTAACATAAACAATTGTGGCAATTATTGATACTAGTCTTTAACTGAACTGTTATTCTTCTGATTTATGAAAATGAACAAAACTTTTTTATTATGAAGGGTGTCTACCTAAACTACCTCTCCTTATTTTCTTGCGATTATTTCTTTTTGTGAGTAAAAATTTGTATTATTATGACCTTACATCTAAAATGGTTAAAATAACTCATAACCAGCACTAATACACCATCAAACCCCAAGCAGTCGCTTAAGACCGTTTGTGTCTCGATTCGCAGGGTTTGAAGGGCTAATAACCGTAAGAAAATATATTTTATGTAAGAGCTTGTGCCAGAATAAAGTTTAAGCGCTAAAATAGATAGATATCAAAAAATTCTTACCAGAATCAATGCCAGAGGCGTTGAACCTAGCGGTGGACAGCGGGCTGTCCTCATGGTTGCACATATCCCTGAAGCAGCACAGCAGCAGAGAATGGTCTGGCGGCGGCGGCGCCCCGCCTGACACTGGCGAGTTCTGACAGTGGGACAACGCCTCTTTTTCTCTGAAAAAGAAAAAGAAAATTTGAAATTAGAATGTGGAAAAAAGAAGTTTAATAATTCTTTTTTAAAAGACAAAAGACGAATTTGAAACGAGAACGCAAAAAAGAAAAAGTTCTGCGTGATTACAATTTTCTGCCGTAAAACCGGCCAGTATGAGTTTGTGAAAAAAATGAGAAAACAAGAAATAAGGTAGCATTTTCAGCTGTTTTTTAAAATGTTAATTTGTATCTCGAATGTTTATTAACGGAATGAGAGTTAGAGCTGGATTGCACCATCTTATTTTAACATTAACAAACGTCTAAAATCTGTGAAAATACATTCAAAAAGCACCGGTTATCGTTATAGTTACGGTTATAGTAGGTGGTGCAACTCAGCGTAAAAAGTGAAAACAAGGACTGAATTGTTTATTACCTAATAAAAAATTTCAAGCAAAAAAAAAAGACTGAATTAACAACAAAAAAACTTAAGTTTGCTTAAATCGAAATGCAATTACTGTTTTTAATTAGAAAACCGCGAACTGGTTTCATCTTTATTCATATCGCTTAATGAGTATTTTTATTTTATGTAAATATTAGAAAACTAATTATGAGTGCGTAAACAACAATTATTTTGACTGAATTTTAAATACTGAACTGAAATAAAAATGAATTCCTAAAGTCTTATTACACTGAAAGTTTTTATACATTTTGCACCGTTCAATCGCGGTCTAGATTTAACACGAGTAAATACCGTAAAGCTTAGTTATCTAGCTGCAAATGAGACTGAATTTAAAGCTGTTTTTATTGATGTAGAATTAATTTCAACACGTCCACAGACTCAATGGTAGATATTAGTAAAAACTTGCGGTTGACCTCGATTCGAACGCACGCCACTTTGTACAGAGCAAAAAAGTATAAAATTTGATTCGCGTATTTAAAGCGACTATGTCCCTTTTTTTAGTGTATGGTCTAAGTCATTAGAAGTATTGACAATGGATGGCATTGTCATTAAAAAAGAAACAGAGATTTGTATGTAAACTTGTGAGGAAAGAAATCGGTTAAAGATAGAGAACTTTTGACTCTACATTTCACAGCCACAGCCGGTGGTTAAAGTACCGGGTTCGATTCCCATCGAGAGAAAAATGAATGTGGGGTGAGCAAAAGCATTTATATTACGTTATTAAACTACGTTAAATGTCTCTACATAAATATCTAAACATTTTTACGTAAGTAATAAGTACGAAAAAAATTGACACTATTTTCTATCGCTCCAAGCTCACCAGTGACCGATATGGTTTTAAGCATTGCAGTTGTTTTCACTTAGGTATTTTTATTTTATTTATTTAACCTAATTCTATCTCTAAAGCTTACACTTTAAGGCTCTTCAACTCATTCTAAGTTATGACATGGTACCGGATTAATAGGTCTCGCAAATTAATGATCAAATGCCAAAAGTAACTGCCTCTACACGTAGGTCTGTCCGTTTGTTTAACTGTTGATAAGTTTTTATATGTATGTACAGTCAACCATCAGACTTTTTGTACCAATTTGGTACTTATTACTACTACAGAAGAAGCATTGCTTAGTTTGTGCCGGCGTTTGTACTTGGCGCTATGTTCCGGGTTGAACAGCTTGACATTATTAACTTATATCAGGATGTTAGTCATATTTAATTGATGTTATTTTACTGCCTATAGTCATATTCTTATTTAAACTTAACCATAGACTCGCTAAGTTTAAGTTCCATCTATTATATTTATATCTAATCTTACACCACACTTGTTTAGTCAGGATTTAAGTACGTACCAAGTTGGTCTCCGAAGTCATTTATTGAACGTGCATTAAAATTAATCGCAGAAATAGAAGGATTTGAGAGCCAAGGAACGACTTCTCAGCGCTAAACTGATGATAAGTGACAATAGCATGTTCAGTATGCGTTCATCATCATCATCATCATTTCAGCCATAGGACGTCCACTGCTGAACATAGGCCTCCCCCAATGCTTTCCACGTTGATCGATTGGTAGCGGCCTGTGTCCAGCGCTTCCCTGCTACCTTTACGATGCGTTAATTAAAATTATTCGGTAGGTACAGAAAAATTTGAACTGCTTAAGCTGCATAAAAGTAAAAGAGTACCTCACTGTCAAATTGTCTGCAAAAATCAACTGTGTACACCTGTCTAAAAGAGAGCTAGTCAGTGAGCATGCTCGCTGTCGCGAGTTACAATGTTGCTAACTCGCGAGCCCATAGACCGACGCCATCGTAAATCAGTCAAGCTATAGACAGCGAGAATTTATGGTTCCTATATTTCTTCAGTTTATAGAATCAACAGCGGTAATAGGTTTACCTATTCTTGAAAAAGTGTACAGCTCGGATTATTAAAGTTAATTGGTATAGCGCCTAACAATGGATTAGCGCCGGTGTATCTTTATATTCATCATTATAGATAAAATAAAAAAAATCAATCAATTTGCTGTCGACATAGTGAAATTATCGCTGAAAAAAAGTCAATTTTATTCTAATGTAATTAATTAGGTCTAACTAGTCTATTAAAATTAATATCACTTGACAAGTCTTGACATTTCACGAATTTTATCGAAACCTATCTAATAAATTCGAATGCAATATGATATTCGTTATTGTACATACATACATTAGTAAGTATTAACATTTATTGAGGGCTTATTCTGTGAAACGATTTCGATATACTCGTCTCTATAACTCTTTCACATAATACGGGCCTCTGGTTTGTGTGTAGATGAATACAAGTAGAGTCGATATATCGTGGAGTGTTTTCTACTAAGTCAAACAATATTGTCGCAGCGCATGATTCTGATATAGGTACCTACTCTTCTCTACACATCTCTTTCATCAACCTGACACTGGTATGTTTGAAGGAGACAACTAGACTCGACATAAATCGATATTATCCCGCAGTTTTCTGCAGTCAGATAATATTGTAGCAGCGCTTGCGAATACAAACACGCTGTTTCGCGCACACTGCTCACGGAGCGTGTTCCCACGCATTTACGAAAATTTGCATCAAATTAATACCCCGGGATGTTTACTTGGACGTTGAATATGCAGTTTCAGCCTGTTGGGAGTAGGGTTGCCAGGTCCAAAAACACAAGCCGGACTCGGTGCTTAATTTGGTCGGACATTAAACCCTAAAATCCTTAATGGCGATGAACTTGCATTTTTCGCCAATGAGGGCACACTGTTTTGCCAATGTCACGTTTTACACAGTGGTTTAAAAAATATAGCTCTATTTACCCTAAAAGCCGGATATACCTTTGGCATGTCACTGGTGCAATTAGTATCATCATAGCTCATGAGTGTGTCCAAGCAACATCCTATTACGCGTATAGCTCCCTATTATTCTGTGGCTCGACTTTCGACTGGCGCGGCAGCCACATAAAAAGCATAACAAAAGCCGGACAGGCCGGACAAGTCCTTAAAAAGCCGGACACCTGGAAACCCTAGTTGGGAGTGTTATTAAGCCTTATCAAGGGTCCAGCGTTCAATATTCACGAGGGACATGTTTACTTGCACCGCGGAAATCATTCATTCATTTTCGCTAATGAGTCGGTAGAGTGTTAAATATTGGGAAGAAATGAATTTTCAGTGAGTTCAGAATATTAACACGAGTGTTCGTGTGTATCACAGAATATAACAGCTTATATAATATTAATTAATTTAAGTTTTATTTACTTTATAGAGTTCTATAATCGTCGTTCTTATTTTCAGGTCAACGTGACAATAAGTTACCTAATTACAAAATTATTCAATTGTAGGTACTTAATTCTTGTGCAATATTAAGAAACTACCTCTACAATTACAAATACTATGGCTCAAAGATATGTTCATGAATTTGCGTGCGTCAAACAGAATAACCGATAACAAATACTTGTTCCAACTTGTTTTACTGATTATTTTCATGTTTCACATATCGCTGTACAATTTCCTGGTTGTCGAGAATTTTATTGGGTCAATTCGTTATTCTGCTAATAGTTCTGCCAAAACATTAGTCTATTTTATTAGTCTATTTGTTGAACAATAAAACGATTATGTTATCAATCAATTTCACTAATTTAGCTAGGCAATAACACATAAAACTTAACATATTTGTAGCATAGGTAATAGCCCGTATTATAAAGAGGTAAGACACCACTGTTAAGCTGAATATGCCGTCGTCCGTCCCAAGATGTTCTCGTGGGAACAGTGCCAGTCCATCGGGTTTTATTCCAAATATTTCATCAAAAATTTAAATGCGTTTGTTCTAGATAGATCTTTTTGCCGAAGGATTTACGGAATGTCTGGAATTTTGGCCCTTGCTTTGTTTGAGGCTAATTTTTTATGGGACCTCGTTAAAGCTGAAGGCTTAAGGCTCTACGGTTTCACTAATTAATTGCTTAATTTTTTGAGGCATTAACAAACAATGAAAGTTGGGCAATCATTTTAAGCAGGTATGGAAACCTTACTTTCAATTATTGTATGGTAAAAATGAAACATAATTGGCTTGCTGCTTAAAAGTCATAGTATAGGTACGAGTAAATATTTCTTTTCATCTTTTATGTAGGTATTCTTTTATTTACTTTTGATTTTGCGACCCACTAGCGACTTTTTAAGAACACAACAGGTACGTAAAAATAAATTATAATTTATTATGTTTTACAATGGCCATCAAACATCGGGCTACAGCAAAAAGGCGTATCACAAAACATATAACAACGATATGAGAGTCCGCATCAATTAGTTGACCAAATCATAACGGCCCATCTCAATGACCCGGTTTCTGATTTGAGATTTTTGGCTTGAGCGTGCTCATCTTCTAATCGAGTGTCATATTCATATTAAATTCATCTTTGAATAGAAGATGAACATGACGTTCAATCCAAAAAATGTCAATTCGGAAATCGGGCCTATGGCCATAATTTGAAACTACGCTCAAGAATAAAGGATTTGATGCGTGTGATTGGTCTCAAGCTTAGTAAATAACTTGAATGTAAGCTTAGTAAAATATGCTGTAGTTTAAGTTATAGTTTTGAACAACGTTTCTGAGGGCCTAAGAAAGATGAGGCCGAAAATAGTATGGAGAAATTAATTAAAAACAAAATTTGTAGGGCTCTAAAAATTAAGAAACCGTAGGTAAGTAATAGAATATTGTACCCTCTTTAGATTTTTATAACGACTTTAATAACCAGCCTCTAAGGTCACTAAGAAGTCTTCAATGGCTTTTTATAATTTTATCCCCCCTCAAAACACAACACGCATGTTTTAGCATGTCATGGGTCTAAAAGGGATGTTCATTCAAATTAAACTAACTTCATAAAAAATATATTATTATGATCAGTTCTTAACATGATTATTATTGCTAATACAAATAAAGCTCTTTATGGCTACCCACTCACTACTCACACATTTATGTAGAGTTCGGGGTGAAGCGCAAAGCAGAAAGCGTGTACTTATTACGTGTTTGCAAAACTCATTTCATACGATTTCTTATTATGGTGAAATGTAAATAATTTCTGACAATTAAAAACAAGCGTCCAGAACGGTGCTGCATCTTCAACAGCTTTGTAAGATTTCAAAAATGAGACGTGAAGCTGTGATCATAACAAAATAGCTTTTGTGACAGGATACTTTTTCTTGTGTTAGATTTTATGTTATTTTATTTATTCAGTTTCATGTGCAAGTTTTGCAATGATTACATGAGCTAAATTAATATTACCTATGCATCATGTAATACCTAAATAAAACAAAATGACACGTGAATTACACAAGTAACGGCAACTGATTGCAATGACGAAAGTTCAACTTAATTACGTCAAAAGTAAGACGATAAGAAATGTAATCAAAACTGTTTTAACAACTTTGCAATTAAGCATAAAAAAAGATAAATTTTATAATCAGTGTGGAAGATATTAGCAATTAGGTACCTACGGATGTACATTTAGCTAAGTTCATTGAAGTTGATATCTTGTAGTTAAAAGAGAAATCCTAAGTGGTATCAGACTGCAATAATTGTTACAATTAAATTCTTATTACAGGATTACTCCGGATACGGTGTATAAAAACATAATCATGCAATTATTGAATTAAAATAATTGATGCTGGAGTGATTAAAGCAATTAAGGATTCAGCCGTCTTTGAGCTTTAAGGCCAATACGGCGAATTTACTATGTTTGTATTAACGAAAATATACTAGGAAAGGAAATACCAAGCGAAAGCAGGCTACAGTTACGAGAAAACGTAAATCTTTTTGTGATCATTTCGGTGCAAACGCTTTAGGAAACGAGTATTTACTCAAGTGCCTGTGAATGTGATAAAATTAACCAAAATGACATTTGAATATGGTAAGGTGGTAACACGATCTTTATTTCAGCGATTGTTTTGAAAACGGGACATATTTCCACTTCAGAGCGAAGAAACTTTATCATTGGCCATTAATTAGACGCGAATAAGAATGAGTGATGATATACGGAGTGTATCCAAAGATCACTGCTCAGTAGTGATGTACATAAGTATATTCGATAGATCCAACATGGCTGCAGAGGTCGGCGGCCGTGCAGCTGCGTCGCCGCTATCTCCTCCTTCTGACCCTCGCAACCCTAGCTCTCGTCCCTTATCGACAAACGAGGACACACATCACTCACGCAACAAATAAACAACTAAAATTAATTACCCAACTATTTTCAATTCGATCGAATCTTAACGAAGCAGCCCAGATCGTTAACAAAGATAATGGACGGGAGATTGCCAAAAACGAGCAAAAATTATTTAAAGCAAATAAAACGGGCGCGCGTCTGCAGAACCTGTTTGAACGGCCCGGGCCGATCCGAATAAGATAATCAAGCCAGCGGGTAATTTCAGCGTATAAAAACCGACCGGACCTCTCTGTTCCTTCGTCGGAATAATTAATATTCAGAGGTGAATACACTCCGATTAATAATATTTTAATATGACTGCTTAAGTTCTATTAAGGGGTAAACAACCGCTGGCACGCATCAATCAAATGGAAATCACAATTTCTACATCGATGACAAAGAAAACGCAACTGAAATGCTCAATAAATTAGATATCGGTAAAAATAAATGATGACGGCTAGTAGAAAAGCCGTGTATAGATAAATTAGTTAAGCAAGCCACGGGTCCCGAACCATGATAAGCAGTTTTGATGGATGACAATGCGCCTCGTGCACCGGCCAACAAAAGAATAGATAATTAAATCCACGATGAAAGTTAACAAGAAACACAGGAAACCGACCGATGTTGGAACACAAAACAAATCATAATTACAAGGCAATAAAACCTGTCGGACGATGCGTCGACGATTAAAGGATTAGTCGGTGATCCGCTATCAAAATCGAGTAAATATGTCCAAATATCAATGACGTATCGATTAATTTATTCGGATTCTGTAATGTTTGGCAACCGAATCAAATCGTTACGAAAGGGCATGTGATCCGTATTAATTTAATTGCACCTGTAATCGTTGCGTGATACGATCTTATATCTTTTACGCCGGGAGTCTTGTTAGATCCAAGATTTCTAAAAGATTCGTGTCTGATAACCGTGCAATTAACAATCCCAAATTGGCTGAGTAATCCGGAATTCTTGATGTTAAATAAATCCAAATTAAAGGTAATACAATAAATAACATAATACCTGCCATAAGATTGAATCGTAAAGCGTGTACGTTAGTTGTTTAGTGGATCGATTATTGCTTTTCTGTGGAACATTAAATGAGGGATTTTGTAGCCGCTCGGCAAGAACACGTAATCGCTTCAGTTGACGCAGTTAAGATTATTATTGGTAATGAATGTGATGTGCTCTCTTTATAGCTTACCGGAAAACTAAGAGATCACTGTGTAGAAAGTTTAAAGTTTTGTAAACAAGTTTCAAGTAAATTTTCTGCAGTAATGAAGTTGCTGTACAACGTAATAAGCGTGTTGTGGTGTGGTGTTATTACGCAGTGCATGATCATGTTATAGGAATTAAGTTGAGAGAAGATTAAAAAGTGTATAATAACCTTAGATAATACCTTATGTATCGCAATAAATACTTTAAAAAAGAGATGATAACCAGCTCGGAATGAACACTAAAATGTCAAAGATACACGGAGTGTACTGTATGAGGACATCGGAGCTGATGAAAACTATTTTACAAAGGTAAACTGACAACTGCCTAAAAACAAAAAAGGAAACTACTTAACTTAAAATAATGGAGGTTGTTCTACTGGCCAGTTTTAAAGAGAAACCAATAAAAAAGATCAAACACTCACGTATCAGCCAAATGATGCAAGCACCCATGCCTCGCGTGGTGGGTCCTCCTCGGTGCCACCAGCTCGCTATAGCAGCCTCCGCCGTGCGGCGACCGGCACATATAACCCGTGGCGACGCACTCTGCAGTATTGCAGTAACACCGCACGCCCTCACTGTCACTGGCTGGTTTTGATTCTGCAACAAATAAAAAAAAGATTTGAAAATTTTATTTTAGAACGCGATCGAGCAAATACTTTTAGCTTCTTTAGGGATTTTTGTTTTAGATTATAATTAACAAAAAAAGAAAAAAGTTGAAACACTCGTTAATATAATACAGAAAAGGCAATGAATGTCGCAGTGTGGTGACTCAGAAACGTAATCCGGTGACACCTGCTGCGCTTTTAGAAGATAAAATTAGAGAGAAACTTTTAATTGCTGTCTCGCGTAAAGGTAAAATCACCTTCGGGAATGTTAAATGCGTCGATGTGATGAGACAGATAAACCTCTTTAATGCTGTGCAAGAAAACGAAGGAAACGAGCACCTAAATGTGTTAATGCTATTAAGTTAGAGAAGGAAATGGCTGTTGCAAATGTTAAAGGAAATGCAACGTTGAATGTGAATCCAATCAAGCCTGTCGACGCCGTGGCGCCTGTCTGTATCGTAAAATTTGATAGCTGTCGATTTATCGAGCCCAAGTTTACCTAACTCCAGCGTTAACAGCTAGTACAACCATCAACGTCTACGTCAACAAGAAACGCGAATAACCCTGCCAGGCTGAACTGTACATGGCATCACATATTTCAAAGTAGCAATCGGTTCCATATCCCATTGGGAGTTGTGCCATAAAAACATTTCTGGTCTGAAAAAAACGTACTTGTTCCATGGAACCCGACGACAAGCCGATGAACCGGTAAAAATAACACACAGCTGGTCCGTGCCGCGGATTGTGTATGAATAATGCGCACGTCATACTCCGCGGGCCCCTACATAAATATCTTACCAACGGCCTGCCTCCGACCGCATTCAATGTAAATGCCCCGGCTCCAGACGATAAAACAAAACGAAATTAATTTCAGAGGGACGCGGCTTTATTTGCTCAGAGTCTCGAGGAAACTTAAGGAAGACCCCCCCTGACGTCAGGCATCTTTAGAATATCTTCTTCGTCCACCAAACCATGTTTTTTCAATTCTAATTTTTTAATGATTAGTGTTCGGCCGCTGACGTTGCCGGTGGGACATCGATTAAGAATCCCGATAAAAAGCTAAGCCCGACTGACGAGAGTAATCAAATTTTAAATAACGATTCTTATTGAAATAAATTACATCGCCGATGGATTTGAGTGACGTTGAATAGTTCGAGAAAACTGGAAAGAATCTTTCAATTGGTCTGAATTCACGTAAGAAGTTCAAGAATTCCGATTGCACTCGTTTCGGAGCGGGAGATAAAGTCGCGAGCGGCGGGAGGCCAGTTCCTCAGCCGGCAATAAATAAATAATTAAGAAGAATAAAAAGCCCATTCGAATGGACAAAAAGACAAGCGCGGCTAATAACCGAACCCTTCCAAGGGAAATTGGAAACTTTTAATAGCTATCTTTAATAGCTTTTGCACGCAAAATTGCCTCCATTAATTGCAGCACCCAGTGCGTTTATTATGAAACAGAGATTCTATTACGGTCGTTAGCTTCATACTGTTTGTCTTATTTCGCGTTACGATTACGACTAATTTTATCGTTCATTGTTCCGTACTATTTCTGACACGTCCGCGATATTGTTTCTAAAAATATTCTGTTAAACATTACTCATTAGCAACACAATTAGCGTTATCAATTCATCGTACATTATGCTAGACAGATGCCATTAGAGCGACTTTACAATCAATTTCGAGTTCATAAAGAAAACAAACGGAGCAGGAAAGGATAAAGTAAATAAAAAACAAGAGAAAAGGTCCCGCCCGGCATGTTATTTGGATGTTGATAAATGGCTCTCCGAAGATGGGTCAGAGGGAGACGTAGCGAGACCAGAACGAGAGAGATAAACTAATGAGTCGAAGACGGGGTTTGTATGGTATAAAACATTATAAGATAAAGGAAAGTGCTTCTTATCCTTTTCGTGCTTTTTGGTTTCTTTTCTTAGATTTATTACGGTGATTGTGTTTTGTTTACTCTTGGGAGATCTTTTTTGTCGCCGTTTAATTTCGCTGCAAAGAATTAAGCGAATACTTATTCTCGGCACATTAATTTACCGACCTCGTTTTTAGACCGCGGTTGTAATTTGTTTGAGTTCCACGCTTTTTCAAAGGGCTCGTCGCAATTGGTCACCGTTGGGCACGTGCCTTAAATGAGGTGTTAATTTCGTGTTTCCTTTCTGGAGATTACACCACGACACGATGAAAGGGGTTAGTGGAGCATTTAAATTTAATTTGTAAACAGTTCGTTATTCTCTCATCTAGTTAATGTTAAGCGTTTCTGTTTTAAAATTAAAGAGAACAACAAAATTAAAGGAGAATGCAAATGCGACCGCAATGTTTGTTTCGCGTGGTCTGCTCTGGGGAGAATAAATCAAAGAGTAAATATTTAAGTGAACTGGACCGCGATGGGATCGCGGCCGGTTTCGGCCCATCGCGATTGAAATGTTCCCGGGAAGACGCGGCTCGGAATCCTTTAGCAGATAATCGACGCCGGTCCGTTTGCCACGTCCCTTCAATTTCATTACACCACAACGCAATGAGACAGCCCGTGATAACACGCTCCGAGTTCATTTCAGTGCGTTTCGCTCATTTCAGATCTGGAGATCCAATTTAGATCAACCGCTAAGATAGTACAGAACTTACGCTCAGATTTCGCAGCGGAGCTATTTCTGGCGGATTATCTATTGCATCAAGTCTTTTTGTTGAAGATGTGCGACTTTCATTATGGAATTTGAATAGATAAACACGGTTGGCCGGATCATTAAAAGGCTATAAACGTTTATGGACGGATCTTTCTGGGAACGCAATCAAACATGCGGAGTCACTCGAAAACACCCGAACGGCTATCGGATGGTAATAAGCGACTAATGTTGCGACAACGGCTTTCTCTTAGCGTTCACACGCTGTCCGGCTCCGTTTTATCTAGTACTTTATTACGTTAATAATGTTCGTGGCTCGCGCCGCAGCCGGTTTCTACGCTATTCGGATTGGAGGCAACATAACAGGCTTTATGCTGATTGGATGACGCGGAAAGAGCAAGGCTATGCGGCGGCCTTGTTGCGACATTCCGATGTTCACTATTCGACAATTCGTATCCCCGATTGGCGGTATCATTATAGCAAATGCACGCGTCTATTACGAAGCTTAATAAGGTGTGCGCTTGCGGCGTTTCTAGGATAGTTGTTCCGGGGAATGCTAAAAAATTAAGAACCGCTCCAGGCACCTCCTGGAGCGGTTCTTAATAACTGTGGGCATAGTTAATTTATATTGCTTTAGCTCGGTTTATCGCCTGCATCGCCGCCGCTGATCGAATCACGACTCATCCTCTAATTGCCCCGCTGAATTATCTTCCGTAATGGATGTCCTCGGCGGTGCGTAATTATCCATTGCGGCGCCAGTAATCTGGCCGGCCGCGGGCGATTTGCATCGGAATGCGAACCGAGAGCACAACGCAGAGAGTGCAGCTAGCGCATTTCATACAAACGACGCTAAACTAGAGCTCGACACGCACATGGCTTATCAAGTTTTTGTTCATGGATTGAGAAGATGGGATCTCAATGCTGTGCAAACAAGCTATGCATATGGTATAATGAACGTAGAGTTAAAGACGGGATAATTAAGTTTTTCTTTCGCGAAATTCACCGAATCCATGGATTTCTCGATTGAAACTGCTAAATGCTTTCAAAAGGTGATTAATTAAGCTGAGATTAGCTCGAAACGTCACTGAAATAGTGTGGCCTAATAAGAATACCTTTTTTTGCATAGCAATAAATCTGGCTCTTCTCCCTTGTCTACGCCAAGAGAAGCTAGTCTGTGGGTCGAGTAGCGTTTCTTCTGCTATCTCGGCGCGATCGGGCATCTGCTCTAGCTGCTGCACCTTGACAAATCGCGAAGATAATCGGGATGGTTTTCGAAAGCTGCGATAAGTTGCATCAAACGACGCCGAGTCGACTCGATATAGTGGACTAGCCACCAGTCTAGCCGGATAAGTAGAGAGCGCAAAGAAAAAAGCGTAATTACCTTTTAAACCGCACCGCAGTCTCGAGAATAATGTATAGAAAATCTGATTTATTACTTTTGTTAATCGTCTCATGCCAGTAAGTTTGAAAATTGCAACAGTTATTCACGTTGAGAAGTTTTTCTATTCATTGAGAACCTAATTAATATGATACGGGTACATGATATGCTTGATTGGTTTTGATTTCTGCTTTGAGATACTGGCACATTTTGTAAGGAAACTGATCGCCTATTTCATGAAGAAACCTAACAAAGTAGTCCGTGAAGCGATATCTTAACCTTAACCAAGATCGGTAATAACGTGCCTTCGACCAGTGACTGTAACTCGCGCTCAGTTCCTCGTAAAATTGCAGGTTAAGCTGAGCACTGTTCACGATTAATACACAGCGGAGGCCCAACATCAGTTCCTTGTTCTTCGACGTACTTTATAGTGATGTAATTCTACAGCGGTGGATTAACATTTGTTCGGAATAAGGCCGACCGCAGTTTAGTACCTTTGTGAGTTTGTTTACGGATGTGTACCTCGAATGAGTACAACTGGCAAGTTCCCATAGTCTCAGCAGGAATGATGCGTGCGCATGAATATTCGGCTGGTTTGAGAACTTATCCAGACTGTAGCCAACCTAAACCTAACTCCGGGTTGCTTTCGCGATGTAAATGAGCGGTTTGTGTCGGGTGTCGGCGCCTAGTTCAGTCTCTAGCCCTTATTCCGACGCGGTAGAGACCAATGGCCAAAACGCTGTACAGTGAGCTAAGTATACGTCATTTATCAGTCATTCTGTCCACGTCCCGTCCGCCGAGGTTATCGAGACGCTTTCACGCCACTCGAATAACATTAGAATACGCGTTCGTCGAACTCCTAAAAGTGCAAAACGATGAGTTGGAGCGCCACCTGTTCAGAGATTCTGTTAAGACTCATCGCGTCGTTACCCCACAATGGTACAAAGGCCGGCTACCTGAGTGCTTTTTTTATTTCTGACATAACAACGTTTACCGATTGTGGAGGGCATAACTCCGATTGTGTGGGCGTCGTGAGCCGTCATATCCACAATAGCCCTCGTTTAACGCCTAAGCTAAGCTTCTACTGTGCGATTGTCGCCTTAAATCATAACAGTCGTGTCATCTGGTATTGAATTGATTGCGCGCGCGCCACCAACTGTTGGATTTAAAAATTTTTCGTTTTACCGTTTCAATTTGGTGTGTAAATATTGACCGTCGCATGGGTAAACATTTCACAGGTGTCAACAGGCGACATAGGTGGCACGGGCAAAAATGTTGAAACACCTTTTAAAGTACTGACATTAACACTTTGTGTGTTGAAAGTTAGCGTATGCGTGACGGTACGGACCACCTTAGGGGGCGTCCATAAATTACGTGAGACTTTTAGGGGGGGGAGGGGGTCAACAAAAACCTCACTAAATCTCACGTGGGGGAGAGGGGGGGTCTCAGGAAATATCACGTAATTTTTTCCGCAAGAAATAGAGAAATAGAGTTTGCCAGAAAACTGGGTTTAAATCTTAAGTAAAAAAATTGGCCAAGTGCGTGTCGTGCCACGCGCAGTGTAGGGTTCCATAGTTGTCCGTCGTTAACAAAATATAATTCAGAAGCAAGCAATTACTTCATCTAAAGTCGCTTTTAATATTTTCTTCTAAGGATTTTTTATTAGATATGAAATTTTATAATAAATGACTATTACTCTTAAACTAACTGACCTTTTTTTTTTTTTTTTTTTTTTTTTTTTATGTGGGGCTCTCCTCGCCTGAAGGGCAAGGCCTACCCACTAAAAACCAGTCGGGTCCCTCTGGTAGCGCTTAGTGGGGCAGCATACGAGTCGGTGAATCGTTCGCATGCCTGCCCCCATGCAACGGCCGCAGCCTCGCTCTACAGACCCCTTCAAGGGGTCCTCTCTCCAAAGCACGCGGGAACTCCGCGCGCACTTCGGGCCTCAGTGTTAGGAAGCGGACGCCCCCGCGTCCACCTCCATGAGGCTAGCCGTTCGGCCGGGCCCAGAAGGCACCGGTTTCGACTTCTGCAGTGGCTGAGGGCAATCTTTCGTCCCCAGCATGTGGTCCGCTGCCTTTCCTACCGCTGAGCAAAGTAGACAGTGGGGTTCATTGGCGGGACATTCCTTCCTCTGGTGCCCAGGCTGACCGCATCGGAAGCAGAGCGCACTTCGGTCGCTGACGTTGGCAGCGCATTTGTGAGCGACATGCCCATCGCCCCAACAGGACACACACCTCAAAGGTCTCGGTTTTAGCAACGTAATTTGCACCGAGGCCCATCCTACAAGTAGCCGACGTAGACTTGCCAGCTGTTTCGCCGTTTTCGATGGCACCCGCGCGATGACACTGCGGGTGTCCCGGGTACCGCTTATTTTACCCACTTTGATCTGTTCTAGTGGGCACCCAGTTTTGATGGAGATAGCCGTCGCGAGTTCCGACTGTTCGATAGATTCATCCAAACCGGACAGTCGGATGTCTTCACTCTTTATCGGTCGCCTTATAGCGACCATTTCCGCTGTGAAAGCGGGGACATCACGGAGGGCAGCAGCTAGCCTATCCGCCTTCTCCTCCGCGTCTGGACCAGAGAGGACGAGGAGCTTCGCTGCCGTTTGACCTGGCTTAAAGCGGAGGCCGTCCATTATGCCCAGTTGGGCGAGATCCACCTGCTGCTTTGCAATGTGCATAAACCATTGGAAGTCACGAGGTGGATCCTGACGAGCGGCCTCCGGCGTAAACACGACCGAGATTGCGGCCGTTCTCGGGACACGAACCCTGCGGGCTTTGCCCTTTTCTCTGCCCGGCCCAGCCTTCTGTTGGCTGGGCGGTTTGACGCTGGTTAGTGGGGCTTGGCCTCCTTGCTTCTTACCCTTACCACGCTTTACAACCTCCGTCCACTCAGCATCCATGGACACGGGGGGTGGAGGAAGCGGGCGAGGTTCTGGTCTGGTAGGCATGGGGGCAGGTTGAGATTTGCCCTTACCTTTCTTTCTTACACGGCCTCTTTTAGGAGGCGACGCTAGTTCCACGGCCGCTACGAGAGGCTCGGCAACCAGGGATTCTTTCTGATTGGCGTGCGCCTGGGTGGCTGCGGTTGTTGCAGCATTTGCGGGAGTAGTTGGTGCACTCTTTACAGAGGGTGCTGAGGCAACCCTTTTAGCCGACGCCCGTGTGGTTGGGCCGGTTTGTTTTTTCGTGGGGAGAGCGGTTGAGTCCTCGGCTGGGGCCAGAACTTTCGCTTTATCTGCTGCCAAGGATGGGCGAAGGCGCTTTTCTGGGAGGAGTCTTTCCTCTATGCCTTGCAGTTTGGCGTCAACCATTGTTCCTACGTGAACCATTATTTCTCTCTCAATATCTCCCGCCTGTGTAGAACATACGGGAGGAGGAGCAGTGATGATGGCTGGGGTGACCTTGCTCCTTTCCTCTTTGAGGTTGCGAACCTCCTGACGAAGTTCATCCAATTCCTTTTTAAGGAGGGAGTTGGCAACGTTTAGTCTGTGAATTTCTTCATCAGGAGGCCGATCAGCCAGTGCCGTGATTGCTGCCTCGATAGTCAAGGCGGCTTCCTTAAAGGCCCCCTGCTCAGTGCCTCTGATCTTGCTGCACTTTCCCGCGCACTTGAAAACTGCCTGAGCACTTGTGCGGATAGTCTCCATCAGCTCTGCTGCAGTAAGTGTGCATGATTTATCCTGTGCGCGAAGTCGCGCCGTCTTCATTTTGTTAGTCAGTCGTATGGCTGATTCTTCGGAGTCTTCAAGTTTCTCCTTGGCGAGCAACCTTTCTTCAGCCCACTTCTGTCTCAATCCGATATATTCCCCGCTTGTTGGGGCTCTGCCACGGCCGCGGGGTTTTTTGCCGCCACGTGACGATGCTGTGTGTTTTGTTGACGGAGCTGATTCGGTTGACATGCAGGAGTCATCCGTGTCGGCTGCTAAGCATCTTTCAATAAAGCGATCAACCCTCTCAGAATGATCGGTTTCTAAATCCGAGTACTGTGACTCTTCCGACTCCTCGATCCGCCGCTTGGTGGCAGCCCGAGTGACGGAGTCCTCACTATTGATCCGGGAACGGCTGCGGGTAGTGGGAGTCAGATCCCCGGGTAGAACCGGGGGAGTCTCAACCACCACCTTTGCTGTCGTCAAGTTAGGGTTAATACTTTCGGGGACAGGAGTCACACCGCGGGTTGTATCCGTGGCAGTCTCAACTGTCTTTTTAGTGACCTGGTCGATTTTAGGTTTAGCTCCGAACATATTCCGAAGCCCTTGGTCAAAGCTGGTCAATTCGACCTTGCAAGATTTCGGCGCATTCGCCGGCGAAGACACAGAACACGGTGCGGCCCCCCCAGATACGTGGGCCGTGACCGCCGTAGCGGCAGAGGATTCTCCGGCTTTGCCGGTACCTCCCTGGGGTAGTTTAGTTTTCCTTGTGTCCATGTCATAGTTTACTGCTTCCGGGCGCAGCTGCCCACACCCTCTCTCAAGCAGGGTAGCGGCCGTACACCCTACGACCACGCGTCCCCTCGGCCCCTGTAGACCTTGGGATTGGGGGGGTTTTCTGAGATGTCCCCTGTATCGCGGCCCGGGCAAATGCCCCGACAGCCCCCGGCCCACTCCGTTGTGGGTTACGGGTCGCCCGACAGGCCCGCCGAATTGACGCAACCTGCCGCGCAGGTGAGAAGTCAGCCGCCTGCGTGAACAGACCACGCGGACGTTGCCCGGGGTGCACCACGTGGAGGTCCCTCACCATTGCACCCCAGTTGCTTACATCCTACCATATGTAGGTTTTGAGACAACTTTCAGGGTGTCAATATACAAGTATTTACAGACTAACAGCTGGGTATCTCTAATTCCGAGATTCTTACCTAATTTAAGCTTAAATGACTGGACTACAAAGTAGCCAAAAAGTTCGCAACACGTCTTTGTTACCATGAACTTTTTAACACTGACTGTATCTAGATAAAGTTAAAAAATAAAAGATAAAACTGTGGCGTCTTAAGTAGTTCTAACAGTAGTAAGTATAGAATTTTATTCTGAATCGTCTGGAGTTAGAAATATTTTATAGTTTCTGAGTCGTCTGGAGTGTATGAGAGCTGACTCGTAGACGTCTCATACTCATGAGTCAGCGGCCAGACACAACAAGAAGATTCAAAGTTTCTTTTGGTAAAAAACATTAACATCTGATGACCAACTAAGTACATATTTAGAGTAGTGGTAGAGAACTCAGCTACTACGTCAGAGTTGCGAATTTGGTAGTTGTATTAATCGCATTCGTTTTCAATGTCCAAAAAAGCGTATTTTTATTATTAAAAATTGACGGTACAATTAGTTAACTGCCCATATCATGAGATAGAGACATTTCACGACATGGACGGATCATCAATAAAGTGATCAATTTTGAGTTCTGGCTACGATATTTGTACCGTAGCATTGTCCCTTAGCTTTGATTAATTTGGTACTAGATGGCGATTGAAAAATGACGAGGGTGGTATTATTTTTAAGTTGCAAGTCGCTGAAACTGTAATTCAAAGTTGCCATGTGCCCTTCATCTTTAAAAGTCATAAATAACATATTAAATTACACAGACAAAGAGTATGTGAGTCAGTTTTACGACTTTGACCAGACGTCTGGGTCTACATAATATTGAAGTATACTGATTTATTAGTTGTACTGTAACATTTATATTTTAATTAGTGACTGCAACATGGTGTCACATTCAATGTGTTGAGTTAGCTATATTTTANTTATATTATCTGTGGCCATACGTACTCGACGGCGTCGACGCTCGCTACTACGAAGACTACGGAATTTATTACTGCTTGTGCTATTTATAGACGTAAACAGAAGCAATGGCAACGATGCGTACACCAGAAAAATCTGACTCCATGCCTGACATATCAACACTGGAAGACCAGCGTCCACCTGGCTCTTTAGCTGCTAGATCTAAAAAGAGGAAGACTGACGAACTTCACTCTAGTCAGTTCGAAATGATGTCAAATGACTTGAAAAATGACCTGAGAAAGGACATGACTGAGTTAATCAATAAACTGGCCAGCACTTACGATAGTAAAATTAATACGATATTGGATACCCTCAAAGAAATACAGCAGACTAGTAATATGGTGCAGGAAACACTGACATTTTTGTCGGAAGAAAATTCCGGATTAAAAGCTAAACTCGAGAAATTAGAAAATCAATCAAAAAAGGACAAAGAACATATAACCATAATTGAAAACAAGTTAGAAGAAAATCAAAGATTAGAAAGAAAAGCTAATTTTGAAATAAAAAACGTGCCACTGAAAGGAAGTGAAAATAAAAAAGATCTTGTTCAAATGGTGAAAAGACTATCTGATAATTTGGCGGTTACAATGGATAGATCAGACATCAAGGACATTATTAAAACAAAAAAGAAAAATCAAGAAAGAAGCACAATCATAGTGGAACTAACAAACACTCTAACCAAGACGGAAATCTTAAAAGCCGCAAAAAATTATAACAATAAAAATAAAACAAGCAAATTGAATGCAGGTCACATGGGCCTAACTTCACAAACGGACATTCCTATCTTCTTATCTGAAAATCTTACACCCCTGGCATCAAGACTACATTTTCTGGCTCGGGGCTTCAAAGAAGCAAATCAATATAAGTATTGCTGGACGAGCTACGGGAAGGTCTACCTGCGATTTGATGATGACTCACCAATTGTGCAAGTTACTCATGAAGCTCAGTTACAACAGTTAACAAAAAAATGACTACTTATTTGTGCGATATTAGTTTTTGCATCCCTGGTTATAAGATTAGTCTATAAGCAAGTTTCTATAATCTGTCTTATCAGTGCTGTGTACATGAAATTATATCGATTCATTCGTATTACTGGAGATAACTGTGTAAGTAGCCAGAAACTTACCTTCTACAAACAAACACAAATTATACAAACAACACAAAAACAATCACAATACTCACAACACTCAACATTACACGAATACTACAAATGCCTGCAAAAGAATAGTATACTGCGACGAACACCCAATTTACAATTCATTCAACCATCCAAAATAATAATAAAGATCAAAATATCTTACACCTTCCATTTATCACTCAGAGAAAATGGATAAAAGCTGTAAGGTCTTACAAGAATTAGACTCCTTACAACAGATAAAGTCATTGAGCTGCTCCATTGAACAACTTGTAGAACATGTTCCTGTAAGAAGACCAGATTGCTCACTCATCATCCAAAACATCAGAAGCATACACAAATCCTCTAATATTGACGATCTGGATATTAACCTCAACATGCTCCCACACACAATTGATGCAATAATCTTGAGTGAATGCAGAATCAACAACAGTAAACCTCTTCCTTTAAAGCCAGATTACATAACACATGGTTCTACAATAAAAACAAATCAAAACGATGGTGTAGTTGCATTTATAAAAGATAACATTCCTCACTCAGTTAAAGAAGTCTCACTCTCTGGAGCGTCATGTTTGGAAATAACTATGCTTTCTTACACAATAGTCTGCATTTATAGATCGCCGTCGGAAAAAAACTGAAGTATACTGATTTATTAGTTGTACTGTAACATTTATATTTTAATTAGTGACTGCAACATGGTGTCACATTCAATGTGTTGAGTTAGCTATATTCTANGGGCGCGGGCACGTCGTCGGTGACCTGCAGCGCCTGCAGCTTCTGTGTCACCTCGCGTCCACCGGCTTGATGACGTGACGTCACAGCGCAGCCGGCGCACGGTGTGACGTCACACGTACCTTATCCGCTAGAGGCGCGGGCGCGGGCGCGTCGTCGGTGACCTGCAGCGCCTGCAGCTTTTGTGTCACCTCCCGCGGGTCCACCGGCTTGTCTGAGCTCTCCACCTTCTATAAAAAGGAAAAACACTTAAAATGTTGCCCTTATGGAACCCTTCTGAAAAAAGAAAGAAAAACTTGAAATGTTGCCTGTAAGCAGCCTTTACACGTCACTTGTGGAGTCCACATCATCATCAAATTCTCAGTCTAGACGGCACCAAGCAAGCTCTGGCATTTTTCACTCAGCCTAAAGGAGATATGTTTGAGACTCGCGTGCTGAAGGTTTTTTGAGTGATCTTTAATACTAGATATTCTTCGGTCACTGAACCCTCGTTTGAGTACTAGACGTCCTCTGCGGTTTTCCATATACGGTTGAAAACACAATACATGCTCCTTACAACCCAGAAAAAGTTACCGGAGGAGCCGAAGAGAAAATCACAATGAAATCTCAGCGCCGATTTGTATCAACCTAATAAACAGAGTTATTAGATTTCTGATACAACATTGAAGAGTATCTTCATTATAGGAATCAAAAGCGGTAAGTCTAATGTGTATAGGCACAGAATAATAATAAGTACTACGTACAGAAGTTTTTCTTCGCGAAGGTATTTAAAAAAATGTATGCTCAATGTCATTTACAATATGGTGTAATTTAGCCTGTCTCAAGAGTCAAGCACCATTTTGTTGACAAACGTCAGTGATCGGCACTGCGCCGAAGCTATAGGGCTGACTTCGGTAAAATGATGTGACGTGAGGTGCCAAACTGCGGAAAATGGCGGAGGAAATACATGATTTAGCATGAATTATCATGAATAATATTAATTACTCATTTACCTCTCAGTGTCTTGAGGCAACTTAAAAAAGTACATTCTGTGTTTTTATTATTATTTAGGCAGTTAAATACTGCACAGTATTTAGTACACCATTTTCTTCCATCATACACAAGAATACGCGTGCGTGAGTCAATGTTCGCTCGTATGTGAGGCCTAGTCGAATAGTATCCTGTAGGTGGGCCATCGTGTGTGTTTTGTTTTCGATGTAAACTCGCGGAGATGAACAGGCCTGGTATAGGCGTATGTACAATACCTTGTTGGCGATTTCTTTGTCGACGCTGGGCTCCTTGGAGGCGGCGGGCGACGGCGACAGCGTCCGCCCCGGCGACGCCGACACAGACTTGCCGCGCGGCGTCTGACGGAAAAAAACATCATTTATCATCAGATCACTTAGGCTGTGGTCTCCTAACGCTAGCTATAGACGCCGTAGGCCGTGTCACGCCTAAGCCGCGTCACAATACTTACTTTCTTTCAAACGTTGACGTCGGCGTATGGCGTCGATAGGAACGTTTGACGCTGACGTCATAATGTCGCGTAGCGTTTAACAGGAGACTAGCCTTATGCCCGTTTTCACCATCAATCCCAAATTTCGCCATTACTCCTCACGTTTGCCAGATGGTTGGGGAGACTTGATCTTTTCAGGTTTCTCCCTTAGTTTCCATTCAAGAGGAGGGATTTCTACTCTGCTGGATCCACACGACACACAACTCTTTCAGGACAGCAGGGCCGTCGTGTCGAGAAAAGGTACGAACGTGTGACCTAAATTACTTCATCTACTAAGAGTTATTCATTAAAATTACTCACTTTATCGTGTTCTTTGGATGGCTTTGGCTTTCTGTGTACTGGCGGCTTGCCTTCTCCTGGAGCCAGTGATAATGCTGTAAACAAACAGATACTGTACTGTAAATAGGTGCATCTGGCAACCCTAGTCCCACATAACCCACTCTTGTTATTTACTACATAAATAGGTGCATGAAAATAAATATCAGTTTTTAAACTGCGACTGTGATTGATTGCGCCGGGAGAACTACCATGGAAGTAAATGGCTTGATTGGTTGAAGTGGTGTTAAATACGAGTACTGGTTACAAAATAAGATCATCGTGTGAGGACGGCCCTTTACTATTTCGTTCACTGTTTCTAGACTTAACAGCATAGGTACCAAGCGAGTAGTGCCAGTTGGCTCAATGTTGAAGTATACTGATTTATTAGTTGTACTGTAACATTTATATTTTAATTAGTGACTGCAACATGGTGTCACATTCAATGTGTTGAGTTAGCTATAATTTAGTTTTAAGTAAATTTGTACTTTTCGAATTATTAAAGATTGGACATTCAAACCCTACGCATGTCTTTCACTTAACATACCACATGGCGACCCTGCCTAAAGAAACTGAAGATTCAAGAACAACTGGCGAAAATCAACCGGCAAGACTCTAGAAACTACGAGAAAATTGAACAAATTATTGAAGAACATTATTAGCTGCATTTCAAAATGGGACACAAGCAAAGCAAAGAAGAAGTTATCATCGCTCAAACTGCCAGCGGCGACGCCCACACGCAAAAAACTTCGGGTCTACAACTTGCTGAAATTCTGGTGATCGCAGTACTCATCATTTTGGTGGTTTCACTCGCATACTACCTCTTCAAAAAATGCCGTCACCAAGCTATGAAAGCATTGCGCCGTGAGTTGACACGTCTTAATTTGGCCAACAATGCCACGTCAACTCTTGAGCTAACGGCCACACCTTAAAGAAGAATTGAAGGAGCGGAGTCCAGGGATATCCCGGCCCACGGAGTCCAGGGTATAGCCCGGCCCATGTTGTACATATACATTTATATTTTAATTAGTGACTGCAACATGGTGTCACATTCAATGTGTTGAGTTAGCTATATTTTAGTTTTAAGTAAATTTGTACTTTTTGAATGATTAAAGATTGGACATTCAAACCCTACGCATGTCTTTCACTTAACATACCACAATATTATATTTCATAGGTAACAAGGATAGTTGAATGCAATTTGGATTGTTTGCAGTCTGGATTGCAGTAAAATAACATAATAATGTGACTTTTTGAAACTTTTTGAGACATATTATTTGAGAAAAACAACTATATTTTGGCGTGTTATAGAAATGCAGTGATCAGAAATAAGGTAGCAAAAATTTGGAACTGTTACTAATGGGACCTTATTTTTTACCAAATATACAAAAATGTACCTACCTACATCATTGTCCTGATGTATCTGTAGTTACAAATTTTATAATAATACCTATCTCAATTCCACAAACCTGCTTCCACCATCTTTCTGTTACCATGCAACATAAGTTTATCCCTATGCAGTCTAATATAAATAAATATTATTTGATAAGTAAACTAACTTTACTTTTATTTCTCAATAGCTAGTTCCTCCCAAACATTTCCATGGAAAAAGCCTACAGACCTGAACAAAATTTTCCAGCAACTTATCTGTCATTAGATATGCAACGCGTATCTTCCATCTTTCAGAGTTCAGGTCATGACGTCACACCCTCACAGACTTGATTGCATAACCCTGAGTCATCGTGTCAATACCCAGTCATGAGGGGAGACAGACTTAGGGGGGAGGGGGGAGGGGTGTCGCGACACTGACTCACTGCACTTACAAGTTCCATTTTTGATTTTACTTTCGTTACATGGATTGAGACAAAGCAGAATTAACTGCAAGTTCAACTTGTAAACTTCTTAGATCTGAAATTGTAGCCTGTTTACAAAAGCTACAAAAAAAAACAAAATTGTTTATTTGTGAAACATACTCGTAGGTAACAATTACCTAAAGCTTATCTCAAACTGGCATCTTGCCGTTAGATTTTTTGTTCCTATTTCTAACTTTTTCCATGGGCTGTCCAAAAAACTAGCACAAAAAATAAGAAATCGTCTAATTCGGTTAAGCTAAATTTAATTTCAAGTGATATTCAGTCATAAAGTTTGTGAGGCCAAAATGTATCCAGAAGAAAAAACATAAGAATAACCTACATAAACCATGAAACAATTTAGAATCCACCATGTTAGGATATGACTTACTATTAAGTAAAATCCTAGATTCCTATCCCTTTTTATTTCCTAGGAAAAACTGACAGAAAATAGGTCTTACAAGCTACAGAACAGTAATACTCGTATGTTTAATTATTTGACTATCGTAATTAATTTACTTTAGATTCATAATAAATGTAACTTATTACCTGTTAATTATAAAATATACAACTCACATGACAAATCGTACATTGCACTTACTGACAAATGAAGCAAAAATTGTGTTTCAGTCGTAATAAGTAATACCAACATGAAAATTAGCGCTAAATATGCAACATGTAGTGATGGCAGCACATTAAGGTAACACTGACACTTATGCCGTTGCAATAAGTTCGATTTTTCAATAAAATTGTATAAACTGTTGTGTTGTCTGTACTTATGACTCAAGTTTGAAGGTTGGTTACGTTTTGACACAAGGATATTTAAGTGCGTTGCCCTTATGTTGGCAATAAAGTTAACAATGTTGTGTACTTAAATAGTTAGTACGCCCTTGACATTGCAAAGTAGGTATTATGACTTGAAAATTCTTTATCATGAGGTCTTTATTTACCAGAGAAAAGATAATATGCATAGAGCATTTGGTCAAGTAACTTAGTAATCTATGGGTTGGAGAGACCTGATGTTCGTATATTTAAAAGTATGAGGTCAGTTTGACCATAAGGATTTCAAAAGTGTACAAAAAAGTATTTTATCTATCTATCTATCACAATACGTACCTATGCGTAGGGCGTAAAGGAAATGAACAGAAAAGAACTTTCAAACATACTCGTAGGTTCAATATGAGATGAGTACCTAATGAAGAATAAATTTGCAAACTTTGTAATTAAATATTAATTATAATTAAAAAAATATATACAATCACTTCTTTCAGGAACAGTAGAAGCCACACATTTGTAAAAACAATGGTCTTTTATTACCCAAAATGGTCTAAACAAAATTTCCCTTTACTCGGATTCGGAAACCATACAATCTGGAAAGTTTTCTAAAGTTCCCAGATTGCCTTGGAAATTTCCATTGTTGACAACAACACGTGTTTCATAACTGTTAAAATAGCTCCAGCAAAAAACTGTCAAAGGGAAGAGAAGCGCCTTTGTTTAAATAAAAAAAAAAAATGTTGACGTTGATGATTTTTTACAGATTAATAAAGTAAATGATTTACGGGATAAATCTAGGTAAAACAGAAAAATCGCCATGAAGGTCACATTATATTTTATAAAACAAATTAAAAAGTACGCAACACTTTTCAAACCCTACGAATTCTTCTCTGTTAATAACTTATCATACACCTTTGTAAAGAATAACCCTTGGTTGCACTCTAAAGTCTGGTCGCCGAGCACAGTGCCGCAGTGAGTGTGCGAGCGCGACGGCATTATAATTACACGCAAGCGATAAGGATGGGTAGCTTGAGGTCATTGGACAAAATTCTACGTGCCCGGCGACCAAACTATAGCTACTACCTACCTACTTTAACTATCGATCGTTCGTTTCAGCCAAATGACGTCCACAGCTGGATTTGTGTTGTCCATACCGATCGGCGCTGCGCTGCCCGCATCCAGGTACTTCCCGCGACCTTCACCAGAACTTTAACAAACGTCAAAAGTTTGTCAAACTCCATACAAAAACACCGCTTAAAGTTATAGTTAGGTGATGCAACTCAGCCTAAGCCTTTTAGATAAAATAACTGAAATACTTTTCAAAATCCAAAATAAAGCTATGATTCACTATGAGAACCAAAACTTAGATTAGGCAGACTTAGACCAAATTATAGTCATTAAAAATTAATCTCGTGGGTAACACTATCAATCATTTCATTTTTTACGGTCCAACATAATGCCATATTTAATAACCAATGCATGTTGCAAATTATTAAATTATTGTGTCATAATGCAGTTAATTATAATACAAATATGCATTTTAATAAGGAAGTTTTACAAAGAATTACATCAACGAATTAACAATAATATTTAACGTGAAATCAGACATTAGGTATGTGAAGTACCCATACCTACTCGTAGGTAAATACACTACCTTAGGTAGAGTTCACAGTGAAAATGTGTTTGTGTTTTTTGTATAATTGTTGTGTACTACTGAAAGGCATAGATACCGTTTCTAGATCTTTATCTGTTAAGGCCATCCAAAGTCCTCATTCAAAAAAAATATATGATGTTAATGTGTGAAAAAAGGTCTACTCATTCTACTTTGATCACCTGGCTTTGATCACCCAGATCATCTTATTCATGGGTGATCAAAGGACTTTTGATCACCGGGGTGATCAAAGCCAGGTGATCAGAGTGCAACAGAAAAAAAAAACATGCATTAAGTTTTGTGAAAAAAATCTCATTTGTCATATTGGTCTTCCGGTCAGCAAATTAAGTAGCAAGACCACAGAAAATATAATACTTAAGTGAAAGTTTGAGGATGCCCGAAATTCTTCAGCCTTTCCGGAACTAGGCTTTGTGACCCTGACTGTAGTAACACAACTGAAACATCAAGCTGTTCTCATCAAGTACTCTGTGTATTGTAGCATTTGAGTCCCGTTGCTCTTAGTTTAAAATACTAGGTTCTTTGTTATATAAGATTTTAAACTTTCGCGTTCCATTTCAATTAAAATAGTAGTCTGCTTGTGACCACGGCTGCAGCATCGCAGCCGTAACGTCAAGTCATAAGTACATAATGTAACTTATTAATAAATGTCGCGTCAAGACCCGTGTCTTACTATTTTAGGTTCTTTGTTGACTATGAAACCGTAAAATCGCTAATCTCACCGCTACCTCTTATAACCATGACCATGACCTCATATTGTGTTCCAAATTTCATACAAAAACATACCAACCGTATTATATCATGATTTATTTTTACATTATTACGTTATGTTGCACATAATAATATTATAGTATAGTAAACAACTGATATGAACTCAATCATTTCCATGAATATTATGTTCGGGATTGGGTAGTTTTCAGCAGGAAAATGTTATTATTTAATGCTTAATAACATTATGTAAGAAGTATAACGTACAGGATTTTCTCGTTTTATAAAATAGGTTCAATAATGTAATGCTTACAAGTTACCTACGGGACTATTCCCACCTCTCGTTCCCACCGCTGCAACTCCTGTGTAGCCAGGATCTACAGCTTGACCGCCAATAAAAACCCAACCAGTGACGGTGAAGTTTTCGAGTAGGTTGTATAGTAGGCTATTTACTTTCTTTTTTAAAGTTTGAATTTTCTTTCTATTAAAGTGTGACTTTAAAGTGTGACGTGTATTTTTACCAGAAAAAGTTTTAATTTTTTTTTGTGTCAGTAAGTACGTAATAAAAAAAAGTAAATAGGTACATAGGTAGCTAGGTATTTACTTTTTTTTTCTAGTTTGAATAATTTTCTTCGTTTTAAGCGTGGCGTGCAGTGCATTTTTATGTGGCCAGTATGTTGTGTGGACAGTTTTTTTTTATTAAATAAGTATTTAATACTGCCTACCTCTAAACAAAACAAATGCCTACCTCGATCCCTTAAAAACAAAACAAAAACAATGGAAGTAGACATGCATAGAAACCGGTATCGTCAGCAAAAAGCAGCGAATTTCTTTGCAAATCAGTCGAGCCGGCTGCATTTTGACTGGGGTCAACGAACTGCAAGGTGACCGTTGTGTCTCTACGACCTGCCCCAACGAGTCCTTGGTTCGATTCCTAGAAGCGCACAATAGTCTGGATATCGTCCGGTTAGCGAATGTTACGGTAAATGTGATAAATTGAAAATTATTAATAATTACCGGTTATTATTATTAATAATTTCCGACAGTCGAGGTAAAAGTAAGAAATTAATGACATTTATCAGTGATTATTTAATAATTATTTAACAATGTAATCTTAGTACTAACAAATATCATAAAAGAGAACACCGGCTCGTGTACAGCCACACATTTTGAACGTTTTGATATCATATACTAATATAATTTGGCATAATGAGTTTGGAATGTTTCCTGCGTTAATATTACTTTGCCATGATGCCCATAAATATTGTTTTGATTTAAACAGTCAAAATTAGGTTAAGGTGTGGCGGGGGTGGCCTACCGCCTAGTTTTTTTACATACATAAATAATTTCATATTAATCACATAATAACCAGTAATTATTAATAATTTTCATATTTATGACATTTACCGTAACAAATAAAAAACTGCATAATGGGTCCATGTATCGATGGTTACGTAAAGCGAATTATATGGTAGGTTCGG